GCGTTGGGCGCAGTGCGGCACAAGCACGTTGAGCGCGCGCAAGCTGACTACAACCTCATAGGAGCGGCTTTCTGCGCCTCGCTCCAGGACCTTGGTCTGAGGGGCGCAGAAGAGCTGTGCACCGCTGCAGTTGAAAGCTTTCCAGCCACTGCGGGTGCAGATAGCGCCGCGGCTGCGCCACCGCCCTCTCCAGTCGTTCCCCTCCCGGACGTGCGGTCGGGCGAGGACCTCACGCCAGCAGAGCGTGCGGAGCTGGATAAGGAGGTGGATAAGTATGCCGCGGAGAGGGAAGCGTTTTGGCGGACCAAGGCGGACGCCAAGGACTGGGATTCCGTCCGGGCTGACCTTGAGGTCTATGCTCTTGCGGGCGAGAAGGTCGCGGAGGATCCTAGGCGCACCGAGGCCTATAGGGACCTCGTATGGTCAGGTTTGAAGATCGAGCCTGGACCAACCAGACCCGGGCTGACCGATGCTGATATCGCAGCCGTTAGGGAGGTCATACGGCGAAAGGCCGCTGGGTTCTGGGTGGAGGACACCACCAGGACCACGGTCAGGAAGTTCGCCCATGACTGCATCCCCACCGGGCCGCCGGTCTCGTCCCAGCCTCACAGTCTGAGGGGCGAGTCCGCGCAATGGGTCGACGACAAGCTTGAAGAAGAATGCAAGCGGGGTCAGTTGATCCGCGGCAGCTCGGCTTGGGGATCTGCGCCGTTTCCGACCAAGGAAATGCCCAGCTACAAGCGGCATAGGAAGCGACGCTTGGTGGTTGACTACCGCCGCGTGAATGCCCGAATTAAGCGCTCCACGTACTATTGTCGGCGGGGCAGCGATGTGCTCGCCGCCGCAGTAGGTTCGGTTTGGTATACCTTCGTGGATGCGGTTAGTGGGTTTAATCAGATTAGGAACACCAAGCGTGCTCGCGAGGTGTTGGCCATTGTGGCAAGATCAGGGAAGTATCTCCCTGTCGGCCTCACCTTTGGCCCGATTAACGGCCCAGATGACTTCAACTTTGTGGTTGATAGGGCCTATGCCCCCGGCAGAGGTAGGCGCCTTAAGTATACTAAGGAGTGGATTGCCTACGTGGATGATCTTACTGTTAGGACAGGTAGGGTCATTGATGGGCAGTTTTTCACTGATGCCCAAGCCGAGGGGGCGGTGCGCGAAGCGTGCGCCAAGGGGGCAGTCGCGGCTCCTCAGAGCGCGTCGTCTGCTCTTGAAGCCTTAGGCGTTCGCGGTGCGCACAACTCCAAGCGCGCGAACCATGACGCGGCGCGCTCGGACCAGAATCACCCCACGCGCGTTCTGATGCTCAGGATGTTGGGGCTGTTCGGGTGTTTCTGTGTTCAGGGCGGGTGTTTTTGGGGCGGGCCATTTCCCAGGTCGCCGGTCTGCGGGCAGAAGGATTTTTCGTCGTTCGTCGCGTGCAGCTTCGTTCGTGTGTCCCGCAGCCAGTGTGTAGGAAGCAGGCCTAGAGGTTCGGTCCAAGGTCGAAGCAGAAGCCGTAGGAGCCTTAAAGCCCCGACCATAAGGAAACTCCCCAAACCCCCGCCGCAGCGGTTCAAGTGTGTTGTAGAGCCTAGGGTAGGTAGTCCCTCCCCGCTTTCGTGCCTGTGCACTGCGCCCCGCTGCGGGTCGCGACCAGACCGCGCGGGAGCGACCGATCGGTCGCCCGGACCTTCGTGGTCAACCACAAGGCCAAACCCTCTAAAACCTTTTTAACCTAGGAGAGCTAAGCTCCAGAGCTCCCCGAACCCTGCCGGGAGTTCGGGGAGTTTCGGGGGGATTTCATTCGCTTGGGCATTCCTTGGTTTCGCGGTTTCAGGCTTCAGGGTCTTTAAGGTTTCAGGGTTAAATGCACTGGAAGCGCAGCATAGCCCATAGCTGAATTTGGGGTTTGGGACTTGGGGTTTTCGAGTTGGGCTTTGGACCCTAGACGCCTAAAACCTATGCCCTCAACCCTCCAGTCCCAAGCTCCTGAGGACTGCTGCCATTCGCTACAATAGCGGGATGAAGACTGTATCAGCTGCTTGGCATCTTCTTTCGCTTACAGGTTCTTGATTGGGACTCTGGGAACAGGTGCCTTACATCTTCCTGACTCCTTTAGGGGATTTGCTAGGGTACTTGAATAGTACTTCCCAAAATAGGGTCCCCCGAATATACCTCAACGTACTATAATCCTCATGACAGCAACCGTCTAAAAGGTTTGGTTCAAGTTTAGGGATTAGGATAAAACCCTAAACCCTAGATACCCTACTAAGAGCCAGAAATCCTTCAGGCCAGGAGGCAGGACTGACATGGCGTGGGTTTGGTGCAAGGTGAGGTTCGGATTCGTAAGCTCCTGGATATGGAGCCGTCCTATGGCAGGTTCCTGCCTGCAGACTCCATGCCATAAAGCCGTCAGTGTTGAAGATGCAAATGCCCACGCACCCCTAGTCAGAATTCCCTACCTTGGACCTCTAAACCAGCCTCAATTTTACGTAGTCTGAATCCTATACCCCAAGCCCCAAACCCGAGACAACCACGCTGGCATGTCCGAGAGCGTCAGCGATTTGGGGGCGGACCGTGCCGTGGGGGACCCATGGGCACGTGCCTGCGTAATTCAAGTTGAGCAAAAGGTAGCATGTATTGAAGGCTTCGCGCCTTTTTTCTTCAAGCTTCGCTGCAGCCTAATGCTTCTTAAGCCCGACATGCGTATGATGCACGATCATGCCCCAAAGACTGCCCGCAGCATCCTTGGCGCACAAGTCGAAGTTCCAAAGTTTGCACCAATGGGTGCATCCTCCTCGAGTCCAATCGGCCTCCGTGGTCTCACGCAATTCGCCCGACCCGATGGCCTGCTGCCGCAGCCATAGGCCATGATTTGTTGCCAACAGCTCTTGCTTTGGAGGTTCTTTTGCATCAACATGTTCCACTGTAGCGAGGTATATCGAATCGGATCAAGTCCTTGATTCAGTGCATAATCATATTCCGCCCTTGAAAGGGCGGTTCTGTGTGGTGTGGGTCTCGGGGAAGGTTTCCCAGAAACGCAGGTGCCAGATGGCAAGTTTCCGAAGTGGGTTCCAGTAGCAGATTGACAGACTCTCAAGCCAGGTGCCGGCCTACTTCACGGCTGTGGTGGAAGTCTTGGTACGCGGCCAAGACAATTGGGACCGCACCGACTCCATCTCCATTGCCAATGGCAGGATCCGGGCCGGAATGAGCTGCCAGCTAATCCAGTACATGGGGATTTCGATGCGCTCATACTGAGGTCAAGCCAGGGCAGATCGAAGCAGATGGAGGCAGCCAGGACAGCGTCGACGAGGGCATGCGCGCCACGTGCAAACAGCGCATTCAGGTTTGGCCTTCGCCAGATGTTGTGGAGTCTGACACCTTGGCTTACACGACGGCTGATCATTTTTCTTTCTGCTTCAGAAAGACGATTGCCTTTAAGCCTCGTGTCACCCAAGCGAGGTGGACGATCAAGCTCATGGCAGTTTAGGGGTTTGGGAAGGACAAAAGTGCAGAAAGCCTACGTGTTGCACTTTGAAGCCCCTCAAACCCACAGGCGCGCTGCGCGCCCGCACCTTTGTAGTTAGGTCACAGTTAGGTTCCCTTTTGGGTGATGTGTTATAAGGAATGCCAGTTTAACTGAGGACATGTTTCAAAACGGTCAAAAAACCTTCATGAAAAACAATATGAAAACCAGAATGTTCAACAGCCTGTTTGAAGAAGGTTATCTTCAGCTTCGCCGTGCTCCTTTCGGCCACTCGGCTGTTTCGTGCGGACCCTCTGCGTGTTTTGGCATCGTCGAAACGTAGTCGAAAGGCAACAACGATGGCCCTGCCCTCTGCGTGTGCGCAGAGGGTCGTGATCTCGCGAACGACGACCTTCTGCGTGTTTTGGCGTTGTCGAAGATGGTTTTCGTAACTTTTTTCGTTGTCGTCGTTAACGCAAGGATGGATGTCGTCGTCGTGTTGGATGATAATTTTTACAATAGTGAGGTCTTAATCACGGTTCTAAAATGCTTTCGGGACAACCGCTCTCTATTGTTCTGAAACGCCCTTACCGCCTGCACGAGCCAGTCGTCCGGAGGTAAACGTGAACAGTTCCAGTCCGCACTACGGCAGCTCCTGCCAAGCTAGACGCCGGCTCGGCCCCGCGGCTTCAGCGTGGTTGAGGACATGATCTACTGTTCACCACCCGCTGAAACCGAAAGCGCAGCCCACCAGCGCCGCGCTCATGTTGCACGCACGGCTGGCGGAGCGCTCCCGAGGTTTCGGTTCTTATCTGAATCACATGTAAACCGGCTTTCTTCCGCGATGTTTGCGGACTTACCCGGAGCTGGTGGGCTCGCGGCGTTCTGGGCATTGAAGTCAGTGCCTGTTCGTGCTCCGAGGCGGCATCGTTCTTTCGCTGGCTCGCCCGCTGCCGCGCGGGTAGCGCTGCACGTCTTCCTTCGCATTCCGCTGGTCAGCACTCCTTTGTTTTGCAGCGACCAAGTCCTTGGCCAGACCATCGTGGTATCGATGCGATTTGGACCCCTCGCCAGCATGAGGTCTTCCCAACCCTGCGCTGCGTCGTCCTCACGCAACCCGGCGGCGCGCAAGAGCAACGGCACATAATAGCAAGACACTGTGGCCGAGCACCTGCCGCGCTTCGGCGGCGTGTGTCGCGTTGACGTGTTCGCGGGGCCCGCAGGCGTGTGGACGGGTGTTGCGAATTCCGGAATAAAACTGTCGAAAAAAATGTTGTCGAGCTGCTGGAGCTGCCCCCAAAGTCGCTCATATGATATGACGTTTGACTGGCAGTCTTGGAGCGTGGACGTGGCCAGCTCGGATCGAGAAGAAACAACAGCACGCAGCAGCAACTCGCAGGAGCACACACACCAAACACTGCCACTCCAACGCGTCAAGAAGCGATTTGTATTACTGGAGTTCTGCGGACCATACAACAGCATCCCCCAAACCAATTTTCAGCACAGCACCTCCACGCTGCTAGTGGAGGTGCATGCATGTCCTGCCATGCGCTATCTCGGTGACTCGAGGACAGTCTCTGGGAGTTGGTCAAGGCAAATTCCAATAACACGACGGGGTAGTGCTCGCAAAGGAGTACTGTGGCAGCAGACAAGGAGCTGCCGGAGTCTATGCCTGAGTTGAGCATGTGATGTGACGCCACACAAAACATCACCAAGCAGCAGTAATACGTAGCGTCAAGGTGGGGTTACAATGCCGGGCTCTCGGTGGGGGGTATCATGTGTCCTTGCCAACACGATACTTGCATGATGTCGTGGCCAAAAAAGGTCGGCGTGTTGGGCGGCTTGCGGTTGAGTCTGGCGGAGGAGCCGAAACCTGCGCTGGGCCGGGGCCTGGGACTGTCGAAAGTCTTTGGGTGGCAGGTCTGCATGTCCACGGTGCAGGGGCGACCGCATTTGCTCGACGTAAGGTGCAGCTAGTGCTGCTGTCGTGGACCTGGCAGCCGTGTGGGGCTCAGCTGGTACGGGTATGAATGGGGCTTTCCTGATGTATGCTTCAAGGATGCTGGCCGACGATATGACATTGTTGTGCTCGGGGCCACCGGATTTACAGGAGTGCTTGAATGACAATGGTAAGATTCACAAGTCGTGACAGTGGCACCTGGCAGCAGGACGGCTCATGGTTGAGCATTTGGATGGGCTCCTTTGTGGGCAGGAAGTCTCTGCGCGTTTTTTCTTGGCAAATTTGGCAAGACGGTTTCTTTTTGCCAGGCACAAAGCCCGAAGAAGTGGGCAATCGCCGGCCGAAATATGCAAAGGCCCTTTGAAGCAGTCCTTGTGATTTGACGGGCAAAGTAGACGTGTTCGTCTACTCCCAATGCTGAGTTGGCAGGTTGCGCACCTTGTGTTCGTCGTGCCGGTCTTCGCCAGACGTGCTGCTAGCTGACAGCCAGGCTTCATTGGACGAGGCGGTTGGATGAAATTGGATGAAATTGACATTCTTTTGATGCCAGCTTGCTTCACGTGCTACCTCGTCCATGTTCTGGCTCATGAATCCTTCTTGAGGTTGCGCGCCAATGCGTTGTCCTCATCGCTGCGGCAGGCTCGTGTGCAGCTGTAACTTAGCTGATCGGCGACTCTTTCGGAGGTTACTGAAAGAATCCCAGGGTTTGGGGATAGGTTGGGATCCTGTTGTGGTGCTGAACCTCTGCTTCAGCGCAGCTCAACAGACCAGTTCTGCTGCTTCGCAGCTGCGGGGGTGAGCTAGTTTATGCCAGTTCCTGCTCGATCAGCTGCAGGCCCGTACTCTCAGTGCGGGGAGATGGCAACAAACTCAGCGAAGCAGCGGTTCTCACAGAAGTCCGCGGCGAGAGGAGCTTCATTCCCGCAAGTGTGCTCGGCCCATGAAACGGAAACATGTGAGGCAGTTCGCGCTTGCGTGGCGAGCCGTACACATTACGTATCTTGGACACCCATGCTCGGGTTTTGCTTGGCAGTTCCGAGTTTTGAGTTTTGGGTATGATTGTTTTTTCTGAGTTGGTTGCGCTTGCTGTTGCAGGTTTGATGCTCTTTCCCAGTTTGAGGGGCTCCGTTGAACGTGCTTTTGGTACGATGCGCAGACAATTGACAATCGATTGTTGAAGAGTGTTGTCTTGCCGAAAGGTGGATGTGTCCGGCGAGACTGTGTGGATGCATGAGATGCTGCAGCGCTTGGAGCCCATGGTTGCCAGCTATCAGATGTCAGCAAAAAGGAGGGTCCGGCATCATGGCTGCGAAAGGCTACCACGCGGAAGCGAAGCAACAGGGCATCCTCCTTGTTCAGGCAGCGGCGCAGGCCCTTGGTTGAGTTACAAGGAGATGCGCGCGGTATCCTCGCAAATCCCCCAACGTGCGAGTTCTTTGCTGCGGGAACTGCGCATAAGCCTGACGAGAAAACAGCGGCGGTGCCACCTTCGGGGCCTTGCGTTTTTTTTTTGTTTTTTGTTAAAATTCATGTTTTTTCGCTGCCCTCAAGTGCTCTGACGGTTTCTGGGGGCGGTCTTATGTTAAGGCCGTTTTGTCGCTTCTGTCGGCTTCGGAGGTGTGCGCCGTTGACGACATCAACTGCTACTTGCTGGCCCAGAAGCTGGGCCCGCCAGGGCCACTGAGTGGGGGACATCCTAGACGCCCTAAGCCCTCGAAACCCTAGCCACGTGCTGGCCTTGCGGGAATGTTAGGGGATGTTAGGGGATGTTAGGGGATGTTAGGGCATGTTAGGGGATGTTAGGGGATGTTAGGGGATGTTAGGGGATGTTAGGGGATGTTAGGGGAGGTGGGTTCTGTTAGGGTTCAATTTGAAGAACTCGGGGCCTACCGCCTGCATTGCTTCCTTCTTCTCGCTTTCCTCTCCAAAGGTTTCCCGGCTGGGGCACCTTCTAAACCTGCAAGCCCTAAAGCCCTGACCCTGAATCCGATGTGTTGCTGTCTGCATGGTTGTGGTGAAGCAGGGGGTGTGCACGGGTCCAGCAGGTTCCAGACCAACAGCGGTAAGAGCGATCGGTCAAATGACGAAAGGGCGCGGGGCCGGGGTCGAAAGCTGGTTTACACATCGCTCAGCGCTGTTGACGCCATGCCCCGCCCAAGTGGGGTGAGACACAGGTTGAAACAGTTCCGGGAGTATTTCTTTCAGCCGCTTGGCTTGGCGACACTGAGGATGTCACGTGTCAGCTGGTTGAGGGTAGGATGGATAGGATAGAGTCGGATTTTGCGAGGGCTATGTCGGGTGCTTTACATCGATCAAAGCTCCATTGTGCTACTCGGATGTGTGTGCCACCAAGTTGAAACCAAGTCACCCGCTCGGTAATCGTGCAGCAGCACCCACCTTGCCAGCTGTGTGTGCAAGAAGACTGACTTTAAAACTGTTCCAGTGCTGGCCGAGTTGGAAGCTAGACAGTCAACCGCAGGGCAGTCTGAGCAGCCTAGGCAAATCCCAGACCCTGCGCCTTTCTTAACAAGAACAATCTGGTTGCTTTGACTGCTCATGAGCCGGACCCTTTGGTCCTCAAACACTAATTGCTAGAACTTTCACACCTGAAATACACACACTGTCCTCCGCGTCGTCGTCTGCGAAGGTTCGGTGGAACCACAGGTGGTACCTTTGCGAGCAGCGCCTCGGGCATGGAGGTGAGGGATCATAATTTGCAGCTTCGTTTTGATCAACGTGGCACAGACGTTCATGGTTAACGAGGTGGAGGCAGCACAGGCAGGTTCAAGTCTGCGCATTGTGAGCATCAACGCGACAACCCTAGCGACGCCTGGACATGCCCTCACGACACTTCGATGTGCTGCGGAGACTAGGAAGTGGCTGTAAAGTTACCAGCTCCGACACCTTCCCCGCTTTTGCACAGATTCTGCTTTTGCAGCTTTAAGCGGCCAGAGCCTGCGAGGACATGACGGAGGAGAAGCTCAAGGTCACCAGCTCGGCAACTCTTGCCTTGCATCCATATTCCTGCGGTAGCCCGTGCCGCAGGACACTGGCTGGTCACTAGTTTCCCTTTACCCTACGTGCTGATCATGGATTAATACATATATTCACGTCTCCTCAAGAAGCCCTGCAGTCATTTTACCCATTTGACAGTTTCTGACCCTCTCCGTCCTTTTTTTTTTGCAGCGGGGAAGAGGTCTACCAGGATCCCTTCAGCCTGGGGGGTCGGCGACAACGGGGTGTGCAGCCTGAGGATTATGCAGGGGGGCCCAAGGCCCAAAACGGGACTCTTCGGAGAGGTGCTTTCATGGGCATGTGGGCTTTCATGAGGCGTTGTAAGCTGGGGGAGAATTGGCTTGCAGGATTCGGGTTGTGAACATGTTGAGGAACTGCAGCCTGACCATGTGTATGCCGTAGATTATGACAGCTAAGTAGTTGAGTTCCTCAGCAGTGCAACGCATCGAAGCATCACACGTCTGTGAGAATGCGCCCTGGAACCAGCAAATGCAAGAACTCTCAGGGCCTTGTAACAGTCCGCCAAGGACTGCTCGGAGACCGCCCAGGTGTGCACTGCCAAGCAAGGGTGGGTACTCAAGGGTGTGCGGTCCAGCCCAATGGCGTTTGCCATTTAATTTGTGGGCTTAGAGGGTTTAGAGAGGCGGGCTTTGGATTCTCATGGGATGAGACCATTTGCTGGAGACCGCAACTAGCAAGGCCCGACATGCCCAGTTTCTGGCCAAGCCGAGCCCCAGTTCCCTGCTTCGCAGTTATTGAACGCATGTCTGTTGCCCGTTGGGCCTCCGAAGGACCCGGAACAAGCCCGAAAACCTGAACGAGCGCCGCATGCCACATGAGCACATGATTGCACATGATTGCACTACGCTTCCACAGGCGAGTGCGTGGTGTAGCTGCCGCTACGAAGTTCTGGAAGATCTTGTGCTTCTGCACGTATGGAAGGACCCTATCTATTCGTCCCTGTGGCTGCAGCCAGCGTATAATGGCCACACCGGAGCCGGGGGCACAGCATCATGGGGTCGGGTCTGTTCCTGCATGAACTCCATCGCTGCCCATGAGCAATGAGCTCGAAAGACGGCCTGAGGGTCGGATTCTTCGGCGGAGTTGCCAACTCTTCGAGGAGGCAGAAGGCGGCGAGCGGCCTGTTTTCAAGGTCTTCAGATCCCTAGAGTTGCAGCTCGGACAGTGGGGTGTGCTTGCGGAGCTGATGGTTGCAGGATGTTAAAGGGCTGCGTGGTCCAGTCATCGAGTATGCACGAGCAGGAACGAGTATGCACGGGTATGCGAGCCCGTACGCACCATCACTTCCGATTACGTGCGATCAGGTGTGCACGTGCACAGACAGCGCAAGGAGCCAAAGCCATCAGCAGCCTTTGAATCCGAATGAGGGAGATCTCACATTCGAATGATTAGATGATTAGGCACCTAATCATGGCAGCTTCTGCCGAGTGATCAGCGTATGGCCTTCGCCCGTGCCATGGGCTTGCGAGCTACGGAGGGCCGAAGCCTTGAGCTCAGACTTGAAGCCTCTCTAGGCGAGCGTTTCCAGACCGACAGCAACGCAGTTGAGACTTGAGAGCCTGAGTCTTGCTGAGCCTCGCTCCCCGCGGCCATCTTCCAGACAAGCCTCCGGCATCGCCTCCGGCATCTAGCGGTCCTGCCCACACGCCATTCTTCAGAGACGATGGAAACCACGCCAAAGCTGGATTCCTGCCTCAGACCTGAGGTTAGAGTAGACAGGCTGGAACGTGAAGCCCACCGGACCGTGTTTAACAGTTTACTGTAACATGTGTCGACGCATGATGTTCTTCAACGCCCTTAGGATGACCCTAATACATCACCTGGAACACGACGAGGGCGCAGTTCGATATTCTGGTATTCAGGAAGGTTTCGAGGACTCATGGCGAGTGGGTTGAGGACGTTCGTTGGAAGTTGGGGGCAGAAGCTCGTATCCCGCAATTGCGCAGTGCGACTTCAGCTCGACGGGTAAAAAACCATCCGAGGCCGCTCTTAAAATGCTCAATATGATCAATATGCCTTGAGCTCAGGATTTCTCTACTCCGCCCTTTGTGAACTCCCCCACATTGGGGGCCAAGGCGCGTCTGGTGGCATGAGGTTGTTGGTGGCTTGAGGGTTTCGGGATGCACAAAGGGCGAGAGTGCTACACGAAGTTCATGTTGCTTGGCATCGCCGCTTTGTCGCCGTCTTGTATGTGTTTACCTTCAGTGTTGCCATCCGACTCGCCCCGAACTGGCAAGCCCCCTCCCCCTCCTCCCCCAGCTCTACAACAAAGGTGGGATTGTGGTGCTCGCGCTCTCTCTCTCTCTCTCTCTCTCCCTCTCCCTCTCCCTCTCCCTCTCCCTCTCCCTCTCCCTCTCCCTCTCCCTCTCCCTCCCTCCCTCCCTCTCTCTCTCTCTCTCTCTCTCTCTCTCTCTCTCTCTCTCTGTACAGAGAGACTCTCGTGTGCATTCTTAGATTCTCCTGTTTTTGGTTGGTGCAAGTCCGAGATTGCTGCCTCTCCGTGCTTTTTTGTTGGCTTGGGAGGCAACCAGTCCGGAAGTCTTGACCTTGTTGTCCCACCTGGAGAACCTCGAGCAGATTAACGGTCTCAGGGGCGATACCTTTGCTCGAAGCAACAGCCATGGCTCTGCATGCCACAATCAATCCGGAAATGATGGGGTTGCGCTCAGATGTTCATGGCCTGCCTTCAGAGCAGAATGAAGCAAGCCGGGGATGAGCAGCAAGTTTGAAGTTTGGGCGCCGCTAGTGGGGGGGGAGGGAGGGGAGGGGGAGACATGTGGGACATGTGAGCAGAGGCAGAAGCACGTTACGCTTTCTTACGTTCTGTCCAAAAGTGTCTCAAGCTATGCTGAACATTCCAAGTTGCCTGCTCATCGGTGCCTGAAAGCTTGACAGAGTTTGCAGCCACATTCCTTCCCGAGGAATGGGCCGCTCAGTGATCCTGTGCTGACCTGGGCCCTTCTGGCTCCACCTCTGCCTGAGAAGGCTGCTTTGATTAAGGGTCGGACCGAGAGGTGTGAAACAAAAATTGCTGCGAGTCTGCCGTATCATTGGGCATCTGCAAGTAGCGAGGCAGGCTAGCTTGCCTACTTTCCATGTGGTATCGCATGATCTTCAACGGCAGCGAGTTCTGCAGACATGTGAGGTCGTGCGTTGAGAGCTTGTGTTCGAGTGAGTTGGACAATGCTCTGTCGTAGGTGTGAACAATCATGCGCCCATAATTCGCCCAACATACGCAAGGTACACCTCTCTTGAGCTTGCTGGTGTACAGCAGATAAAATGAGGCGCCGGAATGGAGAGTGTTGCTTCTTTCCAGGACTTGACACCGCCACCGGGCCTGGGCGAGCCAGGCTTTGCGGGCACCTCGGCAGCTCTCTGCTCCGTTCTGCGTTTTTTCGGGGGGGCTTTCTGTGATGGTTCTGGCTTCGGCAGTCCCCGTTGTGTTGTGCTGGTAACTGCCTGTACACCTTCCGCCATTTCTTGGAATGGTCCATTTCCCAAAAATGCCGGGCTTGCAAATTTCCCTTCTAGAGCTGAACCCGACAAAGGCAACCTGTTGGACGAGAAGATGCAGCTCCATCTGACGAAGCAGTGCCATCCCTGCGGCTTGGAGTCCAGTTCAGACTTTCAGACTTCTGCCAAGTGAGTGACCCGATGAAGAACCCCTAAGCCTTTACAGCAAGGGGTGCTTGTTGCCTCCCAACGGCCTGCACATGGTAAGCTTGTGGGATCTTCCGGGTTTTCGGTGTTGGTTTTGGGGATACAGTGCAATTCAGAGAGAAGGCGATGAGTGCACCCAGAACTGGCCGCCCAATCCCGAGCTGAGCCCAATTCCTCACCGGCTCAAGGCGTGGCATTTGCCTTCAAGAAGGACCGATGCGCCCCGGCCTGCAGTTGGGAGCCATGGGAACACAGGTCCATGGGACTCGTTTACACGGAACCCGTCTGATAAGCACTCTTGCAGCTTCTGAGTATACAGATACTGCAGGGTTTATGGCTCAAGGGGACTTTACCCTAAACCAAAATCCCCAAACCCTAAACGCCGGGTTGGTCTCGGGATTGTGGATTCGTGTTTGGGGTAGGTTCCTGAGCCTGACCTGCCGGGGCACATATTCTTGAAAACTGTTGTGCTTTCTCCGCAGCTGCTCAGAGGCTGGAAGGGCGACGCCTGCTCCCACTGCCACATCTGCAGCCCGGATGAAGCCAAAGCCCGCCGCCGCGAACTGCAGGCGCAAAAGTACAGTGGTGGGGGAGACCCCATTCGAACTGGGGGGATGTTTGACACATGGAAAAGACATGTGGCCTGATGACACGGTTGTGACCTGTCCGAGGTCCAGGGTTACTAACAAATTCCCCAAGAGTGTAAAGCGACCGATGTTCTGGCACGTTCGAGTTGGCCGATGGTTTGACAGTCTTGCCAATGTGTCAGGAGCGGGCCAGGAAGCTCAAGCGTGTGCAGAAGGCAGTAGAGAAGGCAGAGCGGGGCGCCTCGGCTGGTCGTGTTGGGGGGAGGACTGTTGGTCTGCAGCCTTTACAGCCGAGATTGAATCTCCCAGCCTTGCAGATTTTGATGCTTCTTGAAACAGCTGCTTGACAGACATAGCCACTCAGGCGAGGGGGCCTCACTCTGGCTCTGAGGCCGTGGCTCTGCCTGGAGGCCGACGTGCCAAGAGCAAGATAAGCATATACGACGGGGATAGAGTGGGCGAATGATGAGTCGCACAACGTCTCGTCAGCCGCGGTAAGTAGAGTCGAAGCTGCAGTCAAGCAGGACCCGGTCGTTTCAATTTTCGCGGTCGTGGTGGAAACGGTGGTAGTGCTGGTGGTTGGGTGATGGTCGTCGTAGGAGAGGTCTGTTGCCATCGACGTGCAACCGATGGCCTTGTTCATACGAGGCTTGCGCTGACTTCTGGACTTGGACAGCGCGGTGGCCCAGCATGATGCTCGGATTGAGGCGCATCAGGCTGCTGAAAGCAACCTTTCCAGTCTTTTTGCAAGACGTGCACTTGCAACTGCGTTGTAAGAGCACGTGACCGAGAAGACACCCTGTCAGGTACCTTCTCAGAATTCACGATTTTCATCCATGCCAATGACGTGGATCGTTGTCCGAGCTGTATATAGCTGGCCAGTGAAAGCGTCACGATGTGTCATGCTCTGGCGGCAAGATAGGGAGCCCCAAGTACCATACCTGTTTCTGCCAAAAGCAGTGGTGTTTGTCGACATTGCCGCAGCATGATGCTGGACAGCCGCATTCCGCAGTAGCTTCGGGTGCGGAAGGTCGACGTCGTTTCTTCTCGTTTCCCTGCTCCATGAAGCAACAGCTTATACAGATGCCTGTGCTTGGGACAGCCTTGCTTCGAGCCCGCTGCCGCCCAGCACATGCGTCTCAATGTGCTTTGCTCGCCAGCAGCTCACGTCAAGAGCAGCTCCACTAGGCGACTTCACAAGCCTTGAGTCTCAACAACTTACAAGATTTACAAGATCTTGGCAGGCTGCCGGTGCCCTGGGAGGGGTAGAGAGTTCGGCCATACGCTCTGTGTAGATGCGCAGGAACCACCACCCTGCTGTCTTGCTTCTCCTAGACTTCAGTCTCGGACATCAAGTGTTCGAAGCTTCTGGCCAAGAATGGAGCCTTCAAAAGATTCGGATCCAAGATTAATCAAGAGGATGTGGAGGCAAGCACTCAGGGTGTGCGTGCGCGCTGAGAAGTTCGGAATCAAGAATCCAGGCATAGCCAATGGCAGAAAGGCTCGCTGAGCAGGCTGTGGCACTGTAGCAAATGCAGGGGAGCTGCAAGACGCCCCAGGTAGTTATCATAAATCTTGAATCGAATCCATCTCTAGAGTTCGCAGGACTCCTTAATCCTGGGGTGCACTTGCGTACCTTCTTTGCTCCGCCAGGAAGGCTTGCTTCATTCCCCAATAGTGGATCCTAGCGATGCCCTTTTGCATCGTCGTCTGTGGATTGAAGCCGCGGGACAAGACAAAACATTTTTGTCTGACGTGCTTTGCACATGCATCTGCAATCGTAAGGTAGTTGCATTGTAGACATGGTGTTCACGAATCTTGGATGTGCTTTGTATAGGGGAAGCCCTTCAGTGGAACCGAAGTATGGTATTCTGTCATAATTAGCCGCTTGTGTTGGTTTGCTTATGTATCATCGTTTCAGTAGTTGCTCCCACAGAATCTGTGACAGTTGCTTTTTGCGTCCGATGCATGCACTGAGGTAGCTGCGTGCACCTCTCTTGGCGGATCTGAGCGACCAACACATAGCCAACCGGCACAAACGACTTGCAACTGCATATGCCTCTACCTTATACCTGACGCCACCGATTCTATTTGGACTTGTTGTGTCTGTGCTGGTGCGGCGGTTTCGGACAGTGCGGCAAGACTCGGTCGCTATCTGAGCCAAAGTGCATGCGGGATGACCAAAAACGACGTCAGGATCCAAAGCCTTGGATGTGGCTAGTGTAGGATCAGCCGACCTTGAAACTTGTTGCAGATGCCCCCTCTGGTAACACGTTGCCAAAGCCGGCCAGAGTGTATGCTCTGCCCTGGAAAGCGAACCCATATTTAAGGTTAGTCTTTGTTAGCCCTCCCTTACCCACAAAGTGCCTGACATTTTGCCAGGTGACTCGGTCCCACGCTACGGAAAGGCTTTGACCATTGTCATCCGAGACGCTGCCGCCCGGTTCAGAAGGCCTTGACAGTTCAACAGGAATGGGGGTTCAGCAGCACGAGTTTTGGGTATGGGTCTTTCTTGAAGATGAGATTGCCATACTCTCAGTGGCAAGCTCGTGTGCTCGTAGCCTGTTCTGGTTTCTGTCTGTGACGAAGGTTCTTTCCGCTAAAGGGGATCGGAGCCTGATTTGTGGGCAACAATCGAAGTCTTGCAGAAGTCTCATTCATTTCGCAGCAGCTGAGTCTTGCATTTCGAAGTGCGTATCTCTGCCAAATCGCTTTGGTGCTGTGAGATGCAGTCTGTACATCCGAAGTAAGGCGACCAGCAAGCGGGCGGGTGAGCAAGCCGCATTGGCCCTCAGACTTTATGCATTCTGGGGATGCCCTTCCTTGTGAAGGCATTGATGTTGCTTCACGTGTTTTGGAAGAGAAGTCAGCTGCTGCTTGGCGCCGTTGGCATCTACATGCTCGCATGGTTGGAGCACACCGGAGGCCAAATCCATGGCGCCCGTGCGCAGCACCGACGAAGCGAAGGCAGCTGCAGGCGCCTCCTCTGCGGGATGTGGGCCTATGGGAGGTTTCTTCCTTGGGCTTTAAGACCCTGTAATCGAGCTAGACCCCGCATCCGAAAAGGGAACCTTGGGGGGCACTTTTCTCTCCGTGGGATCCGAATTTAAAACTTAATGACACGTCTGCCGAGGATGTTCCCTCGGCCATTGTCTGCTTGATTGTGAGCTTTGTTGTGTGGCAGCGGTCTCGCTCCGTCTGGCCTTCTGAGCCCTTTGGCACAAAAAGAGCAGAAGTAGTTTGGCACATGACCCTGCAATGGCCGTGATTTTTAAAACCGGGAACCAGTTCCTAGGTCTTCAGCCAGCGCAACGTGTCACTCCAAGCATTTAGGGCACTGTGCGCTGCGGCCACAACGCAGCCGGCCATGGACGACTACTCCTCGGGCAGCGAGTTGGAGAGCATCGTGGACCGCACGCCGAAGCCCTCCTTTTCTCAGCGCTTGCGCTTATCCAGTATTCTTTTTGTACTTAGGGTGGGTCGATTGACACGACAGTCCATTGTGAAACAGCATGCCCAAGTGAGCAGTCTAGAACAAACAGGGACAGCACGCACACGGGTGATTCCTAAGTCGAACGTCCGTCTGTGCAGGACAGTGGCATCATCAAACGTGATGGCCCGGGCATTGAGGCTGGCTGGCTGCGCATGCATTTACACTGTGGATGGCGGAAACATGACATCCTGAAGGAAGAAGAAGATGTTCGCAACCTTCTTCTTGACCCCATTTTCTGACGAAGAAGCTTGCGTTCTTCTAAGTGGAAGCGTTCCCAATGTGCTGACTGGGTGTCGGGAGACTTTCACAAAATGAGCATGGCCTGGCAGGTCCTTTCACACACAGCCCCCTGGGAGAAGCTGTGCCTCTTCCTGGGTGGCTTTCTGGCCCTCGTGCAGGGCGCCTGGGCCCAGGGTTTGGTGGTCTAGTACTGGCAATGTGCATGGCTTGGGTATGTTTTCGAGGAAGTCACACTCTGTTCTGTCTATGCCCATGTGCCCTTTACCAGAACTTGGCTTGGTCGAGTGGTGTCGGGTTGTGTGGGTGCGCAGGCTGGCATGAAAGGTGTTGCGGGGTTTCCTGCCATGCCCGTTTTTGAAAGATCACGGTACATCTCGTTGACTCACAGTCCCATGCAGGCCACAGGGAATGGCCAAAGACGAAGCCACAAGCCTTCATTTGATCTCACACAGTGCCACACCAGGGGGTGCAAACCCGGCGGTGGATCGCTCAAAACAGTAAAGAGAAGCACCAAATCACCCCAATCCAAGCAGGTGCTGCAGAGCCCATCGTTGCCATGTTCATTGGTACTTGTGTCGCTCGGCACGAGTCTTTGCAAGTCTTAGGCCTGAAATCTTCGCACCTTCAGCTTCTACTGTAATCCCATGTAATGCCCCAAAGTTTCTCTGGTTGGTAGTTCGGCGCTCATGCCCGCTGCACATCGGAGCACAGTCTCTTCCTCCAAGCATCTGCAATCTCCAATCCCACCTTCTTGGCTATGCCCCCCAACCTGCGCCTGAGTTCGATGTCATCAAAACGGCACCCGCTGATGTGGTGCTCGAGGCCCGGGTCCGGGCAGGGTCGGTAGTTGTAATCGCTTGCGTGCCCCGCCTCGGCAGCCAAACCGGCTCAAGCCAAACCAGCTCAAGCCACGAGACGTCCCACAACCGTGCGTGGAGACAAAAGAGAGCGTAGCAGGTTCCTGGGACCGGCCCATAGCTTGAGCCCCCACACCTGGGGTGTGGGGGGGGGGGGGGGGGGAAAGGTTGGGAAGCGGGGAGGACTGCGTGTTCCAAACGCCGTCGGCTGGAGATCGAAGCAAACTCCTTCAATGGAACGCATGACCCTGGAATCGCTTGCTGCATGCCTCTTGCGTAAACCCAGCCACTCCTCACAGTAAGAGCCGAATTTGGCATATGGAAGACAGGAAATGCAGACGCCTCTGCTCTCCATGGCAGTTCTGGCTACTTGCCTCGAGACTGGAAGGCAACTCGAGTCCAACCCAGCAAAGTGTGGGTCCATGCGGTCCATGCCAAGGCACTGGCAGTCTTTGGCTTGGCCTTCCTGTGGCAGACACTCCTGCGCCTCGGAGTAGTAAAGCCGTGCCGCGCGGAGCGTTGCGCCTGGCGTTTCCTAAGCATCTTAATTCGTGTGAGCGTCGAAGCCGCTTAGTTCGCAGGACTTCTGGAATCTTCTGGACAAATAGACATCTGTGTGTTGCACGTGTCCTGGAAGCCTGGCATCCCAGTGCTCGCTTGAGGATGCTTGCCGCAAGCCAGCAGGCGCTGCGGTGGCAGATCAGGTACCTGAAGTCCTTGCGCTTCGGCTGAGGTTTCTGAGTTTCGGGATGGCATTGGGCTTCGGGACGCCAAGCTCGCAGTCTCTGGAAGTGTCCGTCTTGGGCTCCGATGATTTCAAGATGTCTGCCAGTAGGCAGGTTGTCTTGTGTGTGAGAGTTCTGCTAGGCAAGGCTGCCTAGAACGATTTGTCAAGACGTAGAAACATGTACGTGGTGAGAGGGCCAGGGGATGGCGCACGCCGTCCTCGAATCGGGTTGAGGATGCTGAACGCCTGCAGGCGGTGGAAGAAGGTTTTTGAGATGCTTTTGTTATTGGAGTTTTCCCAGGCTCTCTTTGGACATCACCTGGTTCGACGAGAGCGAGGCAGCTGGCTTGTCCTCCAAGCTCCTGGGCACGTGTAAGTCGCTGACTGGGCCCATCTTGGAGATTTTTGGAGTGGGCTCGAGGTTGGAGGTTTGGCAAGGCTGCTGCCTGTGGCTGTTGTTGTCCTCATCTTCTCTTGCTCGGGGTGTGGCTCGTTGCTGTGCATTGAGACTTGCGCTGCATTGTCAGTTGGTACTTAGTCCACGAAGTATTGCGGAGCATACTGAAGACATGCCCCATTAAGGCTGCAGAGCGATGTGGAGAGCGTCCACTTCTTCATGTCTGCAGGGCTGGGCTACCTGATCGCCAGCTTGGGTCAATTCCTAGCTGGGATAACGGTGGCCATGATCCACGGCCCCAAGCTGACTCTGTCCGTCTGCGCCTTCCTGCCGGTCCTCTTCTGCGCGGGCCAGGCAATGGGCCAGCAGCTCGAGCGAGGAATGACCCTCCAGCAGCAGGAGGGCGGGGAACGAAGCGTAAGCTCATCACACCTATAGACATTGTTTTGCGTGGAAGCTTCTCAAAGCCCTTGCTCTCTCAAAGCTTTCAAATTGTGCAGGACTTCGCCAAGGCGGCGGGTGTGGCAGAGGAGAGCTCGGGATGCTTCAACTGGGCCAACCGTTTGTCCATAGTCCCCCAAGACCCCAAGACCCCAAGACCCCAAGACCCGCCCCTGAATGCGCAGTCATCAGCAGTCTATGCCACTGCGCTCCTCACTTTTAAGAGAAAGGAGAGCCTGCTGGGCATCCGCACTGTGGCCGCCTTCGGGGGCGAACTGCGGGAGCAGGAGCTCTCAGGGCCTTCAACCACTCATGGACAGCTACCACTGCTGCGATTCCAGAAAGGTTCCACTCGAGTGTCGGGACAACTTTCCACTGAGGTCCACGGCATTTGCACGTGTCGCGTTCGCGAGAGTCGCGAGCGTCGCAAACCCTGCTTTTCCAAGTTTTCCCGTCATCGTTTGTTTGCAATTCGGTGCTTTGTGAGATTCAGCGTCGCGTGCGCTTGAACGTTGCCTGCCGTACTTCGCTTGCTGGGTTTTCAAGCGTGTACTTCGTACTTCATATTGCCGCGCGTGAGATAGCGGCGAATGGCCATGAATCACATCGCATCGTTTGGTTCAGTGTTGCAAAATGGGATTGCAAGCATCTAGCTGTAGTTTGTCTTAGCTCGGGGATATGGCCCACTGCCTGAATGTTTCCATCCGCCCTCCGAAGGAGCGCTTCGCTCGGCAGCTGACGCAGGCGCGCGATGGCGGCGTGCGCTCGGGTGTGAAGATCGGCATGTCGTGGGGCCTCCTGAACTTCATCATGGCCTTGCTCTACGCCGTGACCCTCTACGTCGGGGGGCACGGCCTTCTTACCGGCGCCTCCAAGAAGAAGGGCGGAGATGTGGTGACCGTGCTTATCTCGCTGATCACGGGGATGGGTGGCGTCAACTCCTTCAGCGGCTACCTGCCCACCATGGCCAAGGCCATGGCTTCTGCCTCGGCAATGAGACCTGCCTTTCTCTTTAGCGAATGTGCTGTGCTTGACTTCAAAGAGCTCAGGGCCCCCGACATCCATAAGGCCCCCGAAAAAGAGCCCCTGTGGGCCTTTTTTCGGCTGGTGGTGGGTTCGAGCACTGCGTAGTAATCATTATGCCCAGGAAGGCGGTGATGAGGGCCGAGGCCCATGACATCGAGCCAGAGGGCATCATGGCTGCAAGTGCTCAGCAGGAAGGGCCCCCAAACCCCAACGCGTGTTTAAGTGGTACGTGGCAGGAGGTGTGATCAGAAAAAGCCCAGGCTTTGAAAATGGGGAGCTTCCGCAGCACGTCCAAACGATTCAGAGCCTGGAGTTCCGATCTGTCAGCTTCAGCTACCCGACGAACCCGGAGAAGCTCATCCTTGACCGGCTCTCTTTCCAGGCCCGATGTGCTTGCATGTTCCGCGGGTCCAAAGTCATGTCCAATACATGAAGATACAATGGCCGGTGTGCCGGTGGCTCTTCCGACACAGGTGGCCAAGGGGCAGAAAGTGGCCTTTGTGGGGGAGAGTGGCTGCGGGAGCCAAGGCCGCAAATCTTACGCCCCTCCTCGGGCTTCGACAGTTTTTGCTGCAAGCTCCTTTTTTCATCGTCCCTTCTTGACTCTGTTACTTGAGAAGCTAGGGGCCCTGGAGATGTGATAGCTTAAGGGCATATGCCCTTGGGTGTCGAAAGGGCATACGCCGGCAAATGCCCTTAACCTGAACAGTCCCAGATAGGCTGCTGGCAAACAGAAGCATATAGGGGTTTGGGGTTGCCCCGCTTGTAGGGGTTTTGGGCTGGTTTTGGGCTGTCACGGTCTCGTCCGCTTCTAGGGGTTTTGGGCTTCTCGAGGGCTTGGGGCTGTCACGGTCTCGTCCGCTTCTAGGGGTTTTGGGCTGTCACGGTCTCGTCCGTTTCTGGGGGTTTTGGGCTGTCACGGTCTCGTCCACTTCTAGGGGTTTTGGGCTGTCACGGTCTCGTCCGTTTCTGGGGGTTTTGGGCTGTCACGGTCTCGTCCGCTTCTAGGGGGTTTTGGGCTGTCACGGTCTCGTCCGCTTCTAGGGGTTTTGGGCTTCTAGGGGGCTTGGGGCTGTCACGGTCTCGTCCGCTTCTAGGGGTTTTGGGCTGTCACGGCCTCGTCCGTTTCTGGGGGTTTTGGGCTGTCACGGTCTCGTCCGCTTCTAGGGGTTTTGGGCTGTCACGGTTTCGTCCGTTTCTGGGGGTTTTGGGCTGTCACGGTCTCGTCCGCTTCTAGGGGTTTTGGGCTGTCACGGTCTCGTCCGCTTCTGGGGGTTTTGGGCTGTCACGGTCTCGTCCGTTTCTGGGGGTTTTGGGCTGTCACGGTCTCGTCCGCTTCTAGGGGTTTTGGGCTGTCACGGTCTCGTCCGTTTCTGGGGGTTTTGGGCTGTCACGGTCTCGTCCGCTTCTAGGGGTTTTGGGCTTCTAGGGGGCTTTGGGCTGTCACGGTCTCGTCCGCTTCTAGGGGTTTTGGGCTGTCACGGTCTCGTCCGTTTCTTGGGGGTTTTGGGCTGTCACGGTCTCGTCCGCTTCTAGGGGTTTTGGGCTGTCACGGTCTCGTGTTTTGGGCTGTCACGGTCTCGTCCGCTTCTAGGGGTTTTGGGCTGTCACGGTCTCGTCCGTTTCTGGGGGTTTTGGGCTGTCACGGTCTCGTCCGCTTCTGGGGGTTTTGGGCTTCTAGGGGGCTTTGGGCTGTCACGGTCTCGTCCGCTTCTAGGGGTTTTGGGCTGTCACGGTCTCGTCCGTTCCTTGGGGGTTTTGGGCTGTCACGGTCTCGTCCGCTTCTAGGGGTTTTGGGCTGTCACGGTCTCGTCCGTTTCTGGGGGTTTTGACCTGCATTGTGGTAGGTTAGTGGTGGGGCCATGCAACCATTAGATACATATCCATGTGCTATTCCATAAGCTTCTGGCTTGAGCCAGGCTTCCTTTGTAGGGGCGTGCCGTGCTGATAAAATCAATGGATGCCCTGCTTGCCCACTGTTCTAATGTGGCTGACGTGAGTCATTTCTTCATTTCTTTGACGATTCGTACTCCAATTGAGTTCGCAAACAGATATGACTCGGAGGAAGAGGTGCTGTCAGCGTCTCGACAAGTTTTGGGGAATGCAAACCTTTCAACTATCAGCCAACTTGTGAGCTTGTGGGAGCTGGCAAACCATTGGGCGGATGATGCAGCAGAACAGACTGCTCGCTGCTACAGTGAGCCATTGTGCAGACAGGATCAGCGCGTGTCAGTGCCATCATCCCAAATTGGTCAGTTTGGAAAGACATTGAGTGTCTTGCCCAGACAAAAATTTCGCCGCAGACGCTTTGTCGCAGAGCCCATCACGGCCCCTTCTGATGCAAGCAAATATGCCCAACCACGCGCCGATCAGCTGTGGTTATTGTTTCTACAGATTAATGACGCTGGGTCGTTATGGAATCAATACTGCACCTTGTCAGGTCCTTTGCAAGAAGCATTCGGCCAAAGTAAGATTGAATCGTGGTTGGCATGTCCGACGTCTACACTGTCCCGTGCTGTCAACACTGCTTCGCGCTGGGCCGCATGGTGTGAGCAGAATGGTGTCTCTCCCTGGATGCCCAGTGCCCTAGAAGTCGGACTTTGGCTTCGCTCTCTTCGGGCAAAGGGGCCTACTGCCGCTCGTGGCGCTTTCGCTGCCCTGAAATGGCTGCAGCGCCATGTGGGGGCACCTTTCCACACTGCTTCAGAGGAAGTTGCAAGCTACGGAGTCGATGCGCCGGAACATGAAGAAATTCCAGCTTCGCCGATGTCTGTCGCGCTTTGGGTGCTCCTGGAGCAGGTCCTTGGTAGTGCTAATGCAGGGGACCCTTTCAAACTTCTTTCAGCATGCTGGATATTCCTGCTAGTCGGGTGCGTTCGCTTCAAGCACTTGCAGCAATCCCGTCTCATTGAGTGCTACGCCGACGGCCTGGAGTTCCTCTGCGCCAAAGGTAAAGCGCGAGTGAGGGGTGCCCAACGTCCCTTCCGCTGGAGAATGCCTCGGTTTGGCATCACAGGCATAGACCTATTCAAAGTCTGGTCAAAGCTTTTGCGCACAGCCTTTGAGGACCTGAAAGGAGTTGGTTTTGTGCTGCCAGACTTTAGGCCAAAACGCGTCCCGTTGGAACGTGTCACTGGTCTGGCTGAGGGTCCCATGCCGCGATGGAAGTTCACACGGTTGTCCACCGCCATGTTCAAGCAACTCGGAGTTACCTACGTTCATAGAGGCAAGCCGTCTGCTTTAACGTACGCGAGCAGGCGCGTCCTACCCACCTTGGCAGACATTGCAGGTTTCCGGCCACGAGAAATGTTGGCAATTGGAGCATGGATGGATAGTAAGCGCCCATCCCTGCAGGAGATGTCCTGGCGCTTGGCCATGCCACTCCGGTACAGCGACAACAAGCTGGCGCTTTCCCAGCGCCTGAAATCCGAGTTGATCGGAGCTGCGCGGCTTGCTTGGTCACGTTGGTGCTGTCAGAAGGAGTCACGTGATCCATCATGGGAGGACCTTATCCCTTTGTGGCCTAGACGTGCTGAAGTTTCAAGCGCCGTGCCCGCGGCTCTCCCTGGCAAGCAGACCGAAGGAAGCAGCAGTCCCTTGCTTTCCGAGCCGAGCATAAGCGATGCAGAAGACGACCGGGATGAGCCAACTTGGTTGCTGCCAGCATCGAGCAAGCGCTCCAAACTTCATTTGCAGTCCGCAGTTACGCCTGGCACCACTCAATGTGGCAAGAAGCTCCGTCGCCCAGAGGAGGGCGCTGGCTTGGAGAAAGCGTTGGCAACTGGGCGCGAATGGTCCCCCACGTGTTTCAGGAAGCTGCCCGAGTCTTCTCAAGAGCGCTGGCTGGGCTTCAGCAAGCTCCACACGTGAGGTCTGCAAGCCTGTAGATCTGCGTAATGCAACATAAGACACTTCTCGCTGTCTCGCTGATCTGCATTGCGCTGCAGCGAGTCCGAGTGTCCGACCTGTCATGCAAGCCGTGTTGTCGTAAACCTTGCCTCCCCCCCTTTGACCCTAACCTGCCCTCATAGGTTGCAATCTAATAAGCTCGCTGTGTGTGCGCTGGGCCTGCTCGTTTCGAGATCTGCCCATTGCTCACTAGGCCTGTAGGCATGAGGCCGTTCTTCATTCCGAAGCGGCTCGGCTCTTTTCTGTAAAGCTGTTCGTCACTACGACGCGGCGCTTATATAGCAGTCACACATTGCGGACGCGCCAGATATCCTTGGCGCCCGAGCAGAGTTGCCGTCAATGCGATGCAGTTGTAAGTATGCTGACTGTCAATGTGATGCAGCTGTAAGTAGTGCACCTTCCAAAATGCCCAATACTTTTTGTTTGGCTCAGGTGTCCCCAGTATAGCACGTTGTGTGGTTGTCTCGGACTGACTCGCAAATCGGTCCCATGCCGGTGAACGCCGAGCTTCAGGCCTTCTTGCTTCAGCGGAAGGTTGACCAGGCAATTGTTGATTACCTGGGTCGGGCAGATGTGGGTTGTCTTTCGATTCGCGCCTTTGCGAATTGGGTTGACTCCAGATCCGACATCGAGCCCAAGATCTTGGCCAAAATTCCCAGCCACAAGGACAACCAAAGCCAACTGGCCCTGCTCAAGCAGGCATGGCGCGAAGCTGATGCTTTGGTCACTCGTCAGATTGCCCGTCAGTCGCAGGGTTTGGCGCCCGAGGATTTGGATGAACCCTTGGACCCTGATGTGCAGAAGTCCTACGTCTCCATCTTCACAGCTTACCACAAGTGGGGTGAGATTGACTCTCGCAGGATTGGTAGCGATTCCATGTTTGGGCGGTTTCGGCGTGAGTTCGAAGCCCGTCAGCCCAGCATGTTTCCTGTCCTGCGGGTACGTTCCCTCGCTACTGCCCAAAAGGCCCCGCCAGTCAAGAAGCAAAAGCTCGCAGATGGCGTTTCCCTCGTCTCCAGCTCCGGCAATGAGGATATGGAGCCTTCGCCGGCCCAGGGAATTCATGGCTATCTCATGTTGTTGGACGTCCTGGTGTTCACATGGGCGGTCGCCGGCTGTTTCGATGTGCCTTATGATGGTGGCGCCGTCAAGTACGCTTCGTGGCCATTGCTGTCCCAATATGCGTTTCAGCTGGGGCAACGCGCTTGGAGGTTGTGTAGCCAGTATACGGCCGAGTCCGTCCTTGAGTACATTCAGGCCGTGGAGGAAGACTTCAGAGCCAAGGCCATTGAATGCGCTCGAGGAGGTTCGCAGAAACCTTGGGGTCATGCGTTGGACTATGTCATCAGGGAGCACAGTTCCATTTGGAAGGACCATGACCATGTTCTACAGCGCTCTGCCAGGCACGCAGCTCCAGCAAAGACTTCCTCAAACGCAGATGCGGCGGCGAGCGATCCTACGCCTTCGCGACCCAAGTGGCAAACAGCCAACTCAACTGCTGGTGGCTTTAAAATCTGCAAGCGCAATAATGATCGCAGAGGCTGTGAACAAAAGTGCCCCAGGGGTGAGGTTCATTGTTGCGACATCGTCCTACTTTCCGGCAAAGTTTGCGAGAAGAAGGATCACACCAGGCAATCCCATGACCCAAGCAAACACGGAATGCCTGCCGTGCGCTAGGGAAGGCGTGCGCAATGTGATGATCCTGACGATGTTGGCGTCGTTGTCCTGGAAATATGTGGAGGTCTGGCCCCGTTCCTCGCGACTGTCCACGAGATGGGTTGCAGTGTCTGTGCAGCTTATGTGCTGGACCTGCCTCAGCATGCCTATGACGTCTTGCAAATACAACATGGTTGCGTGGAGCACATGGGATCGAGTGCATTGCTCTGTCTTGACTCACTGCGTGCCGTTGCCAGTCGTCATGTTGGAGCTTCCTTCTTGTTTGCTTGCAGTGTGCTGCCGACAGGTGCAGACCCATGCCAAGACGAACGCAATTTGCGCGTGTTCCTTCGTGTTTTTGGCTGGCTCAAAGAGGTCCTCCAAGGGCGACTCTTTGCATTGGTCCCGTCCTGCGCAGAGAACATTGCAAGCGCGCAGGCGTGCAGGGCCCTTTTTCAGGCAGATGTTGTCCGGTTTCCCGAGGATGCCTGTTGCGTGGGCCGGCTCGCAGGCCTCCAGTGGTGGTGTCATTCCCCGACTTGCGATCTCCTGCCTTTGTCACGTGTGCTACCGCCGGATTTGCCGAGCATTCTACTACCGGGGTGGCGAACAACTGTGGAGGCACGCTGTCTCGCTCTGTTATGTGAATACCCATCTCAGTCTTGCTGCAGTGCGTCCGGAGCACACCGCTGTTTGGTACCCCTGGAAATGGAGCGCATCGTCGGTTTTCCTGACCATTACACGGCTCCTCTTCTGCGGACGCTCGAGGATGAACCGCTACACCTTCTTGCGCAACGGCGCGCTCAGCTCTTGCAAGACGTTCTCCCTTTGCAGCTGGCGGAAGCTCTCCTTCGGGCGGTGGGCGTGGTTTCCTCTCAGCCGTGCTCTCCTCATGAAGCTGATACAGGTGAGTTGGACCACAATTTCCGAGCCCTCACTGAATATGCGGACACCTATAAGGAGCTGCGCCGACAGTGCCCATATATTCAAGACCTTTGCGACCGAGGTATGCCAACAGATGAGCCGATGGGACCTGGGCCAATCGAGCAAAACTCCAGCAGCTCGGCTTCTGTAGCGTTGCTTGTGCAACATCGGTCCCAAACAAGTGCTGCTGGGCATTCATCCCTGTTGCCATTAGGTTTGGACCCGGTGTCGCATTTCCAGTGTGGAGAGGTTGTTGAGTCGCCGCTCAGTCTGGAGCCCCCAGTGCCGGATGATCTTGACTTTGCGCTGCGAAAGTGCTTGGCGCTTGGCAAGAAAGCTCGGGCATGGAGGCGGGCACAGTTCTCTCGCCTTCGATCAATATGCGAATCTGCCGAAGGCATGGCCGACTCCCTTAATTGTGCTCGATCCAGCACCTCCCGCAAGGTCTCAGAGCATGTTCATTTGGACCGTTTGGAGCTCTCAAGGTACTCGATTTGCTGGCCCGACATCTTTTTGCTGGAGCTAGCCCAGAAAGGCGCGCTCATTGTGGGGGAGCTTCCCCGCTCAAACATCTACCGCGCGGCCTCTGTCGAGCCTACCGTGCCCTTGCAAGATTTTGAAAACGGTCATGATGACTACGTGCAGAAGCTTGTGTCTCGCAGGCCGCCCCCTCCAGAGCAAGTTCGTGTTGTCTGGGAGAAGTCTGAGGTGGAACGCAAGTCAGGGACCTTGAGAGGCTACTGGACTGCTGCAGAGATGGATGCCCGACATGGTAAAGGCAGGTGGCGCCCCATGCCGCGATTTGCTGTGTGGCAACAAGCTCACTCCAAATGGAGACTCATTGATAACGCTAAAGAGTCTGACACCAACAGCACTCTTCAAGCTTGGGAACGCATTCACACAACCTCCTCCTCAGCTTCCTTCGCAGCCGTCCGCCGACTTCGCAATTTGCATGGGGCGGCTCTCGACGGCGGCTGGGAGGTGCGAGTCAGCACTCATGATCTTGAGAAAGCATACAGGCAAGTACCTGTCAATCCCCAGCATTTGCGATACTCCATCGTAGCCATTTTCCACCCGGAACGACAGCAGTGGGTCTTTGCAGAATGTGATGGGCTGGCGTTCGGGCTCGGGGCGGCGGTTCTTGGTTTCAATAGAATCCCAACATTCGTCGTTGCTCTGGCACGAAGATGGCTGGCCATACCGGTGTTTGCTTTCTTTGATGATTTCAAGGTCATTGATGTGGCGTGCAGCGGTGGCTCTGCAACTCGATCTTTCTTGGAATTGCTCAGCTGGCTTGGCTACAAACGTGACCCTGCCAAAGACCAGATGCCGACAGCAGACGCCATCTTCCTGGGCGCGCGCGAGCTCTACACCGAACTGGGGTCTCATGAACGCATTCGACATTTGCCTAAGCCTGGCCGCGAAGAACAAATTAAGAACATGATCTTGCAGATTTTTTCATGACAACCGCTTACACAGATCCGTTGCATCGTCTCTCCGTGGCAAGTTGCTCCATCTTGCAGAGACGTACCAGGGACGATCAGGTAGGGTGCCAGTGCCTTACCTGGACGAACGAACGACTTCGGATGACACTGCGTTAGGTCATGGCTTGCGCTTGGAATTGTGTTTGTTTCTGGAGTTGCTGCATTCTTGTCCGTACAGAGAAATTCCCCTGATGCCTGGTGCTTACAGAAAGGTTGCTTTGTTTACAGACGCATCTTTCAAACTCGACCTTCAAGGACGACCAGCAGCACGCGTTTGTTTCATCGTAGCATGTCTGAAGGAGCACCTTCGCAGGGGCGCCGTCATTGATATCCCACTTTATGTGCTCGAGCAGTTCCAGTCATCAGAAACTCTTATCGCGCAGGCTGAGGCCCTTGCACCGATGCTCGCCCTTTACTTTGAGCGCGAACTCTTGCAGCATTGCTTGCTCACTGTTTTCATTGACAATATGGCAGTCCTCTGCAGTTACGTCTTGGGGACCTCCAGGTCACTGGATTTAGGCAGCATCGTCCACGCCACAGTTTTGCGCCTTATGCGACAAGGTGTTCGAGCCTGGTGGGAGCATGTGCCGAGTAAATCCAACATTGCAGATGGAGGTTCCCGTGAAGGTGTTTCTTGTCCCGAAGCAGCAAAGGCAGGTATTCAGCTCTGCCAGTTGAGATTCCCACTTTCATGGCCGAAGAATCACTTGCAGCTTTCTATGGCAGAGTGGAACGAGTTCTGGTCATGACGTCAGCTTCCTTTGACATCCTGTTGGTCAAGCGCGCGTGATAGGCACCATTCCTCAAGCTGGCAAAAGCCGTGGCTCACTTTGCAGTGCCTTACGATAAATTGCTCACTTTCGTAAGATCCCAAGCCCGTTTCAAGTCATTGCTCACCAGTTTCCAACATGTTGTGCGCAGATCGATGGTAGTGTTTTGATCAATGGGGGGGAATACCATGAAGTCATCCTCAGGCTTGGCATTGCTGTGGGAACAGCTGTGCATGCTATAAGCTTCAGGACTTTGGAGCCATCGACATTCCCATCAACTATGTAGACAGTACCAGCTCGCTGCACACAACAAAATGGCGAGCCACACACACCATTGCACATGGCTTGCTCTCTAATGACCTGCATTGTGGTAGGTTAGTGGTGGGGCCATGCAACCATTAGATACATATCCATGTGCTATTCCATAAGCTTCTGGCTTGAGCCAGGCTTCCTTTGTCCCACCCAATGTTCAGATGAACTCCCCACCCTTTGGGGATGCATCGTATCAATCCCCTTGCTGAAGCTGCACGCATGGCAAGGCCTGGTGCAAATACGATACTTCCTCGGGCTTTGCAGTTTTACATTGCAATCCGGAAGCCGTCGTTGCTTCAGTTATCTCTCCAAAATTGTTACGGAGGGGGGGAATACCATGAAGTCATCCTCAGGCTTGGCATTGCTGTGGGAACAGCTGTGCATGCTATAAGCTTCAGGACTTTGGAGCCATCGACATTCCCATCAACTATGTAGACAGTACCAGCTCGCTGCACACAACAAAAATGGCGAGCCACACACACCATTGCACATGGCTTGCTCTCTAATGGGCTGTCACACAGTCTCGTCCGCTTCTAGGGGTTTTGGGCTTCTAGGGGGCTTGGGGCTGTCACGGTCTCGTCCGTTCCTGGGGGTTTTAGGCTGTCACGGTCTCGTCCGCTTCTAGGGGTTTTGGGCTGTCACGGTCTCGTCCGTTTCTGGGGGTTTTGGGCTGTCACGGTCTCGTCCGCTTCTAGGGGTTTTGCGTTTCTAGGGGGCTTGGGGCTGTCACGGTCTCGTCCGCTTCTAGGGGTTTTGGGCTGTCACGGTCTCGTCCGTTCCTGGGGGTTTTGGGCTGTCACGGTCTCGTCCGCTTCTAGGGGTTTTGGGCGGTCACGGTCTCGTCCGTTTCTGGGGGTTTTGGGCTGTCACGGTCTCGTCCGCTTCTAGGGGTTTTGGGCTGTCACGGTCTCGTCCGTTTCTGGGGGTTTTGGGCTGTCACGGTCTCGTCCGCTTCTAGGGGTTTTGGGCGGGGCTTGGGGCTGTCACGGTCTCGTCCGCTTCTAGGGGTTTTGGGCTGTCACGGTCTCGTCCGTTCCTGGGGGTTTTGGGCTGTCACGGTCTCGTCCGCTTCTAGGGGTTTTGGGCGGCGCTTCTAGGGGTTGTGGGCTGTCACGGCCTCGTCCGCTTCTAGGAGTTTGGAGCTGTCACGGGCTCGTCCGTTTCTGGGGGTGTCACGGTCTCGTCCGCTTCTAGGGGTTTTGGGCTGTCACGGTCTCGTCCGCTTCTAGGGTCGTCCGCTTCTAGGGGTTTTGGGCTGTCATGGTCTCGTCCGTGTCTGGGGGTTTTGGGCTTATAGGGGTTTTGGGCTTGTAGGGGGCTTTGGGCTGTCACGGTCTCGTCCGCTTCTAGGGGTTTTGGGCTGTCACGGTCTCGTCCGCTTCTAGGGGTTTTGGGCTGTCACGGTCTCGTCCACTTCTAGGGGTTTTGGGCTGTCACGGTCTCGTCCGTTTCTGGGGGTTTTGGGCTGTCACGGTCTCGTCCGCTTCTAGGGGGTTTTGGGCTTCTAGGGGGCTTTGGGCTGTCACGGTCTCGTCCGCTTCTAGGGGTTTTGGGCTGTCACGGTCTCGTCTGCTTCTAGGGGTTTTGGGCGGCGGCGGTCGTTCGCTTCTAGGAGTTTCCGCATCTAGGGGTCACGGTCTCGTCCGCTTCTAGGGGTGTTGGGCTGTCTTGGTCTCGTCCGCTTCTAATTAGGGGTTTTGGGCTGTCACAGTTTCGTCCGCTTCTGGGGTTTGGGCTGTCACGGTCTCGTCCGCTTGTACTGCTTTGGGAGCGTCCTCAATCCATCAATGGGTGCTTTCGGAGGTGCTTGTGGGGTGTTTGGTGAGGGCGCGTAAATAGTAGTAGACTCAGTGAATAGTGTGCTGGCTTCGTTGTGTGAACCCCAGCCCGGTGTTATTACACTGCAGGTGGAAGGCACGAGGGCCCTCCCATAATGCTCCAAAGTGCTATTTTCAAATGCTCGCAAATGCTCTCAAATCAATGCTCCAAAAAACTTGAACATGCTTCTAACATGGTCAAAAATGTTCTCGCAAATGCTCAACAATGCTCCGAAATGTTTCGAAATGCTCCCAAGTGCTCTCTCAAATCTTTTCAGAATACTTCCAACATGGTTTAACATGCGCTCCAAAATGCTCCCACATGCTCAAAATGCTGTTCCAGATTGTCCAGGATGCTCGAAGTGTTTCGTTTTTGCTTCCAAAATGTTCCCACAATCTCCCGAAGTGCTCCAAAACATGATCCCAAAATGTTCTAAGAAATGTTCCCAACATGCTTCAACAGCCTCCAGAATGCTCAAAGTGCCCCAAAGTCTCACAAAAAGGTTCTCAAGTACTGAAAATGCTCCGAAATTCTTTAACATGCTGCAAAATGCTCTGAAAATGCTACCAGCATGATCAAAATGCTGCAAACTTGCATAATTCTTGCTTCCGAAATGTTCCAAAATGTTCCAAAATGCCACCCAAATGCTCCAAAGTGCTTCAAAACGTTCGACATGCTTCAAAATGCTCCAAAACAGTCTACTCCAAGGTGTCTTAAAATACTCGAATAGGTTTCCAAGGTGCTTCCAAAGTGCTCGAACATGCGCCAAAATGCTCCCAATAAATCGAATGTGCTCCAAAATTCAAGATGCTCCAAGATGTTCCAAAATGCCCCTTAGGGGGTAAGGGATAAAGGGTGTAGTTAGCAGTTAGTAGTAAGTAGTAAGTAGGAAGCAGGAAGTAGGAAGTAGGATGTGTTGGCCGCTACCTTGCGAAGACCGAATCGTTTGCGAAGGAAGAGCACCACGATCCAGCTGCTGGAGCGCTTCTACGACCCGAACAAAGGGGAGATCCTGATCAACGGTGTCCCGCAGCTCGGCCTGAAGAACCTTGCTCAAGCTCACTGCAGTATTGCAGCAAACCCATCCCCAGAACCCCGGTCCGGTCTGGTGACAGTGTGGTACCTGAATCCCAAAGGCTCCGCAGCCTGCCAGTGCGAGCTTGGCGAAAGCTGATCGGGTATGTTGGCCAGGCAGGGAGAGGGGAGCTGGGGAGCGGGGTGCTTCGCTGCAGCTGCTCAGCAGCATGTGCTCGTTTGCGGGCAATCTCCGGGTGCGAGTTTGCGTGCAGTGGAGGAGCCAGTTCTCTTTGCAGCCTCCGCCATGAAGAACCTCAAGGCTCTGCATGCCGAGTTTTTGCTTTGACGGCCGGCATTTCAGAGGAATCCGTGTTGTTCTTTGGCACGCTCTTGATATCGTGTGGCCTGTGGGTGCTATCTCCTCGTCACTGTGGTGCTCTTCTTCCATAACATGAGCTGCCCACCTACTTCTACTTCACTGCCCACCGAAGGCCGGAGACGGCTCAATCAGCGACGAGGAGGGGATGTGGAGGGCTCAAGTGAGCCCAATGTACTTGGGGGGGGTGGACGGGGATAATATGGGGGGCTTGTTTGCGACTTTGCAGGGCGTCTTTTGCTTCTGCATGGGAACCTAAGTCGCCCCTTAACCTTTCCCATCCAGCAACATGAGTCATTAGTTGTTGTCATGGTTAGCAGCAAGCCGCTACGGTCACCAAGATCACCTCACTACCCCGCTTAAGGCATCACATCCCCGCATCAGGCAGCCCTCCCTCAGCACCTAAGAACAAAGAACAACATGCCCTACGAAGGCCCATTCCCAAGAAAGTCGTCGCCCAACGGGGCCGTGGAAGAACGCGATCTCTACTCAACCTTTGTGGCAGGAGGCCATCGAGGCAGCGCGAAGTGCGAAGCTGGGCTGCTTGTTGGTTGGGTTGTTAGGGGCTTGTAAGGCTTGTGAGGTTCCAAGCAAAACAATTTGTCGCAAGGGGATGCAAGGGGCTTGAAGGGCTTTCTCTTTGGCTTCAAGCCACGTCTTCACCCCTGACATTGGCCCAGGCAGATCCTGGACACGCTGACCCAGCTGCCCAAGGGGCTGGACACCCTGGTGACTGGAGGTGCGGGTGTGGGTTGGCGGGGTGCAGCATCCAGATCGCTGACAGCTGTCCTGCAGTCCTGCAGGGAATTTCTCCGGCGGCCAGAAGCAGCGGGTGGCCATCGCGCGGGCGCTGGCTCGAAGGCCTGAAAGAAGCTTCGTGAAGCCGCCTCCAGCGTATTCCAAAGCCCGAAGGCAAACAAAATGAGGAACGCAGGCTTTAAGCCCTTGGCTACGCAGCCTTACAGTATCACCCAGATGCTTTGCATCCTTGTGCGCCCGAAGGTGTGAAGCCACAAGCCCTACACTAAAGCACACGAACTGTGCGAGTCACCGGTGGTGCGGTGTAGGGGGTCTGGGGTAGGGGGGGGTAGTGAGAGCGGTTGAATCTATTTCGAGCTCCATTTAAAGGGGAGGGCGCAATCTAAGTCTATAAGGGCGGGGAATGCTAGATTGGCGGCGGAGGGGGCCACCGGTGGAAGTGTCATGATTGTCAAGTGCAAGTCTCAGGTTGCCGGTAAAGTGCAAGGGCTCTTGACTCTAGGAGTCTTGAGAGGCCCAGAGCCCTTTGAATCGAAGAAGCCTGACAGGCCGCAGATCTTGCTACTGGACGAGGCCCCCCCCGCTGGTCTCATTCTCTCATGCTCTCCCATGCACCCTCGCATCCCAAGAGCACAACATTAGATGGCTTCGAGGGGAGAGGTTTAGGTCCGCACTTCATCGGATGCAGGCCTGCAACAGGCATCCGATATCCGAGACTTTGCAAGTGTGTCGAAGAGGCGTTGAAGAGGTGCCAAAATCACGAAGAAGTCTTGTAAATGCGACGGGTCTTGGCTTCTGCACATCTTGGGACGAGCTGCTGTGGCTGTCGTGGAGTGCAAAAAGCAGTGATAGTCTTTCAGCACTGTCCAAACAAAACTGTCGAAGGCTACATCTGCCCTGGACAATGAGTCCGAGCGGATGGTCCAGGTGCTTACAGGGATAGAAACGACATCTGGGTTGAGATGTCATGAAAGATTGGGGCATCGGTTCAAGGCTTGCGCAGCAGCCCTCCTCAAAAAATATGTGTGCTAGAATGCGCCGCGGATTGTTCCTGAACACGTGTGTGTCCCCTGTGGTGCGGCCAGCTAGGCAGGGGGCAAAAGAATCTTGCAGCGGCCCTTCAAGGGACATTCTAGTTGATGGCTTCGGTATTCGCAGGTGGTGGGCTACAGACATGGTGATATACGGGTAAAGAGTGTCAGGGTGTTAAGGTGGGCTCCTCTCGACCCAATCCAGTTGTGCGAGAGGCGACCCTTGACTCCCTGGACGAAACATACGGTCAATCAATCACGACAGTCTCCATCGCGCACCGACTGACATCCATCGTGTCCTCCGACGCCATCTACGTGCTCCAGGCTTGGGGGGTGGAAGAAGTAAAACCCCAAACCCCTGCTGTGCTGCTGCTGGAAGGTTTTTTTAGCTCCCTTTGATCCCTGTGGCCCGAGGCGGGCCATGTCGCGGAGAAGGGCACTCACAAGGAGCTCATGGCCCTCCAGGTGAGATGGGACTGTCCCATCATCCCCTCACCCGGACTTGTGGTGCTTGATATGTCTAGCAAGAAGTGCGGTGCTTGTCAGCTGCCGGGTGGGCATACAAAGACGTGCTGGCTAAGATTAGCAAGAAGCTTGAACGTCGTTTATCGATAACACTTCTCTTCTCGTTAGTCTTAGCCGGAACTACTTTTTAGATGCCCACCCACGGCAGCTGGCAGCCCTGAAGCGCAGTGATTGTGCTCAGCTGTGTGGGTGGACACAATAATTCTTGCTCCTGTTCGTGGATCGCCGGGTTGCGTGATATGCCTGATCTGTTGCGCATTGGGCACAGTGGTCATTCCACAGGTGTAGGCCGCCCCCCCCCCCCCCCCCCCCCCTAGTCTCGGCTTGCTGACGTCTAGGTGTTTTGCCTGATGCCCCCTGATAGGGCCAGTACTATGCCATGGCCTCGCTGCAGCAGCTCAGTGTCAATTACTTGTGCTTTGCTGGTCCCCGGGCCTGATTTCGGGAGTGCTCGGCTTGAAAAGCTTTCTTTCCAGCTCGCCCTGGCACGCCCAAGCTCTCCCCTGGCTCCTATAAACCCCTAAGACGTCAAGAAGACCTCCTGAGGCAGGGGGCCCCGCAACAGCCGCTGCGGCGGCCGCTCTTGAAGCGGGCCGGCTCCCAGGCACCGTAGGTTCAGACAGGCAGAGGCATAGGCGGAGACAGGCCGACAAAGCGAAGCGCCTCATGTCCCTGGAGGCTGGTGGCAGCACTGTGTCGCTCGCGGCGGTGCAGCAGCGGACCAGCACCGTTGGCTCTTGGGCACAACGTGGGACCCAATGTAAGGCTATCTGCGATTGGCTAGGGCTTCCCGTTCCGGATATCTGCTTGTTTTGTGTTTCAAGTTGTCCTCATGAGCTGGGGCTCCCTATGAGTTTTGAAGCTTATAGGCTTTTGGCCGGAGACTCGAGTTCGTTGTTCTGCAGAACCTAAGCAATGTCAAGAGCCAGGTGACGACAGCTGGTTGTGACAACTTAACCGGTCACATGTTGGAACTCTGAGCCTGTTGGCGCAGCTACAGGGGTGTTGAAGATTTCTGCGTGGCCCTTGGTGCCTCATGTCAGGAAACGCGCGTGCAGCGTGCAATGTGATGTGCTGGTGGGTTCAGTGATTTCCCCAAGCCGATGAATCTTATGAAAGCTCGGCACGGAAGCCCCGCAGCAACCGCGACACTTTCGTGGACAGTGACCCAGGCTATTTCAGGAGCATGTCGCAGTCCTTCGTCACGGCCATTGCAGGGGACCCCATACAGAACAGCATGATTTCCGAGGCGCGCCTTTTGGCATCCCGAGTTTAGGAGCTTTTCTTTTCCAACGGAGTGTTTGGGAGGGTTTCAACGGACTTGTCGGGTTTCGGCAAGCCACTTTCCTGGCCAACGACTCTCTCTCATGATCTTTCATGGGCATCCCATCTTGCATTCGCATCGGGATATGCTGACTTCAGAGAGCTTCGAGCCAACACTTCGCAAATCATCAGGAGATTAAGGTTTTGAAGACAGCCAGTGGACCTATCTCATGTTAAGGCTCGCATGGCACTCCTAATTTGCAGCATGCTGTAACATTGCCGCGAAGACAGAAGCTGCACTGCTCCAGGCAGGGCTCGAGCCTGACGAGCAGGCCCCAGTCCCTCCAGCTGTGATGCCCAGGCGCATGGACCCTGTGAGCCCAAAAGCCGAACGCCCAAATCATTGAAGACGACGACTTAATCATTGAAGGGCACCACCGCACCACCGCGTACCTGTTTGCTTGAACATGAGTGCGGAGATTGAGGTGGTGTCTCACCACTTGCATTTGCTGACCTGAGGCTTTGCCGCGTGTCGCGGCCCTTCTGGAACATCTTGCCCTTTGCCCCTGCGCCGCTATTGGGTACAAGCTTCTTTACTTTCCTGTGTATCGTTTGTTTTTCGTCGATAGACGGACTGACCATAGACCATGCGGCCATGCAACGTGAACTCGAGCACAGCCCTGCACCTATGGTGGGAATCTCACCCAAGCCTAAAGGGTGACGAGCCAGCGCAGCAATGGCAGCACTTGCCCAGGCCTTCCTCATCATTGTTATCGAGGCTGTGGCCGCACCCTTTCAGGCGCTCCTCTTCACGACGGCGATGAAAAGCCGCTTGACTTTGAACGCCTAGCAGACACTGCATCTCAAGGCTTTGCTCCAGTGAAGCTTGATCAGCAGCGAAGAGTGAAGGCTACTACGAGAAATCCGTCTCCGTCATGTTATTCAAGCTGGATCGGGCCTGTCTCGGCCTTGCATTGTTGGGCTTGGCACCTGGGCTGCGAAGTGCCGCGGGTTTTCTTGCCGCTGACTGGTCTCACGAATACTCAAGCATGGATAGTTGCCCTGCCCTAAGAGAAGTCCAAGAGGTCATGGGCGGTTGCGTGGTGATCATGAACAGCATCTTCACCTTCCTGCAGGAGCCAAAAGCAGGGGAACCCAAGCACAGGAACCATGGAAAGCCCTGGATTTCCCTGAACATTTTCTTTCGGATATCAGAATATCTAGCTGAGCCAGCAGCAGAGCCGACTTAAAGGCAGCGGGCCTCGTAGAGATGCCTTTTAGGTGTGGTGGAAGGCTCCTGTGACTCCAAAGGCAATGCTGCTTCGATGCAGGAGAGCATCAGCCTCCAGCTGCGCAAGTTGGCTTTTGGCGGCGTCATCCGTATGCACATGGGCTTCTTCGACTCACCGGAGCGCCGGGTGTACTCTCAGTTGCGGGGTGGTTCAGGCTTCTCAGCTGAGACCTCGATCAATCTCGCCTTCCCGAAGCAGATACCATCTGATCCCAGCAAGCACCTATGCTATGGTGCAGGAGAACCAGACCTCAAGTCTATTGGTCTCCCTGGAGAGGCACCGTGGCCACAATGGTAGCTCTGAAGTTGGGCTCCCATTCTTTACATTCTTTACATTCTTTACATTCTAGCTCACCAATCGTTCCTTCCAGAGAGCTTGCATCCTAGCTTGGAACATTGGAACATGAAATGGGTGCTGCTCCTCAATCGATACTGTGCATCTTGCGCTGCGCAGACTCCGTTGAGGCACATGATCCGCGTGTCGCAGATGTTCGGCGTGAACTTGTCACTTTCCTGCAGCTCTTTTGAGTGTCGGGCCAGGAAACCTCGTCAGCGCACGTGTGCTATTTGGAGCCGTAGCAAAGAACTGGGCCTTCCTGCATTCAGGTACAACGAGAGAAGTGTGTCGAATCGTGGGACATTGAAACGTTGGTCAATGATCAATGTCCTGTGTGTTCCAGTGTCGCTCACGGAGGTTGGAGGCAATGTACTCTTGGTGTAATTAGGGACCATTTTGGGCAGGGTGTCGAGCAGTTGTGTGGGGGCGCGATAGGATCTCATAATCCATCGCGCATGTGGATCGTTCTTGGACCCTTGCATACGGTGCACTCATCACAGTGACGGTGGGTTCTTGCATCTTCTACACAGATGTCTGTTGCTCTGGGTAGAAGCGTGGTCTCCGGCGCCCAATGACATGAACATCAGGGACTCTCCTGGTTGTGTTTTTGGTCTGTACGCTGTACACGCCCCAAGCAAGCTGAATTGTGGAAGTAGGGCGACTTGCATATCTTCACAGTCCCGAATCCAGCAGAGGATGAGCCACTCTGGGTTGTCCATAGGCCCAGAGATCCCGGAGACTGCAACGAGCTTGGCAAGGCAGCTGAAAAGAAGCCTCAGGTCCAACACCACCATGGCGATCCTGACAGCAGTGGTCTCCGTTCTATTCAGTTTCCTTGGCTCCTGGCGGCTTGGCAGTTTTGAGGTTCGGTTTGTTGGATCCGGAAGGATCAGTGGGCCAGTGCAGAGCTCTGGGTCGAAAGGTCCGAGGTTCAAGGTGTGCTTTCTCCTGCTAAGCTCTCCAGTCGCCTGCAAGCCTCAGCGTGAGGGCTTTACTTACCCTGGCTGCAGCTCAACAGCACCGAAGTTGAGTCCCTGAGCAAACCCGACCTCCGAGTGCCAGCTCGGCAGGTGGCACAATGTGGCACAACTCAAGTAAAAAGAAAACCATAAGGTTCCTTGCCGCCATTCTGCTGGGCGTCCTGCCCATCTGCGGCTTCCTGGCCATGACCGTGTCCGTCATGGCCCAGAAGGCAAAAAAGGTGTTCAAGACATTTCAAGAACATGTTTGGGTAGAATTGGGGGGTTTTGGTGTCGTTTACGGCTGCTCCGGGCTTGTCTGATTAGTCTTGTTCATGTGCACTGGTTCTGTCGTGGAGCGATGGTGCAGTCGCATTCCAGTAAATGTTTGGGTAGAATCCGAGAATCTCGATCCAACGTGTTCGAAGCTGCAAGCCTTTGCTTTTCTTGTTTTTTTTCATTTTGCCGTTTGTGCTTCGTTCTTGTGTGTTCTACAGTTCACCTTTATTGTTTTGGATTTTGCTTTGTTCTATGCCGTTGCACTTTGTTTTTTTTTGCTTTGCTTTGTTTTGCGCCTTTGGTGTTCTGCTTTTCATGCTGTTCGCGTTTTTCTGTTGACTTGTTTTTTTTGGGGGGGGTAGGGGGGCGGGGGGTGGGGGGGGGGTGTTGGGGGGCGGGGCGAGAGAACCTCCGGTAGGAGGGGCAGCTCTAAATAATGAAGAAACCAAGTAATGCTGAGAGCGCACTGCAAACAGATGAGTTGAGGGTGGCACGGAAACCGATGAACAAAGCAGCAAATAACTGTAACTTCTCGGCTTGTGGTCAAAACGTCGGTATTCCAATTTGAATGCGGAGGAAATAGGGCCTTAGGGTGATACTTTTCAACAGAATGCGACCCTGGTTTTCGGCATATGACACGAGTTCGATGACGGAATGTCTGACCTGGGTGAGAGCGTGCGATTTGGACCATGGAAGGCAGGACTTAGGCGAGAGTGTTCCCGGTACCTAGGCGAGCGCATCAGTTTGGGACCAGGAGCGATGCAAAGCTTTCCGGGCCCCCAAAACAAGAAAATAAACAAGCAAAACGAATCCTAAATACCATCCGGGCCCATGACTACAACTAAGTCATGAATCGGAGGCAAGCCTTGAAAGCCACTGTCACCAGCAACCTTCCCACGAGGGTAGAACGGCCCTGACCCTGCTCAGCTCTCGCCCGGTGTGGAGTCAGCCTACGCGATGTCTGGAAGGAGCATCTCTGAGGCAGTGATGTCCATCCGCACTGTCAGGCTGGGCCTTGGCGTAGGCTGTGGAAAGTAGGGCAGGTTGCAGGAGTCTCCGTGCAGTAGGTGCCGGGTCTCGGCCTCATTCTAGGCTTTCATGTGCTTGTGGGATCCGAAAGTTTAAGTCAACTATGGCAGCTTGCTCGTACATTGGTGCATCTATGTGCTCCAATACATGTTCTGGGAGTTTAAGTCATACTCATGGACTCATGGCTATGAACAGATTGGGTATGTATGTATGTATGCATGTCTGTCTGTATGTATGTGTGTATATATATATATATATTTATGTGGGTGAGTATTGTTTTGGGGGGTCCAGGTGTAACAAGGGCACACGGGTTGCACACCCGCGAAACATACCCCGAAACATACCCCCGAATTGCAGGTAAAGTAGCTCATGATGCCGCGAAACATACCCGAAACATACCCCCGAAACATACACCGAAACGTACCCGCGAAACATACCCTGATCCAACACCTGTCGCCCGACCCGCCATGATAACACAAACCCATAGTATTATATATATATATATATGTGCATGCATATTTCGGAGCCTCCCTCGCGCCGCCGTCACCCAAAAACTCGAAATGCACAACCTTAAGCCCCAAAACCGCCTATGCAACACGCACGCAGGCACAGCACACGCACACGCGCGCACACGCACACATGTATATGTATCTGTATATGTATGTGTATATGTATGTGTATGTGTACGTGTATGTGTATGTGTATGTGTATCTGTATACATACATGCATGCATGCATATTCATATTCATATATACCATGTATGTATACATATTTGGTGAAATAGTTGCAATTCGCGAAGGTACTAAGCAAAAATCAATAAACACGCACATACATCTTAGATACATGTACCTACGCATGCTGATCGTAGGGCCCTCGGCGCGGAAGAGCACACGCTGGAGATCGTCTCCAATTTGCTCCAGGCACCCAAAGTCTGCTCATTCCAGCACCTGTAAGCAGCGGATCGGAAGCGGATGTGAAGCGAGTGGCAGGGCTCAGAGGACTTAGGCGAGGATTCTGTAGGCTTCTCTTTAACATACCTCTGCATGGGTGCGCAGGTGATGGCAGACTTCAACAAGGGCGCTTCTTTCAAGAAGGCGCTTCAGTTTGCAAACCGGGGCTTAGGACTCGCGCGTTTTTGGTTTCCAAATTGCGTCCTTGCATTCTTGATGTTGAGTGCCGAGCGGTGCGCTGTTACACCTCGGTGTCAAACAGTAGCAAACTGCAAGAAGCAGGCCTTTGCTTTCGGCTTCAGCACGGGCCTCGTCCAAACGGTCTACTTGGTGGGCTTCTGGCTCAGCGCGGTCATGATCGCCAGCGGCAAGTTTGATGCGGAGCAGGTGCTGCCCCAAATGCTAATTCTCCGAACAACAACACAGTCGTTGCCCGCCGCACCATGACGCAGCAGTCGCAGCAGGTGGTAGCTGTTGGCAGAGGAGAGGTAGTCGCGGTAGACTTTGCTGAGACACCAGCCAGACCTTGCCAGGTGCTCCTCACCCTCTTCTGCGTCACCTTCGGCCTTCAGAGCGTGAGCATGATCGCCATGTACCTACCAGACTCCGCTTCTGGCACGATCGCAGCTGCGGAGGTCTTCCGGCTCGTGGATCTGGAGTCCAAGATCGATGCTGTGGAGCCCGAAGGGCGGATTACTAGCCTGGGGGATGGCACCATCCGCCTGCAGGACGTGGTCTTCTACTATCCGCACCGTTCCGAGGTCATCGTCCTGAATAAGCTGTCTCTCGAGGTCCGCCCAGGGCAACGGGTGGCCCTTGTGGGCTTCTCAGGCAGTGGCAAGTCCACGGTCATCCAGCTCCTGCTGCGCTTCTATGACCCCCAGCGCGGGGCGGTGACCATCGGTGGCCAGAACCTGGCAAATCTGGATGTGGCCTGGTGGCGGAGTCAGGTGGCCCTGGTGGGGCAGGAGCCCATCCTCTTCGACTTGTCTTTGGAGGAGAACGTGAAGTACGGAAGGCCAGAGGCAACACATGAGCAGGTACTCTGGGCCGCCCGGGCCGCCAACATGGACTACGCCCTGAACGGTACGCGGCGCTGGTCCGAGCGCGTGGGGCTCAAGGGCGAGAAGCTGAGCGGAGGCCAGAAGCAGCGCTGTGCGATTGCGCGGGCCTTGCTGCGGCAGCCGAAGATCCTCTTGCTGGACGAGGCGACTTCTGCCCTGGATTCGCAGTCGGAGGTGATGGTGCAACACGCCTTCCAGCAGATCCGAGCCACCACCATCACCGTGGCCCATCGCCTCTCCACCATCCGAGACTCAGACAAGATTTTCGTACTGGCCGAAGGCCGTCTTATTGAGCAAGGCACCTACATGCAGCTGATGGCCATGCAGGGCAGCTTTGCCCAGCTTGCGGCCAGGAGCTTGTGACCGCAGGCACATATATCGTTTTCAGAAAGGGCTGTTGATCTTTTGTATGGCTTCACGCATGCTCCTCATCACAGCAGATCATCGTGGGAGGGAGCAAATTCTAAACGTGTGGCTCAGCTTCTGGGAGGAGCACTGATCACATGGATGTAGGTAGCGGTAGCGCAGGCATTGCTCCCCAACCATCAAAAGCATGGCCAACCGATGAATGCGAGAGGCATCCAGGTCTTAGACAGAGCCATCACCGATCACACAAGCAGTCAGGCCTAGCGGCCAGCACCCATGACACTCCCAAGACTCGAAGCTTTGGCACGGATCCTGTCTGCTGTTGCAGCTGTAGCATCCGACCTCCATGTCCTCATGAGTAGCTTGCGGCCCTCCTTTCACGCCTCTGCCATCAGCAGCCGGCATTCAGAGGCGCATCCAATACCCGAGTTTCGACAGAGAGATGTAACAGCCTGAGTCCTCTTCAAGCTGGTCACTTGAACAGGCAAGCAACTGGCCTGGAACAAATTGTCCTTTCTTTCTTGAGGCCCTCTACGCCGCTAGCTAGAGGGTCGAAGCCCAAAGTGAACGTGCGGTGGCTAGGCGGGTGGCAAAGGAAAACGTGACCAAAAGGCAGAGTTTGAAGCGTCCCACCATGTTTCGTCCCCTCTCAGGGAGCCGAACTCTTCCGGCTGCTCAAGGATCGCAGCGAGGCTCTCTTCCCGTGCCTTCGAATCATTGGACTAAATGGGTCTGAGGCCCCCCCCCAAGCCTCACTCTGTGGGGCTCTGTGGGACCAATCCAAGCCACCTTGCAAGGAATGAGAAGGAGAAAGATGGCAAGGACAGGGCTTTGATGCGAGTGGGCGCGAGTCCTTTCGTTCTCGCTGGCGGAAAATGCTCGAGGTGTGAGAGGCGTGAGGTTGAGAGTCACGGAGCGTGAAGGTCACGAAAGGATCTGCATAGACGGCAGCTCGAAGTAGAATCTCGTGACTCTAGTGCACCTGACCAGGACTTCCAGGTCCGCCCCCACCAGCGTATAGCGTACGGCGCCCTGGACTTTGCCAAGACGCCAGTGCAGCTGTTGCAGCTGGGTGTGGATTGGCAGGGTCTTGGCCTTTTCTGGTCCCCCACGCTCTAGACTTGGGAGCTGCACCAACAAACGGATGCGGCTTTGGTCTTAAAGGCTTGGCAATGACGTGGCCTAAAGTGTTCTGGGCCTTCAGCCATGCGTAGGAATGTTGCTTGTTGCTTCCTCCAAGCCTTTGAATCGAAGGATTTCCGTGCACCTACTCACTTTCTACCAGCAGGCCACCGGGCAGGGGGGGGGTTATGGGCTATTCACCACGATGCTTTGTGAATGCCGCTTTGTTCACCGGGGTACCAAACATGCCGTCAGGCGGGAGCCTCTTTGGGAGCCATCGCCTTCTTCACATCCACAGCCCGCTGCTTCGACGTCTTGTCGGATCCACTGATGGCCCAGGCAGGGCTCATATGGCTCACAGTCGAGCTTGATTAGTGGGCTTAGGTGGCCTCTGGACCCCGATGGTGGCATGTTTAGTTGCTTTGGGCTCAAGAGCTCACCCTGAGCACCCAATCAGACAGACTTTGGCGCTTGTAATGCGTCTGTGTCTTCGTGTACAACAGCCTCAGCCAACCCATGAAGTCATTCCATGACGTGTTCGGACAGGCGTGTTTTTCCACAACCTGGAAGGGTTTGTTTTGCGACAATGAGGGCTTTTGCTGTGCTATAAGGGGCATCAAGAATGGAATCATTGACCCTTGACCCTCTCGCGGACCTCATTGTTGTGCCCCACTTCACCGAATCCTTCTCCCAAAAGCGGACCAGCGCGTGTCACACCGAAACAAATTCGCGCCGTTGCAGATCTCGGATGGTTTCTCTTCGAGGTTTGGGCGCAGAAGGCCGCTCCTTGACTCAAAGCTTGGCCGATGGACTTGGGGGCTCGAAGCTGCGGTGTTCACTCGCCATGGCTTAAGGCTCAGGTCTTGGGCTGTGAAATCCACAAGATCTGAGTTTAAGAGATTGAGAGCAGTACTACCAAGGAACATCCAAACCTTCGCGGGCTGTAAGAAACTACAACCTAAGACCAATCAGACGTGTGGTGCAGAAGAGATTCTCACGTTGGCCCACTACAAACAGGATAAGCCTATCAGTCTCGTGCGAGAGCCGAAAGTGCCCAAAGAAGTGATGGCTTGCAATCGCCTGTCGTGACACGCTCGTACGACAGAGAAACGATCGAAGATACTACCCCAGATTTCGTTTCATGTCATACGATAATGATTTCATACTAGAACACTACTCTTTTTTCTTCTTTTAGCAGGCTCGTTGCCGCAGCCTTTGTGCCTTCAGCTGTTCAACTAGAGAGAGACACAAGCTGTGGCTTGCAGACATGACCATTTATGCGGCCTCGTACTTTGTCATGCTTCTCGACCTCGCCGAGGGCTTGATCACGACGATGTACTTCGATGAAGACACGCATGGATACTTCTTCTTGCTTTTCTTCTGGCTGCTATGGAACCTGCTGAATGGCTTGGCCGACTTCACCTTCGAGTGCAAGGAATGCGAGTGGTTGAATTGCATCTTGCATAGTCTGGCAGAAGCTGGACAGTGTGCGCTGTTCATCTATTTCTGCGAAGGAGGTTCTGGCGTGGAAATTCCACTGATATGCATCGCCTCGGTTCAGATCTTGGTGAAATTGATTGCAACAGTGGTTGAACATCGCCGGGGCAAAGACCCGAGTAAAAGCCAGAGGCCATGGCAGGATGGAGGTGCCATTGGGACTTTCAATTATGATGGTCAACCTGTTGAAGTCAGACAAAAAGTCCGGGGCGCGTCAGAGAATGAGAAGAAGTGTTGTTTCGCCTTCGGAGGCCTGGCAGCTAGCACTTTGCTTGAGTTGTTTGTGGCCCTACCTACACTCTGGTTGCAATTTGAGTCGCCCTTCCGGGCCAAGTGGTTCGAAGTGGTGTTGTGCGTGCAATTCTGGTCTACGCAAGTCTTTCAGGAAGAATACAAGCGAAAGGTCTTTGACGGGGCCTCTCAGAAAGCATTCAACCGGAACGCACTGTGGAAGGCCACTCTTGATGCACTCTTCGTGACCCTGTGTTATGGAATGGCACTCAGCTGGGGTTGGTCAGATGAGCTAACTGCAAAGTATGACCGCATTTACACAACCCTGGGTTCATCAATTCTTTCCCCTATCTTGCTATTCGAGTGGCTAATGGTCGTGAGTGCAGTGCGAAACATGTTTCTGCCTCCTGTGCCTCCGCCTTCAAAAGTGTAAGCGACGGAGTGCCAGGCATCGTTTTGGCCCAAAAGCGCAGTTGGCAGGGCCTAGCAGGTGGTGGCTACGGTCGCTTGTGCTATGCCTAGCAGCTGGCAGCTTGTTGAGTTCTTCTGCTGCCCTTGTCGGCAGCTCTCATGCTGGACGCCCAATGTATAGACACAACTTGAGACTTAGAGGGCACTTGTAAGACAAGGGGATGGCCTGGATATCGTGGGCAAAGTCGCCCCTGAATCCTCGTCACTACTGTACCTCTCGCCGTGATGGCTGAGCGACAAAGCAAGCAGGTCTCAGAGCCGAGTGTGACACCCAGGGAAGAGAAATTGTAAACGCTTGCGCGCGCCGCCTCAGCAGCCGGGCCGGCCCCAGGACAGGAGAGGAGGAAAGAGGGTTTCGCAAAGAGGAAGGGCAGAGGGGTCAAAGGGGGGGTGGGGGGGGTGGGGGGGGGGGGGGGGTGGGGGGGGGGGTGGGGGGGGTGGGGGGGGTGGGGGGGGGGGGGTGGGGGGGGGGGTGGGGGGGGGGTGGGGGGGGGGGGTGGGGGGGGGGGGGGGTGGGGGGGGGGGGTGGGGGGGGGGGGGTGGGGGGGGGGTGGGGGGGGTGGGGGGGGGTGGGGGGGGGGGGGTGGGACTTTTTCTGTAGAAGCCGTCGACAGCGGGACCCTCCGCGGCGTCGGTTTGCAGCTCCTTCAAGCAATTGGGGGGGGTCCCACAGGGCGGGGGGGGGGCCAGAAAATTTTGCATGGGGGGAAGGGTTGGGTCAGGGGGAAGGAGGCCCGATCCGGGTCTGCTTGTTCCAGACGCTTCTCGGCAGGAAGCCGAGGCGAACATGATGCGTTTGAGAATGAACTGCTCCCCACATACCCCTCAAAGCTCGTCGAAAATATCTGCGGGGTATCGGCATGTGACTCCAAATCATGCGACCTTGTGTGTGCGCCGAGCCATTTTGTGTTGTACTACGAGCACGTGGTTGGCGGCTTTTTCCATGTGTGTGTGTGTGTGTGCGCGGTCGTTTTTCGATAGTTTAGGGCTGGGTCAAAGGCGAGTGGCAGGGTGATTAGATGCCAAGCAACCGATCAGTTCCCTGTCTTTCGAGTGGAGCATTGGCTCAGGTTCGTGTTCGTCGGCTGTATGCTCTATGGTGGCTGCCTTCTGGTGCCGTCGGCGATATCACGGGCCTAGAGTCGAGAGCGCGATCAAACACAACCATGAGCTTTTGGGACCCTTGGGTGTCTGGCTAAGCCCCCAAGCCCGCTGCAGCAGAGGAAGCTGGAAGGAATGCTCGTCAATGTGCTGATGCTTCCCTTTAGGTCAGTTCGATGCGAGGACTCTCTCCAGTCTCTCATGTGTTTCCAGGCGCTCTGCATGCCACCTTCAGCCTTGTCGGGGCCTGCCACGGGCGCCTGGTTCGGGAGCCTCGGAGGAAATCGGAAGAATATTTTGGGACACAGGGATGTAGGGGATGTAGGAAGCTTGGGATTGAAAGCAAAAAGGTCAAGAATCTGAGAGGCTCCGTGCTCCGAGTGAAGCTCAGCTAAGCTCAGGTGTTTCTACATCCTCTTCTTCCTGACGGATACGCCTCGGGGCTAGTTAGCTCGAGCCAGAAGGCTTCAAATCGCGTCAAAACATCCCAAGACGCAAGTTGACCTGGTTCTAGATGCTTGAGCGATCTGGGCATGCTGGGTTCACTGCACACCATGTGTGGCCTGAGGATCACCTCGATCCCTCACAATGCTCTTGGGCAGGAGATCACCTCGGACACCGACCAGAGGCACAAATTCTTTAGAAGTGACTTTCCAGAAACGGAGCTGATCAGTTCGCAGGGCCGTGACAGCAAGACTCATGCTCAACCTTGGATGCCTAGTGCTGACATGAACAAAGAAACCGTCGACAAGACTGGTAGCAAGGATGTTCTCAGGTAGGTTCGAAGCGCAAGCAGCTTGCCTGGCTCAGAGGCGTCTCGTGTTCATGGTGGCGAAGATCTTCCAGGTGCAGGGTATTTCGTTAAGGCATGGGGAAGTGAAGGTTTGCGATGAGGGGAAGATGTCTGCAGGGCACAGATCTTAGGGGCATGAGATGATGCATCTGCTACAGCCAGGTCCGCTTTAAATGCCTGCAGAGAGAGAGAAGAGAGATAGAGAGAGAGAGAGAGAGTAGCCATTTTGGCTCAAGCCGCGAGCGGTTCGAGCCTCCACCCCCTGTGTCCCGGAGGACAACCAAAGAAAGAACCCCGAAAGGCGAGCGCTCCCAACCCTCAAGCTCGCTCCTTGCCGCCATAGGGGTGAGGGAGTCCCACATTCAAGTGATCGGGTGTCCTACGCATGATCGAGTAGAAGGCTGCCGCCGGCGAGTTCGGAAAGTACGGAGCCCATCGGCAACCGCGGCTGCTTTCGGCGAGCGGGGGACACTGACTCCAACTACCACATTGTGATCGGCGAACCTACACGCCTTGTACCACCGAGAGGCGATTCACCGCCTGCCCTTCCCCGCCAGGGAGTTTTTCACCTACCAGTTTGAGCTTTGGCAGGGAGCCCAAGAAGGAGAACCACCTGGAACGGCGAGAGATTAGGAACCATGGACACAGCCACCACACCGAAGAGAAAACTAGGGGGAGACGCGGGAGAGCTCACCATCGACGCCATCCGCGAAGTTATCAAAGGTGAGCTCAGAGATGACAGAAGAGAGTTCAAATCTGAGTTCATGGGCGAAGTAAAGGCGGAAATCCACCACACCATGGAAAGGGTGGAACAAGTGGAGTCCAGCGTCACCACCCAATTGTCCGACACGCTCAAGCTGCTGCACAACCTCACCGAGAAGTACTCCACCCATGAAGAATCACTGAAAAGGTTGGGAGACGCGCAGGTTCGACAAGAAGCGAGCTTACAATCCATTGCCAACGACAATGCAGCCCTGAACACCCGTATCGCCCTGCTGGAAGGCAAGTTTGGGAGATGGCAAGAGACTGCGAGCCGAGGGAGTGTCTCCTCCTCCACCAACCTCTCCACAGACAGCTCCGACATGGGGAGGAAACCTGCCCTTATCCTGGGAGGGTGGCCCGAAGACACCCCTGCAGCGGAGACGTTGGAAAAAGCACAACAGGCGGCGGCCACCTTGCAGTTAGAAGTGAACATGAGGGACGCCTTCGTGCCCGGAGTGAGACGGGGATATGCCATCATCCCGCTTCCACAAGAACCGCATGACCAGAACGTCCGTGAACAAGTCCGCAGAGCATTGAAGAAGGTCCGAGATGCACACGTCACTCTGGGGGAGAGGCCCGATGGAACACCCCAACGCATGTGGATGGCGATGTCACAAAGCCCCACCCGCCGGGCGAAAGCACGCCTGGCCGGAAGAGTGAAACGCCTTGCACTTGAACTGGGAGCCAGCTTCACGAGCGTAGAGGCCGAGTTCGCCACGGGGACTATCTGGATTCAAGGGCATCGAGTTTGCTCCACCTCCACACAACCCAAGCCAGGCACCACACCTGCAGGACTTGGGTGGATTGACATCCCCGCCATCTCGCGCCTGGTCAGCAAAGAAGAGAAGGAAGTGGAGGAGCACTGGGGCAGCATCAGGCGAGAGCTTTGACAGCCCGCGAAGAGTCTCACATCTCACCACAAATCCACCCGTCCCGACTTCAAAGTGATAAGTTGGAATGTGGGAGGCCTAACACCGCAACAGGTTCTGGACCTCACCACCACGATCACCGAGATCGAATCTCTAAGAGATACTCGCATCTTGATGATACAGGAAGTGATTTGTGAAGCTGGAATTCATATGGAAGAAAAACCGCCTTGGGTCGTCTTTTATGGGAAGTGCATGAACGAATGGAGAGGCACAGCCATAGTTTACAAGCAGTCGCTCGGACCGCATCACCACACACAAGTCCATACTGCCGGTATCACCACAACCTTGTACCTAGGCGAGAACGGACAATCGATGCTAGGAATCATCTCTGGCCACATCCCCTGGAATGCCACCATCACGTCGGAATCACTCTTGCATACTAGGCCTCGACGCCAATGAGTCGTTCAAGGAAGGGGACACTGGTCTCTTAGCGCGGAGTGGACGAGGCAATGCCGTCCTGGACTGGGCGACACAACAAAAGTTCAGATGGCCACCGCAACACACGACTGAGCCCTCGCACTACCCCTACAACCACGACATGGCCCCCCGACGCCTCGACTACCTGGCCACGAAAGGTGGGTACATGTCAGAAGCGCATGTCGGTGAGCTTCGTGATATCGCCAGATCCGACCACGAGCCCATCATAGCGAACATCCCCTCCTTCAAGCGCAAGACTCGCATCCACAAATCATGGGGGGCCCGCGCCCTACGAGATCCGGATCAGATTTTGGCAGCCGAGGCGGAGGAACCTCAAGGTCACACTCTCCACGAACGCATCAAAAACATCTCCCAGGCCATCACCATGCCCCTGCCCCCTACGGCCTCGTTCCAAGAAAGTGCAGCGCTCAAAGATCTGCGTGCCAAAGCGCATGGCACCCCTCCAGGAGCAGGCCGGAAACAGGCATGGAAAGAGGTCCCGAAAGTCCACAAAATGGAGCACAGACAATGGGAGAAGAACCTCATCGAAGCCGCCAGCAAGATGGACTGGAAAGCCATGCGAGCCATCGACCACCTCAACAAACCACGCAACTGGGAGTTCCATCTACTAGACTCACTAAACTGGCAACAAGACCTACGTGACCACTTCGCCAGCATCTTCCGCAAATCCCCTTCGAGCCAACCAGACCTTCAACTTGCAGCTATTCGTCACAAAATCCGCTCACGTTGCAAAGTCACCCCGTGGAGACCCTTTGAGATCGCCGAGATGCAAGAAGTCACGTTAAAATGGGAACCTCGCAAAGCCACCGGGCCAGATGGCATCTCGCATGAGGCCATCCGTCACCTGCTCACACATCCGACTTGGTCCGTCACACTCAAGGACCTCTTGGACGACGCCCTCTACATGGGGAAATTTCCCTCCAACATTGCGGACGGCATCACAGTCCTATTACCGAAGAAACTTCAGCCGGAGGAGTGGAGTGACACACGCCCAATCACCCTCAGCAGCACGCTCCTCAAATGGGCGGCACAGCTTCTCCTCCTACGGGGAGGGAGCTATCTCACCCGCAACCCATGCCAGTTTGCAGCCCCCCATCGACAGTCCACCGAACTGATATACGTCTTACGAAGGGTGGTCAGGATGTCGAAGGACTGGGGCGAGACCACCTTCATCGTCAAGTTGGACATCCAAAAAGCATTTGACTCGGTCTCCCAACCCGCGATGGCCGACATAGTCTACCGGAAGATCGCTGTAGAAGCCCAACTCCCCTGGGAAGCCAACCTATGGATTGACATCATCCAAGCCCGTGAACTGCACATTGCAGTGGGTGACGCCATCACCATCGTGGCCCAATCCAATGGAGTGCGCCAGGGCTCTCCGGACTCACCGGTGTTGTTCGCCGACCTCGTAGGGGAAGTCCTTGAGGACACGCTGCAAGAAGCCGGCCCCCCACCACAGACGCCACCCTCACCGATGCAGGGCGCAGGCTTCATGGATGATACATACCTTTGGAGCAATTCACAAGCCCACCTACAACGACTTCTCACCATCCTCGACAGCAAGCTCCGACTCAGAGGCCTCCGCATCCACCCGAAGAAGACAGGGATTATAGCCAGCCATCCGGAGGGCACAGGCACACCTTTCCGAATTGGCGGGGAAACAGTACTGGCCAAAGACCCGTCTCACATCCTCAACGCCCTCGGCTCCCCCCTCGCCTTTGACAACGGCACGACGGCCTTGGCAGCAGAGATGCACAACAGAGCCAGAAAAACATTCCACCTCCGCAAGAAGGTGCTGTGCGCAGACACCCCCATTCGCCCACGCCTCATTCTCCACAACACCTACGTGCGAAGCTCAGCCCTCTGGGCATGTGGGACATGGCCCCCACAGGAATGCTTGTTGAAACAAGCCAACTCGCTCCAACTCACCCAAACACGCAACATGCTTGGCAAAAAGCGCCTAGCGGGGGAAGCTTGGACAGACTGGAACACCAGGACTCTTCGCACAGCTCGAACAACCCTCCACAAGGAGGGGATCACCCGATGGTCCACTTTCATCCTGAGGCAACTATGGGGGCTCAATGGTCACATAGCGCGCGGCCCGGTGTGCCTTCAAAACATGCTTCGATGGAAGGCCATCAGCTGGTGGAGACAAGAGCAGCAACAGAAACACGGAGCTCGGCATGCCCACCGTTTCAATCCGCACCTTGACATTGAAAGGCACCTAGTGGCGGTGGCAGGTCTCGAATGGATCTCAGCGGCCCACAACCGCACCCTATGGGAGAGCATGAGCCACACCTTCATTGCGAGGCACGACCCACCATGGACCACGGGAAGGCAAACAGCCATCCACAACCTTGCGACCAATAGAACGCCCGCCGCGCCCCCCGCACACGCAATCCAGGATAGGAGAGACAGCAGATGACTTCGAGGAGCCCCAATCCACCCGATAGGAAACCTGTCCCCCACCCTCTCGCAGTGCGCCAGGCGACAGCCTCCTGGACCCTACCCTCCCGCACCCTCACGTCCCATGCATGCCCCACCTGTGGAGCGCCATATTCGTCCTTCTCTACGGCAAGCCAGTACGCATAGGGGACCCTACGACGCTTCCGGGCCCACAATCAGCGACCACTGCGGCGAATGAGGGAGCCAGCCCTTCCTCCTCTACCACACCTACGTCCTCGGGAACACCGCCTACGCCAACAGTGGACCAATCCACTCCGACGACAACGCCCTCCACGACCGCTTCAAGATCCACAGCCTTGACGCCGCTCCCTTCTACCACATCAGCGTCCCCGAGTACACCAACAACACCAATGGCTACTTCCACTGCCTCGACGACGCCCCTGGACTCCCAGACAGCATCAACAACCCCCCCTTCTACCGCACCTGCATCAACGACATCGTCGACAACGCCAACGGCAGAGCGACCCACTCCGAGGACGACACCGGCTTCAACCACACCGACGTCCCCGACTACACCAACAATGGCACCAGCTACCTCCACCCCTTTGACGACGTCCTGGACCCCTTGGATGGCATCCACAACTTCAACAACGTCCTCAACGTCCTCGACGACACCCACGACAACACCGGCTACCTCGCCCACCCCGACAACATCACCGCCTGCGTCGACGACACCCACAACTCCGACAACGTCCCCAACGTCCCCGACGACGCCCACAACAACACCGGCTACCTCCTCCACCTCGACAACATCACCGCCTACATCTGCCAGCCCAACGTCGACAACGTCCTCGTCTACACCAACGACAACACCGACTACCCCCTCCACCTCGACGACACCAACAGCTACATCTACCGGCTCACCAACGTCGTCCTCTCCTACCCCAACACTGTCACCTCAACACACTCCATCTTCGGCGGCGACCGACGGGACTACATCCAACACACCATCGGCTACGACAACCTTGGTTGCAACGTACGGGACCACATCCACGACACCATCAACTACACCTGCACCTAATAATCCGGTAACGCCGCCCTCTTCGTCCTCGTCCTCTCCTACCACACCGGCAGCCGAAGAAGCCTCCCCAAGCACCATAGCCACATCGACACCACACGACACAAACGGCAACACCGACTCCACCCACATCGCTACCGACCACACCACACCGAACCCCTCGATCACCACCACAACACGCACCACCACGCCCACAGTGCCTCCCAACGCAAGGCAGTTACCATCGCAAGGAGCAACACCAGCGACACTCCCGCCCACAGATCCGGTGGTGCGGAATCGTGCCTCCCCCCCTCGCCAAGCATCGAGACCATACCCGCACCAGCCAACACAACACGGCCCGACACACAGCGCAGCCCACCAACACACCTCACACCCCACGACACACCAGTCGCCAAACCCAGCCGCAGCCTCGTCCTCCTCACAGGCATCCAGAGACCGACCCATGCCACAACCGGACCAGCAGCAAACGCCGAGACCCAGATTCCCCGGATTGCCAGGACGGACAGCCCCACTTCCATCCCCCTTCGAGGTTGACCTGGCGGGAGCAGCCCAACCATATCTTCTACCAGGATCCAGCGTATATATCCACATCCAGCCGGCCGCGCTACGCACCAGACAGGTCTCCATTTACGTCATTGCCACGCACCAACCTCCCCTGGATCCAGACCAGAACCAGGACAGAAGCACTACCACAACCACCACCACCGCCAACACTGCCGCCGCTGACGCTACCACCACACCCACCTTGACAACCACCCACCCTCAACAGCCAGCAATCCACATGGCGTGCGACATCGGAGGCAGCACGACCACCGCCATGCCCACCGCCCAAGACGAACCACCGAACCACCGCCCAGCCCACACGGCTGACAGCTCAGCGGACCACCTGCAAAGCTACCACCAGGCCATCATGGACGCCTGGGTAGAACACGAACGGTACTTCCACCATCCCAGTCTCCGCCCACCAGAGGATGCCGACTGGCCCGACAACACTCTTCCCAACGACACCCCCACTTTCACTCCTGTGTACACCATCACCCACCCGCCACCGCCGGACACACCGATGGTGCCAGGCATGACTGCAGAAGAACACCGGGCATGGACACAGAATGGAGTGGTTGCGCTCCACCACCTGCCAATCATAGCCGCCAAGGCCCAAAAGCTCTTCACAGCCTCGGCACTACACAAACACCGATTGGCCAAGTCCAAAACAGAACCACAATCACCACTACACCCAAGCACCACAGCGCCACAGACCAACAAAGAACAGGCGCCTCCCACAGAACCACCTCCCAGACGCACAGCCCCCCTCGAGGAAACACACCCACCGACACCGATCACCCCACCACAACCGGTCGGGAACCACACAGCCACGAACAATACCACTGACCAAGACACTACCGCGCAACCACCACGCCCAACCAACCCCACCCAAGATCCACCACCAGGTGACTCGCCTACCCATACACAGCAAGAATCACCACTACAACCACTCAACCACCCAGCAGCCAGCTATTGGCAATGGACCCCCGTATGGCAACCGTGGCACGCCGGATGGCAAAGTGGCTGGCAAGCATCCCAATGGTCGTGGTACGACTACAACCAACACCAACACCCGCACGCACCCTGGTCCAGTGCACACCAGAACCCGCAGCTAAACCAGAACCAATATGGCTGGACCCTCCACCAACAGACAGAACCACAATCCCCACTGCGGCCAACCCAGCCATCACGAACAACAGACGACAGCCCAACGCCCCCCCACAACCAGTCCGCCCCCACCACAGCACAGGACCAAGCCAACACGACACCGGCAGACCAGCCCGTGGCACCGAATCCCCAAACAACCCCAGCCCAACCCAAAGCACCACCACCTCCGGTCCCCGGCGACATCAGACGGGGGAAGCCCACAACACCCACCACACACCCCCATCCACCAACCCACACACTACCCACACCACACCCTCCGTCAACACAACAAAGATACCAAATTCGAGATGAAGAAGGAGCTTCGCAGAGCAAATCAATACGTGCCACCGCCGGATGACACCACACACCGCGACAGACAAACCATTCGACAGCAGTACCAAGCATACACATGGGAGTACAGCCACCGCAAACACCCAGCAGGGGGCAGGCCTGGAGAGCGGTGGATCGACGTCACAGCATACACCCAAACCCGCTCAGCGCCCAACACCGACGACCAAACCGACTGGAGCGAGATGCTAAACCGGCACAAACAACCCAGGCAACAGCCCACCAACACCGGAAGCCACACAGCTGCAGCAGACGACCCACCACCATCTCAGTATGAAATGGAGCAAACCCAGGACGGGCATGGCCCGAACCCCTACACGGACCCACTACCACCAGAGCTCCCACAGGATCCCACCACCACAATCTCATTCACACCCCACCAAGGCGGGTGGTGGATTGAAGTCCACACCACACCGCACTCCCCACACCACCCATCCGTGTCCAGTCCGCCAGGACTCTCCCCCACGCTACCGCCGGGGACGACAGGTTACATGTAATTACCAGGAAGATCCCACATCCAGCCAATGGTACCTACACGTCCACCAGGCCCCCCCCCCGCACACGCACCACCTCCTCTCAGGAGGACCATACCAGGCTATCAGCCCCGGGTCGTGGGTGCAAATGACACTGGGCGCCCCGCCAAACACCTCTTTCGAGACAACCACCAACACGCCCGACCACCCACCGACGCCACCAACACAACATCCAGACCCACCTGGGACAAACCAACAGCACCATCGACACGACACCATGGCTGGTCCAACAGAAGCAACCACGCCCAGCAACAATGACCACATGGCCCAGACGCCTGCCCAATCCTTCTACTCCGACCCCCGGGGGGCATACAGACACTACACCGACGAAGCCTGGGAGACAGACCACACCAACATGATGCAAACCCGCAAACACAAGGCAGACGACCCAGACCCAGACATGCCAGACGGGCTAGCACCCCAGCCTACACACCCAGGACCACAAACAGACAACAAGAAAGCCAGAAGAAGTAGGGCCACCAACAGCCACGAGCAAACCCACACGGCGCCAACCCTCGTCCACACCTCCAGTCACACTAACGCCGGGCGAGAAGATGAGTGCAAACCACCGACACTACCAGGCCAGGACAGAGCTACAGAGCTCGACGAAGCCCGCAACCAACTCCAACACCTAATAGACCACCAAGACAGCATGGGCACCCAGGAACAAATCCAACAATGCGAGCTGGTAGCGGCCCTCCTCGAACTTGGCGTCCGGCACATGGACCAAGTCCAAGCCGTCACAGACTGGCAAGCCTGGGGGGCGGGGGAACAAGCAGCCACACAAGCCCACCACCTAGTCACACAGCTCACCCAGACCCTGCGATCCACTTCACCACCCACAACCGCCCAACTGACACCCCAGCTCCAGGCCATAACACACATGATAATCACCGCGATACGGGCACACACAATGGTGATCAGAGCCCCGCAGTGGAGCCAACCACCAGCAGCGCAACAGCACTCCCAGAACGAAGCCAGCCAGCACACCCGGCGGACGTAATCCACCTATCCAGGGGAGCCCCAGAAGCACGGCCAAACCCAACCGACGACACACCACAACCACTCCTACAAGCACTGCGCCTCCTTCGAGAGACTATACCGTTTCTCGAGCAACAGACCGCCGCACAGGTCACACAGGCGATTCAGCATATCCACCGATGGGTGGGCCAGCACTGGGAGAGTGAAGGCGCTGTCCTGATCGACAGCCAAACACCATCACTGCCACCACCCCCACCACCACCACACACCGAAACAACCACAACCGACCACGCCCCCGTGGCACACGATCACGACAACATCCCACCAGTCCAAGCACACCACCTACCACCACCGGAACTGGAAACACCAGAACTGGAGGAAAGCATCCGCCTCGCCCACCTCCTTGCAGACCAACCGCCAGGACAACCACGAACAACCAAGGAAGAGAGAAGACAGGATCTCCAAACCATCGCCACCCTCTTCCACACCGCGATCCGGCGAGGCCACACATACCAGCTCTACCAACACGAACAACACAGCCCCACCAAAGCCGAAACGGAAGCACTACAAAGGGGAGAGCGAGCCTGTAAGGAGGCCATCAAAATCCTCAACGAGCTCTCACTCCAAACCGCGTTGGGCATGAGGGTGGAACACACGTCCGGTTTGCTCGAGCAAGTGATCGTGAGAGCCCACACAGCCAGAGAAGCGCACGAGATCCTCCATGAAGCCATGGTGCAAAGGGAGACCGAGATGTTCACCTTCCCACCCAGCTCAACACCACCTACAATCCCTTGGCCACCCTCCACGACAACGGGGGAGCTAACAACCATGCCTCCAACAACACCGACGAGGGGATCCTCGGGAACTGACCCACAACGTGGATATCGCCGACTACACGACCATGGGGGACACCAACAACAAGGAGATCCACGGCTACCTGATCAGGGACAGCACCAACTACCAGAGCTGATGGGGGATCAACATCGTCGCGCGCATCGGCTACCCGAACACCGGAGAAGACGTGAACACGACGGTGCCAGCAGTGACTGAGAGCAGCCAATCAACTGAGCCCAAGCCAAGCCCGTGTTTCCACCTTTACCCATCACATACTGGGAGTACTGCTTTGCTTCTACACCAACCCCACCTCAGAAGGGCGAAGGCAAGGGCGCAGGACACATCAGGGGAGAACAATGGAATCTACTGCTAACATTCTAGCGTGTTTGTAGGTCCTGTAGACACCCCACAACTTTCTCCCACTGAGCTAGTGCACCCAGCTCGATAAGAACAACTATCAGGGGAGAGGGGACAGCAGCCCAACCTGGGCAATGACCCAGCAATCTTGCAGGATGAGTGAGGGACAGACCCTACACCTTCACCCATCAGGTTGCGCCCCGAACCCAATTTGAGCCCGTAGCCAGTGCTGTAAAAGGGGAACAGTTTTTGATGCTACCCTTAACTCCCGAATAAGTCCCTATGGTCACATGGACCCGAGGTGTTTTTACAACTCCAGGAGTCACCCCCACAGCACGCAGATCTCATGTGTCATACAGGCTCTGGCAACACATGGGGTGTCCAGACCGTGGTGCGTACAGGCATGGGAGTTCCCTCACACACAGGAATGGCCGCCTTGTTGTAGAGCAACCTTGACTTAGCTTGGAGCGCATCACTTAACACACAGTTCATTCCTGGAGAACGACCCCAACACCACGGAAGTCTCACACACAGACAGATCGCTGGAGCTCGCCCGTTAGGGCGGTCCCCCCACACAGGGGGACCAGGTGCAGTGGAAGGAAGGAAGGAAGAGAGAGAGCGAGAGAGAGAGAGAGAGAGAGAGAGAGAGAGAGAGAGAGAGAGAGAGAGAGAGAGAGAGAGAGAGAGAGAGAGAGAGAGAGAGAGAGCGAGAGAGAGAGAACGGAAGTTTCACGCCGACTCGGACAAACTTGCGCGCGAAGGGTGCCTGCGCGCCCTTCATGCCCGGAAGAAGAAGAAGAAGAAGAAGAAGAAGAAGAAGAAGAAGAAGAAGAAGAAGAAGAAGAAGAAGAAGAAGAAGAAGAAGAAGAAGAAGAAGAAGAAGAAGAAGAAGAAGAAGAAGAAGAAGAAGAAGAAGAAGAAGAAGAGAGAGACCAGAGCAGCGGGCCGTCGTGGCTGGTGTCTCCTTTCGGGGGGACATCTCCGCTGGGTAGAAGAAGAAGAAGAAGAAGAGAGAGACCAAAAGAGAGAGACCAAAAGCCAGCTAAGCACCAAGCACGAGTCCATAGGCTGCTTGACCCCCAACATTGGGAGACCCCAACGAGCCAAGGCGCTTGGCATGATTGCTGCGGCGGCTCTGCCAGTGCTTCCTGGACCTTCCCGGAGCCCCCCCCAAACGCTTGGCAAGTCCGGGATTTAGGGCATTTAGGGTTCAAGGCAGCCCTTGAAAGGGGCCTAGAATTAGAATGGGGGCTTGACAGCATCACGCTCAGGGTGTGGTCAAGCCTGCACTGCCCCGCGCTAGCTCGGCGTCAGCTGTTGGATTCTGTCTTCTAATTTTGCCGAGGCTTCTGGGAAGTCTGCTTAGCACCCTGGCAGGTCTTATGTATGACCAGGTTTGTTTTGCTCGCCTGAAGTACAGGCAGCCGGCAACTGAAGTTGTTTTGGAGTTCGCAACGAAGCCCGGCTGAGGTGCCGACTGTGACCTGCCTCCGGAGTGTCAGGGCACGGCTGCAGAGGCAGGGGCCCCGAATTTTTCTGTTGGGGAGTCTGTGAATCTTCGAAACTTTGGGGTGGATCAAGAAAAACCTGTTTGAACAATCGCTTGTCCCGGGTTCACGCCGCGAGGACCACTGTGTCGCGCTAGAGCGGCGCTGCCGCTCGCTCTGTCAGATTCTGCCATCTGACGTGTGGGTGCTGGTTTGGGGATAACCCAGGAAGCGACCTGAAGCGAACTGAAGCGACTGTGACATGGATCCCAGGCCCAAAAAAAACCCTGCAACATCTCGATCCCAAGCTGTTGCTGCCACGAAGCTTAGGCGACGGCATCCAGAGCCGGCAGGCAATGCTTGCAGCTTAGCTTAAAGGGGCTGCAATGCGTGTACAGGTGGGTTGCATGTGTGAGCATCGGTTGGATTTCTGTGTTGTGGGTTCTGCACAAGACTTGTACACAGGCCCACCACTTGTTGCACAGTTTCAGTCTCAGTATCTCATAGCTCTGATTACGCCCGCTTCCTTCAGCAACCTCACAGATGGTCGATGTGCAAGAATCGTCAGAAAGTATAGACTGAAACATAAAGGAACCGTGATGCAAAGAGAAGACATGTGCAGGGTTCCATCGGTCGACCTATCTAAATCAAGTACCAAGTCTCACGTGCCACTGACGTCACAAGTCACGCCACAAACTGTCAGCCTCGAAGTTTACTGAAGTTGTGCGTCTCCCGCGTGCCCTCGCGCGTCTAGAGTGAGCCTAGCGACCAAAAGTCTCCTGCAAGCTTTCTTTGGGCAAGGGAAAGTTTCTGGAAGCTCACACCCCATGACAAGGCTACAGGCCTTATCTTTGCTGGCGTGGCTATTGCTTCAGGCACCTCGGTACAACATCCACCGATATGTGAAAGCTGTGCATCTCCGTCTGTGCGGTGAATGCTGCGTCTGTGTGCCTGACGTGCAAGGCTATTGGTACTTGAGGTGGTAGGCTAAATTGCGAAGCAACAACCTGGGCCGAACGGCAACTTCAGAGGCCATCAAACCCCCGAAGCCGGTCCTTCTAGGCTTCGCCTGCGTGGCGGTGATTCGCGAGCGAAAGCCACCTCGCGAGGAGAAGGGAGGGCTCTTTCTCTTCGGGCTGGGCTTCGCGGAGTCGAGGGCTTCAGGTCATGGTTCAGGTATTTCTCTCCGGAGAACTACACGGACACTGCATGGCGCCGCATCCATTCGCATGATGCGGTGAGGTATGCCCGTTTCAATGGCCTTTTTGCGAGGATGGGGGCAGCCTCCTGGAGAACCGACCAGAAGCCAACGACCATCCCTCGATGCTGTGGCCGCACTCTGGGTGTTTGCAAACCAGTGCCAATCTTTCAGCACCTGGACTGCGCCAAAGCAGTCCCAACATGTGTAAGCTTAGCAGCTGCAAGCCCCATGGCTGCACCCATGTTCGCCCACAGTATCGACTGCAGATATGTCATGCCTCAGGAAATTGGATGAGATCTTGCCTGGCTTCCTAGCCCCTTGGCATTGCAGGCGGGCATGCGAGCCTTTGACCTTGTTTGCCTGAATGCCGGGAAGGAGGTGTTGGGCTACTGATGGGAGTGCAAGCGGGCTTCGAAACATCGGAGACCAAACGGACCATGATAAGAACTCTTGCTGCATGCCAGATGTTGCTTCGGCAAGTGCCGCCTGTCGATTCGACGGTCGATGTCTGCTGTCGTTATTGTAGTACAGTGTAGAAGGAACCTTAGGGCTTCCGGGAACGAACCAAGGCGATGTTGCAGAATCGTCCCTTCCGGGTGGCCCAGCTCAATTCAGCAGAGAGTTTAGGATTAGGTTTGCGCGAGGCTTGGTTTTGGGATTCTTGGCCTTGTTCCTCGGTTCACGCAAGTGCTGCTTCAGGCAATGATCGTCCCTTGGATACTGGATCAGACGATCGTGGCCATGCTGTCGTCCCTGCTGCCATTCTACGTGCAGTGCCTGGGTTTCAACCGAACATATCAGCTTTCAGACTTTCAGACATTGACCTTGCAACCTATCCTTCCACTTTGCTCTCAAGCCCAGGTATGTGATCTCCCCAGAGGTGGTCTGTCAGGCTGGTCAGAGAATGCTCGTTAAGCAATCCAGAAGAGGGTTGCTTTCGTAGGCGTGAGCCGCCTAGATTGCACTGTGTTGGATGTGCGCACAGAGAAAAGATGCCCTAGCACCTGGCATGTTGGGTGGTGGATGGTTTGAGGTGGCTGATGGGATTTTTGCCTCGGTTTGTGTCCGTCAGGATCGTCTGTGACAGAAATATGGGCAAAGGCAGGCTTGTACGTAGGACCCTTCTCGGAGCTTGAGCTGTTTGGTCTACTTGTGCATTGAGGGCTAGGTCTGTGACACAGGTGTTGGGATGAATTGCTGAGGCTTGTGCACACGATGTGCAGGCGTCTCCGGAAAAAATGCAGAAAAAAACCCTGGAGCTGAACTGGAACGCAGGTCAGTAGCCCACCGATCCCCATCGCCAGCGCCCGATGCAGCTCGAGGATGCTGTGCCGGAGATGCACAAAAGCGTCAAGAGCTTGAGAGTTTAGCGCAGCAGAGCCTTAGCCTGAGTGGGCTTGTGCTAAGTGCTGTCTTGGCCCCTTCGCGAAAGCTTGGAAGGGTTTCCCGGCGAGGTCGTTCGGTGGTTTCAGGTGCGAGGGCGATTGACAGGTTGGATTACACAAGTTCCTGGCAGCTCAGGCTGGGCATTGGCCTGGTCTGCATGCTCTTGGCTGCTATCCTGTCAATGCCCCTCTGGCAGCGGGCAGCTATGGGCTTCGGAGACTACCAGCCGCCCACTGCAATTCAGCGAGCTTTCGGTCATCTTTGGGGGTGGGAGTTCCCCCCCAAAAACACTGAAGCCGATCCGCGGGTCGCTTGCCTGGAGTTTCCGAAGTGCAGCCGAAGAACTGTCAGATTCGTCGATGTCATCATGATGGCTAGCTGCGTCAACCTGGGTTAAAGGGGCCGGACGACTCTCCGCCGCGCGAAACACCCAAAGCCAACAGCCGAAACTCGTAGAACGGCTCCTCGTCTCAGGACGTGGCTGGCCTTCAACTTCATGAATGCCATCACCACGATTCTGCCACGAGCTTGCACTCAGGGCCACGTTGTGGACAGGTTCGTGATGACCTGAGCCCTGAGCGCTGCAAGGTTCATTGTGGGCCAGACGTCCACACTGGCGATTGTCTTAACCATCTGCTTCGCCATCCTGAACGGCGCACCCATAGGCCGGAGCTGTGCGTTTGAGCAGGCCTCGCATTTTTGGCATCGGGTGCAGGTGTAAGGCCCAGCTACACTGCTACAACACAAGGTATGCGTGGGGCTTTGTAGCAAATGTCTTGAGCTCAAGGACCAGGGTGTGGGTGGGGGTACGGACAGTTTCTGCCAGTCTTGGTCTTCGTAATCTTCTGCCGTTCTGGCAAAATTTCTCTGTAATCCTTCGGGGCACAGCACCGCCCCCGGGCAAGTAATGGCTTGTCTGCAGTGAGCCATAGGACCTTGAGGCTCAGGGTATGAGCGCTGTTGCGCCCCCCTGTGGTTGGAGATAACTTTACCATCAAGGGCTGCGGCTGAGAAGTGCGGTGCCATGACCTCTCACTTCGCACCACAAAACGCGGCGATGTCCTGGACTCCACGCTCCAGGACCATTAGACACACCAAAAGCCCCCTGCTGTTTGGGAGGCGCCAGCTTCTTGACCGACAACATCCTGGGTCTCGACGCTCGGCATGGCTTGTCTTCAGCAGTTGGAACCTCGCGGCACGTTAGGTTTTGATCCGAGCTTTTTGGCTCAGCGTGTCAAGGTGAGAGGCAGCCACCCTTGTGTTTCGGCATGCCACGCTTGTCATGTCGAGTCTGTGGGGGTGAACATCTGACGGTGCAGTGTCTCCGCGAGAGAGAGGCCACTCCACCATCAGTGCCGTCCCGCCCACGATCGGAAGAAGATTGGATAGAGCCAGAGCACTCCCAGATGCTCGACATCATTGAAAAATTACGTGGTCCCGGTAGGGACATCGTCCTCGAGGGTGGTCCCGACAGGGACCACATCCTTGAGGGTGTTCGGCAAGGCGCATATTCAAGGTTGTGGCACGCGAATGCAGAGATTCGAGTGGGTCGCGGCATGATGCTGTTCATTGATGGGAGACAGACTTGCCACGGCTCTCTCTGGACAAGAAAGACAGAAGCAGATCGCCACCGAGACCATGTGCGGAACTGCGTGAAGGATTCTCAGGCTTGGAAAGAGAGGCCACCGGAGGCTGATCTCGAGAAGATTGTCGAAACCATGATCAGCCAGTTCGGGGAGTTCACTAGTGACAGCGAAAAGTGGTACGTGCGCGAAGGGTCGGTGAAGGTGTTTCGCCTCCGTGGTGGGCGCAGCGGACCGAAATGCAGCCACTGCAAGCACTGTGACGCGTATCGCTTTCTGAACAGCCTCCTAGGCTGTCATGCTGTGCACGGGCCCCGCAGGCGCGGCAGAGAATCGAATGGTGAATAGGTTGAATAGGTATTCGGACATGTTCCTAAGCCTGCAGCGCCAGTGGGCAGTGCAGGGCGACGTCAGGCCTGCAACCACAACTCTTGTGCAACTGGAAATAGTTGCAGCGAAGAATTGCGAGCAAGTCCTACTTGCGTTGTAGCCTGCGTAGCCTGTGTCTCTGCGCGTCAACCTACCTATAGCTATCGCCGACGCAAAAGAGCTCCGATGAGTTATTTTTTTCCGGGGTACAGAATTTCACGGCTGGAGTGCAGTCTGATGACGATGACACTGAGGTCATCGACTATGACGAGCTTCGGACAGGGACGCGGAATGAAGCAACATTCACGATGCCACTGGGCCCTGGTGTTTTCAAGGCTTCAGGGCTTGACTTTGGGTTGGGCTTTCCAAAGCTCCAAAATGCTCAAGCGAGCAAGCTCACTTTGGAAGCTTCAAGTGACATCGCGAAAAGCAGGTGTTCCCTTCTGCCGGAAACCTGAAAACGGACACACAAAATCCTCACTACGTCCTGTGTCCTTGCGTCTCATGCCCTGATCATCATTGGAACGGCATGCGGTTCTGCATAAGGCATGGGCAGACTGTAAGACCCAGCTGCCGATAGGGTGTCCAGCAACATCCTATCAGGTTTGCCAGCTTTATCCCCAAGGCATGTTGGTGTCGATGGTGAGGGGAGAAGGATCTGGCAGTGACACATAGTGTTCTGGCATTCGTGTTGGTCAGGTCGAGGGTTGGGCAAGGCTTGAAGCGTCCAGGAATGTCTGCCAGACTCGAGGCCTGCATACTAGCACACAATGGGCTCTGCGTGGGCTTCATTGCAGGGCTGCTCTTAGGCAGAGATGTGCTGAATCAGCTGAGTGCAAACTCTTGTGTCGTCATGTGCAAGCCAACCTGGAATCTGGAAGCTGGCATTGGCAACCAAAAGCTACGCCGTCATGCTCCCAAGCCTTGGACACCCTAGTGCCACGCCCTTGTGTGCAGATCGTCAGCGTTCCAGCTTCTGCATTTCCGCTGACGCTTTTGGCCGTGCCGCTCGAGCTTGGGGTGTGTTTGGCAGTGGTTTGGAACAAAAGCCGTCCGAAGCCTGCTCAGAGCTTCAGGGGACCCATCAATTCAAGAGTACCCTAAACGCCCCGAGATACCTGAGGCCCAGCCTTGATAACATTTGTTCGATTCCGGGCAAGATGGCTGGGTTCGGTTTCAATGCTCTGTGGACTGTCTCATGAACATCTTGCAAGCTGAAAGAATGTAAGCTTCCCATACTCCCCCCTCAAGCCGCGCAACCCCATCCTGAGATTATGAGGCTTGGCTTCCGAGATCCGGTGGATGGAGAACTGCAGGTTGGGAGGGCGTCAGGTTTGGGGCGAAAAGGGTGTAGAGTTCTTGGGATGGGTTGGGGAGCTGCTTGCTGAAGAGTCTTGCACACATGAGTGCGGATGAGCGCACGCTTTCCATGATCTACCAAAAGGCGAGCTGTGCCTGCTCTCCATGGCTCTTCATGGCTCTTCGGGGCCAAGCTGTTCGTAGTGCTGGCTTCAGAAGCTCTAGCGATACCCTACATCATCTGTCCACACACTTTGTCCTTAGTTGTGCTCCGCGAACCACTTGCAACTCAGGTCAACTCTCCTCATAAATTCCGTCAGTAGGCTAGTGTCAACCATGAGGGGGGCTCATGCTCTCGAATCCCAGTTTGTTGGCCAGGAACAGCCGGAGCAAGTTCGCTGGGGCGTGAGGCAGGGCCCTAACTTCAGTGTGGATGGAAAACGTGTCACCGAGAATCTTCAGAAGTCAAGCGGAGTCACCCCACGGTGGAGCCCGAGGCTGATGTTCTCCGTCGTCCCGACGTTGCTTGCGTTTCTTGGCTGCTCCGGGCTTGGTCTCCGTTGACAATCCGTTGACAGTTACAGGATCTGAGGCCTCAGGACAGTGGGCCAGTTCTTGTGGTTGGGTATTCTTACGCCGCCTATTCAGGTTGGGCGGATTGCTTGGGAGTCTGGGTTGCCTTCAGTCCAGTGGCAAGAGGGCGGATTGAAGTCAATGCCTGCGCACCTTGGGAGGTTGACCAGCTTCTTCCTGTGTCTTGGCTGCCCTGGACGGGAACAAGACTGGAGCTTTAAGCAACTGGTTGGTTAAGCCTTTCAAGCGCAGAACTGGGGATTTCAAAGGTCGCTGCTGCAATGACGCGACCCAGTCGTGCATGAACAACATGGGCTTGTCATGCGAGAACAGCAAAGTTGGCCATTTTGGCTGATTTCACTTTCATTGCTGGCCACGTCAGGTTTCGGTCAGACTATGATTGACAAGCGACCCACTAATGCACACATGCACAGCCCAAAGCAGCTGAGACTTTCAAGTTCCATTTAAAGCCATGAAGGATATTTAGTGGTCAGTTGCAAGAGAAGCTGCAGCATGATTTCTCAAGCGAGAAGAATCCGTGGCCAGCCTAGAAAACCCATGTTATCCTTTCTCCTGCTCAAGAGGGGGGTCCCATAGACGCCCTACCTCGAACCCCAAGCCCTAAGCTCAGTCAGCGCTGAATCCTGGTTTCTGAGGAAAGGCTGGTGGTTCCCTTTCAAAGACTTGGCGCTGGCAGATGCCGAGATCAAAGCGGGATTGGCACTTCGCAAGCTGCTTTGGAGCGGATTAGTGACTGTTGAGTAGATTTCAAGGAGGGGCCAACGTAATTCCCAATCCATTAGAACTGTATAAGCTCGTGGTAGTTCGGGGTCGGAATCGAAGGTATGTCAGGCTTTGGGGCTGAGGGCTCAGGGTTAACAGTTGAGGGACTGTTGCTGGGGCTGAGGGCTCGGCTTTTTTGGGTCAGCGAACGAGGCAAAGCACAACAAACAAACAAACACAAGTCTCAGAGAGATTGCGCACGCCGACCCAGGGCTTCCAAAAAACAAAAATGATTAGGGTGGTGCAAGGTGGTACTCGGCATGAGCAGATTGTGAGGCTTTCGGAGGTCCGGGAAACGGGGTTGTGGGAGCTCCTGTGTTTCGCTCAAAGCTTCACAGCTTCTAGGAGTCGTGTTTAGGGCGCCGAAGTGCTGTGTCATTCCAGTGGGCTCTTGTAATCGTAGCTCCAGCTTTGCACAGCTGGACCGGGGAAGCAATGCAGTGCAGCCCGGCTGCGTTGCTTCGGCAAAAAATTCTAAGCAGAGAGGAGCCCCCGAATGTCCTACGCCCCTGGCAATGCCACGACATGCTGCAGACAAACTTTTTGAGCAGAGAGTGCCTTTGCCGCCCCTGCTCTTGAAGTTCAAGAAGCCAAGGCTGGGAGAGCCCTATCGGGACCCCCTGGATGCCAGCTACAGGCGGGGTGAGGGCTGAGCAGTGGCCCAAGCTTGCCAATGTGGAAAGCTGCTGCACCGCACTGAGAGGCATCCAGACAAGGCCTTTGACCAGGAGCCCGGCTTCAAGTTGGGGGTCTCTCCAGGATGTCTGGGTTTGGCATGGTGTCATGGAGGGTTGCCTATCTGGGCCGCAAATTTTGGTGCCGGCAGTCATCAAGCCAGGCTTCAAGAAATGTGGGGCTGGAAGGGTGGCCTGAGACGTTGGACGACCCAAAAAGCTCTTAAAACACTTTCCCTCTCCTTCTTTGCGGTGCGAACATAGCGGGGCCCCGAGCTTGTACCTAAGCCCTGCCCCTTCAACCGCCCATCACAAAGCTGGCGAAGGGCAGTCACCCTCGTGTAGAAGCACTGCTGTCCCACTTTCCTGGCCGGGAGGTGTCGGGCTCCTAGCCTTTTTGCACTTGCCGGGCATTTGTCGGAGCTTTTGCGTGCAGAACTGTTGTGCCTTCCAGGCTTTCGTGTACACGTCCAGTTTGCCTGGCGTTACAATGATGTGTCGATGTACCGTGTGTGTTTGTTTTTTTTGGCGATCTGCCCGAGACATCCTGAGACAATCCGGTGATCTGAAGTCTGAAGCAGCCTCACAGCCAAATCCCTAGTCGACAAAGCGACCATTCCTCTAGATTCCTACAGCACCTTCGCCTTCAGGGTCGAGCACCTGGCTGTTGATGGTGGTGCATCCCTGTGCCAGCGTTGTGGCCGCCAGGTGGATCAGCGTTGCTCAAAAGTGTAGAGGGCTCAGAGAGGTTTAGCGGGATGCCAAGTCGCCGACTTAGAGAGGACTCAATCAGAAGCAGCTGAAAAAAACAAGCCTGAGCCAGGTTGCTGGCCTCTCGGCGCTCTCGCATCCCAGATTGCACTCGGGGTCTCCAGTTGGGATGTCGAGGGGGTGATGTCTCTGCTTGGAGCAAGTAGTAGCAAGTATCGAATGCTTTTCCTCTTGCGCTTGCCATCCTATGAACCTTGGCACACTGCGCTTGCAGCTCCCGAAACCATACTTCATTAAGCCAAACTCAGGTGGGATTGATGGCTTCAGCTCAGTCTTTCCACAAGAAGCCAGAGCTTGCACAGCCAAGAAGAATCGGAGCAGGGAGACCTTGTTCCCCACGTGGTTCCCCAGGCTTGCTTGCACGGCATGTACGGTCCTGACTATGGCCCTCGGGTACTTGAACGACAACAAGCATCCTGGCATATCTGGACGTGGTTGGGCTGGAGAGGTCTTCGGGTGTTGGCATTGTTGTAATGTGATTGTTCTCGAACCCCTCCTGCTGTTGCTAGACTGCTAGACCATACCGGATGTCTTCCCCACACTGCAGCTCCGACACAGTTTCTACGCAAGTGTGCCTGCACGGGATGAGGCTGAGCTGGCTCCCCTCCATCTTGGTCTTGCTGACTGGGCTAGGTGGACAGGGGAGGGCCGTAAACGGGGTTGCAAAGCTTAGTATCGTTCAGGAGAGGAGGGGTGTTTCGAGCATGACACTTGCCGACGACCACCTTTGCGACATGACTGCCCCACCTGTGCCAGTCGAAGCCCTTAATCCAGGGAGTGTGAGAGTCGAATCCAGCGGTGCCCTCGGCTTTTCCGTGCCAGGCAAATAGCCCTGAGCCGGGATCTGGGAAGTGATGGGAAGCCTCCCTCGCGTGCAGGCATCCTGGCCTCCTTGGTGGTCCCCTGGCCGAGATACGGATTGAAGAGGCTCAGGCTCAGGGGGCCCCCTGGACCCCAGGGCCGAAGGCCCTTTCTTGCGACGGGCCCTGCGAAGCCCAAGGCCGGTCTGCGACTGCGCGCGGCGCGGGGGCTGCGGAAACTGCTGCCGGACCTGCCCCGGGGGTACATCCAGGCGCCTCTTGGCACCTCTTGGTGCCTCTTGCGGCGCGTCTTGACTCCCGGCTTTTCACTGGATTCTTCGTGGGAGGGTTCAACTGGTGTTTCGCGAAGCACTCCCCGCGGCCATTTTCTCACATGTTCCAACATGCAGGCTTCAGCACCTTTTTTTTTTTTGGACTTTTCGTTGATTCTTCCATTGTATTTTGGTTCTACTTGGCCGTCAGTCAGCTCCTTGTGATGGTCTGGGCAGGCCGCCTCTGTTCGCAGAATGGCTATGCTTCAGGCCGGTGCCTTGGGCCTCGGGACATGTGTGTTGCTGATGTAACCTACCAACGCCCAAAAAACGGGCAAGAATGCGTAGAAACATGGAGCCACATGGAGCCATGTCTGCCACACTTTCAGGAGGACATGCGCTCACCCAAGTCACCCTGTGCAGGCCGAGCTGACTCCAGAAGCGGTGGAGCGCATCGCTGTTTGGACGGCCGAAGCGTCCCTCGCACAAGAATCCAAGCAATCCCTGCCGACTGCAAGGATGCAGATGGCTAGAGACCACGTATTTCAAAATTTGTTTTCAACATGCTATGTGGGGAGATCTCTGAGCTACGACTGAAACTCACACACCGCAAGGCAGGTTACCCACCAGGCGACAAGGCACAAAAAGGCACCATGCATCGGAACCGCTGAGACCTTGAGATTCAGGCATAGCTTCGTGGCCCACCAGCGATCGTTCGTCTCCCGAAGAAGCTCCGCAAGGGGTTCCCGTGCAGGGCCAGGAGCTGAGAAGGGTCTCTGGAGTCCTGGTGCAATGGGAAGCAGGGGACGCGGTCATCAGGCCACCTTGCGTGATCTTGCACTCTGTCGCATCCGACTTTCCCGAAACCGCCGGCACCCTAAATCGATGCCGTAGGCGTTGAGGCTCCAGCCCGTATTAAAGACCTGCCCCCCCTTGCGTTAGCTGTTGCACGTGGATTCGTTGCTTTTGTTGCGGCCATGCGCGCGGCAGCCTCTCGACGTCGGGGCTTGGTTGGCTTGGCTTGCCTCGTTTGCCTTCTGGCGGCGCCTTGCTTCCTGCTGGGTAATCCAATGACCCAAGCGGCCAAGGCAAAAGCCACCAGTGTCCGGTATGAGATGTTCGGGACTCAGAAGGCTGAGGAGCAGCACTCCCAGCAGTCCAATGCGTTGCAGACGGCTCTTGCGCCCATGCTCCTGGCTGTGCTGCTCTTCGGCGCATCATCCGCCCAGGCCTGGACGCACAAGGAAAGCAAGAATTGGTCGGCGGAGTTTCCCATGTGCAAGCAAACGTCTCAGTCACCCATCGACCTGACATCGGACACCACCAGCGGTTCAGGCAGCACCTTGGCACAGTACGTGAAGTATGATCCGATCCCTGCACGGCAGATCAAGAACAATGGCCACGTGATGCAGGTGGACGGCTCCTTTGGGGCTTTCAAGTTGCCGGACGGAGACTACCAGGTCAAGCAGTTCCATTTCCACTTCCCTGCAGAACACACGGTAGATGGCAAACTCTCTGCAGGCGAGATGCACATCGTGCATCAGAAGGTCGGTTCCAGCGGCACCGACGACCTGGCCGTCATCGGCGTCATTCTGGAGGAGTCCAAGGCCCCGTCAAAGCAGTCAAGCTTCCTCCAAGCCCTCTTCAAGGACCTTCCGGAAGAGGGCAGCGCTTCGGACGTGGGCAACGTGGATCTCAACGTCTTCGGGGACCAGTTCAAAGAGTTCTACCACTACGTGGGCTCGCTCACCACTCCTCCCTGCGCGGAAGGGGTGCATTGGTATGTAAGCAAGAACACGGCCAACGTCACCCCGGAGACGATCAAGGCTTTCCACAACCGTTTCAAGGAGGACGACAACCGCCCCACGCAGGCCTTGAACGGCCGCAAGGTGGTGAACTCCGCGCTGTCCGTGGACAAGGAGTTTGCGGCCTGAGGGGGCATATTCAACATTTAAAGTATCATGTTTTCACTTACCAAACATGGCACTGTGGATCCGTGAGAGGCCACTGTGGAACTATGAGAGAGCCTGCTGCTAGCAGAGTCGAAAACGAGACAGGTTTGCCAAGGACGTCATAAATCCAGACCTCTTAGATTGGACTCTACAAAGATGGGCATGCACGAATTTTGACTTTGACCCCAAGGAATAAGCCCGAATCCGATCTCACACCGAAGCACTGGCGCACTGAGGTCCGCCCGGACGAGCACGAGCACCAACGCCAGTGAAGGGCCCGCAGAGCGGGCACAGGGCTTGACGTAGCTCCTCTCCCTTCACTGGGTGCCGATGTCTGCGCATAGACGTGCCGAGGTCAGTTAATACGGTCGCACATGTTCTCTCAGGCCTACAGGCTCCATGTTTGTAGCAGGGCGATGTGGTATAACGCAACGCGACGCGTGATGCGGCGACATGTGCTGCACATGTACAGGCGGATGACGCTAGGGACTGTGGCACGCGCAACGATCTGAGAGGACAACTGCTTCACCATGGACTTCAAAACATCCCTCGCGTCTGCATACCCTCGCATCGCCCTTGACCCCCCCAAACTTTTGGAATCTCGCGGCTGAACTGCTGGAGTCGCTTGGACCGGCAGCAAAGGCCAGTGTAGCGGGAAAAAGGCAGGGATCTGGGTAGTGGCTTTCTGGGGCCTGTAGCATTCCACGCATTTTCTGAGCAGCTTTGGCGGTGTACATCTGTGACATCGGGAGGTATCATGAAGCATCAAGTGGCGCAGGGGCAAGTGCCAAAACCTGGTGAGGGGTCTGGACCTCGGCCTCAGGGCTGACAACTGAGCTGCCGAGTTGCAGAAGCCCTTCAAAGATGTGGCTGTGCCCCGCTATGCCCCGGTGTGGTCTTCGTATGTACTCCACGATCCGAATGCCAAGCTGTGCCTTAAGCCCCCGAGCTTCAGTGCTCAGTTCACGATGTTACCTTGGCTGGCTATTTGCACAAACTGTTTCAGATATCCTCACCGTGTTGCTTTATGTCCGCCTTGGCTTTGGGTGTTCACAGCTTGTGCTGATTTTTTTGTTGCATGTTGCTGTTTGGTTGCTATTTGGTTCAGCAAGGTTGTCACACTTTGTTCTGTTTCTACATGTTGCTTTTAAAGTTCAGTGGGGTGTGCATGCACCTTCCCCCCCTCCCAAACAAACGAGGAACAACAGCAAGCCCGGCTACCTCATGTTCCAAGGCCACCCCCGGAAACTCGTGCGCACTACTACTCCGAGGCCGCCCCGCTGGCAATTTGGGCTTTTCCTTGCAGGCTTAGCGGCTTAGCGGCGTGGCGGCTGCTGTGGTTCCAGGACTTGCAAATTGAGTTCTTAAGCGTTGAGAGAGGTCGGCTGGCGATGTGTGTCGCGGCTTGGAAGATGGGGGACTTTTCGGCACAAGCCGCCTTTTTCGTGCGCTCTTGCCTCGCAGGTTTGGGGCGCGTTCGTGCCTGTTTAGGGGGAAGACTTTTTGTGCAACTTTGCAGCCCATCATAGCCCATCTTGCAAGCTCGTCTCTTGGCTCTCACGTGGGGTTCTGACAGCGATGGGCCCCCCAAACTTGCAGAAGTTCCACTGTGCAATCCAGTTCGTTTCGCCCAAGGTGGCACAGTAAAAAAACACTGGAAGTGCTGAGTCTAGATCGAGAAGCCCTCAGCCCTGCAGCTGACAGCCTTCAGACGCGAGACCACGCGGAGTTTACTCGGTAATCAAACGAGGTCTTCGCTCTTGCCGAGGCGGAGGATGGGAGGCCGTGATGCGGCCCATGTTGCTCACATTCCAGTTTACCATTTGCAAAATGTGAGCTACGGATACAGATGGCAGTTTTACAGTGGCTCCTGTTTGGGCGTGCATGGTCCTTTGGGTTTTGCTCGTGGGGAGTTGTTGTCTCTACAGCCCGCACCAGGCAAATAGCTGCAGGTCCTGTCTGAAAAGCTTTGGGGGTTACGTATGTCATTCATGGATCTAGTGATGTATTTCCTGAGGTGTCAAGGCAGAGAAGTGCCTCTCGAAAGTAGGATCTTCTGTGTTGGTGTGCTGGATGGTGCTGGGGTATGCTGCGGCATGCGTATGCGATGGTTCGATCCCTCTTGGACTCTTGGACTTTGAATCCATCTACTCACTGCCGCCACAAACTAAACCCCATGGGAAGAGAGCCCCAGAGAGGCCTAAACCCTCGCGGCCCTCAAACCCTTTGAACATGCCCAAAAAGAGCTCCATCTGCAGAGGGCTCAAGCCTCGCCCCCCCCGGCCTCCATCCGCCTTACGAGCGCAGCCCATGAGTGAGAGCGCTGCGACAAAGGACTTCCGAAGGTTTAGGGCCTTTGGGGGGGGGGAGGGAGGGGGGTGGGAGCTTGCGGTAGTTGAAGGTCTGAGGGCTTCGGCTTGAGCTTCTGTTTCTTGGGGTCTGGGTTTCGTTTTGGGATCTTACAAGTTCGGGTTCTGTGCATACTGGCGGCCGTATGCAGGCTTGATTCCGAGTGTGGGTAGCATACCTACACTGACACATTTTGGCGGACTTCGCATCTTTTATGCCATGTGCGACAGCAAGCTCATGGATGTCTTCGTATCCTTTTCTATCGTCCCCGATACTCGGGTGCTGAAAGTACAGCATCTTGCATGTGATTGACTTTGGATGACCTGCTCGTAACTTCGTCTTGTGGGTTGTGTACGGCCGCTCGTGCATCAGGTTCCGGAGAGGGTTGCATGAGGCAGGTTTGGGTGCTCATCCAGGTTTCTAGGGATGTGTCCAGTAGCCGGGGCGCAGACACTGGGACCGAATTGGGTCTTCCAGCGGGTTAGAATGGGTTCTGCCTGAGGACCACGAGGGCCCGGAGTACAACTATTTGTTCAAGCTGCTCAGACTGAGATGCTTCGGGAAGTTATGCCCCATCCTACTAATCAGATCAAGGCCAAACACCAAGCGCTTCGGCGCCGGTAATTTCAGAGCAGGTAACTTGACTCTCTCAGGATCAGAGACTGACGGACTATGACTGCAATCAGAACTACCTCCCCCAAATTAAAAGCCCAAAAACCAGGCGCCCTGAAACCCCCCGAACCAGAAGCCGATCTGAGGTACATCATCGCAACCCGGCGGCCATCCCATGTTGCTGAGGTTTGGATGCGGATCCCCTCCGGAATCAAGCTCCAATCGTGGGAATTTGGGGGCAAGATTGAGCCGTTGCAACCCACGAAGGTCGTGGGATCACCAACCTTGGGGGAGAAGTCGGGGAGCCTCTGCACCTCTCGACAAAGGTGCAGCGTGGTAGAGGCTGTCGACCTTGCGTGGGGGGGGGGGGGGGGGGGGTGGCTATGTGGACGGATGATCCCGGGAAGTGTCCAGGGCATGCGCGGAGGCGTTCAGGCAGAGCCGATGGGGGATCTGGGATTGGAGTCCGCAGGCTGCAGTTTTCCTGCGCTTCCCAAACCTGAGCCCTTGCTCAGGTAGGGGATGCGGGCGTGGGCAAGTCCTGCATACTGCTGCAGTTCACCAGCGGCCGCTTCCGAGCAGAACATGCGACGTGGCAGATTTGATTCCCAGGTTTGGGGTTGTGCCTCGCTGGAGCTTTGCGCATGTCTTTCGACGGAGCCCGGCTTATGGGCATCGCCGCCATTCGCAGATTAGAAACGGTATCAGATTGAATGTGAGAGTGTTTTGGGTTGAGCTGCGGCAGCCATTGCGAGCAGAAGCATTTGCAGTCTGCAGCGTGCCTCCTTCATCGAGCAGGCGAAGAGACACAGTTTGTACAACCTTTGTTCCAGTCTATGACCCCGCGGTGTTGAAGGTCATATTACCTATATGAATTCTGTCCCCTGAAGCTCAGGATATGACCATCGGCGTACCTGCGCAGCAGCTGGAGTTTCTAGGAGAGTTCCTATGCATTCCCCCGGGTTCGGGACGCTGTGGGCTTCCTGCGATTGACATCTCTTGTTCGGGGTGAGAGGAGTCAGGGGCCTCGGGTCAGCCACAGAAGCTTCGCACTTTGCATGAGCCCTGGGGCCCTAGGTGGAGTTTGGTCACCGATATGTCGCGGCCTCAACGGTTTTGCAAGTCTCAGGGCTTAGGCGTTTGGCAAGTGAGCCTCGTAGATGATTCGATGCTTCTGATCTACAGCCAAGACACCAGAAGGCTGAGGGTTCTGAGCATTCGCGGCCCTCGCTGCAGCTTTACAGCTGATAGTCGTTTTGGGGGACCTCTCTGAGTGTTGGAGTGGAAGGTGGAAATAGATGGCCAGACGATCAAGCTGCAGATCTGGGACACCGCCGGCCAAGAAGCCTTTAGGTCCATCACGACGCCTGGCACAAGACATCTGAGGCCCTCAGATACTTAGTACCTCCACTTTGAGAACCCCCAAAATCTGCGCGAGGCTGTAATTGAGCCATGATATGCATGTGTTGAAGACGGGGGAAGTCGCGCTGCAATTCATCACGATGTTGGAGCTGTGTTTTGGGAGGGAAGCATACAAGCCAGATGTTTTTGCAGCTGGCTACAGGTGCAAGAATCCCTTCAACATCCCCTAAGCAAGTACCGATTCACGACACCAAGGAGGGCATACTACCGCGGCGCCACAGGTCCGGGTATTTCCGAATTCCAAAAAATCGGGCACCACTTGGGTATCCCAAATGCGACTATCCTGACTACGAACCCAAGCTAGGTATCCTTCATTCGACCCTCCCGAAAAGCATGTCTTGTGGCTGTCCTCCCAAGATTCTTGGTCTAGGGCTCTACGATAAGCAAACCCTCACATTCGGTTTACATAGCAGGCGGATGTAAGGAGATGAAGCCCGCAAGCGTTTGCGCGGAACAGGCAAAAAGATTGGAAGCATTTCGGGTTGCGGCATTGTCGTTACTGGCAAGTGACAGGGGATGTACTGCGGAAGGTTCGTGGAGCACGGAGGCCCGAGGCAAAATAAGACCCGAGTGGAGAGTGGAGGATGAAGAGGCCAGATCCCTAGATTAGATGCAAGCCATGTAACGTAATGTATCCGTTCAACCCTTGCCAGGTGCAGGTACAGCACCTAAGCAGCCTTTCAGGCATAGGCCTCTTCACTCCGACAGTCCATAAGGCCCAAAGCCTTAAGTGACTTAGGTATGGGAATTGTCGAGGTGCCCTTTTGGTCTACGACATCACGCGCCGGGCGTCCTTCGACCGCCTGGCGGAATGGCTCGTGGACGCGCGGCAAAATGCGCAGCCGCACCCTGGCTCCCAAGGCTGCTCAAGATGATATAGTAGCTGTGGTGCAAGAAATGGGCGAGGACGGCTAGAGGTAGGGTGCCTGAAAAACGTTCAAAGAGAGTATTCAATCCTACTAGGAGCACTCTGAGCCTTGGAGCCAGCTCTCTTTGCAGAGAGTGGCAATGATACTCGCCCGTGCAGCTGACGGCCAAGAACCCCAGGATTGTTTTCTGAGTTTGCAGTGGCCGTGTAGGATTCTGGAGCCGGCCGCACAGGCACTTCGGGTCTGGAGAGTTTCTCAGGTGAGGCTTGAGAGTTTTTTTCCCGTTGATAGAAACTCCCATCGAGGAACATGGTCATCATGCTGATCGGTAACAAGTCCGATCTTGAACGCCGTGAGGCGTGCTTTCAATGTGACCTCGTTCATGTAGACGGCAAGGTTGTCAAAGCAAGGCTTTGATGGGTTCGATGCAGGGGTTTGATGCTAGGAGCCACTGCAAGTGCATAGGGCTCTAAGGCAGGACTCTGAATCTAGCACACGGGCTTAGGCTGGAAAGCCTCAGGGTGTTGAGGGTCCAGGCGCGGTTTGAGGGATTCCGCTTGTAAGGTTCACGCTCTTTATCACCACCATACTGACAATAAGGTGTGATGGAGGTATACAGATTTGCGGTCGTAGCTGCCAAGAGATCCCTTTTCAACATCTTGGCCGCAACGTCTCGTGGCGGGTAGCAACCACCGTGCAACAGGTCAGCTACGAGGAGGGGGCATGGTTCGCACGGCAGCAGCACGGCAAAGAATTCCCAACCCAAACTCCTCTTTGTGCAAACTCAGCAAGAGAGAGAGAGAGAGAGAGGGGGGCGGTGACGCCCTTCAAGCCCCGTAGAAGAAGAAGAAGAAGAAGAAGAAGAAGAAGAAGAAGAAGAAGAAGAAGAAGAAGAAGAAGAAGAAGAAGAAGAAGAAGAAGAAGAAGAAGAAGAAGAAGAAGAAGAAGAAGAGAGAGGGAGGGAGCCATTTTGGCTCAAGTCGGAACCCGCCCCCGGCTTGAGCCAGTGGACAGCTGTTTTCAGTATCAAGGGCACTGAAAGGTGAGCCGAGCGGGGGAGCTGCAATAGAGGGGGGCTCTGAGGTACATCTGTTCCGCTACTGGGGGCCTGGCTATGTGAATGGTTTAGGCACCCAGCTCCTGCCGTGAAGCGATCCGTGCCCAAACTTTTACACAGAAGTAAGGGGAGAGACTTACTGAGTTGGGGGCGCTTTTTCAGGGGTGCTCAGGCTTGCGAGTCGTTGCTAGGACACGCAGTGGGTATAGTGTAAGTTGCCACTTCTTTGGCTGTTAGCCTGGCCATGGCCGCTCCTTCAAGACAGGTGTTCGAGCAGCGACAGCGACGTGGAGGGCACGTTCTTGGCGGGGTGTCGTGTACGGGCGCGCCCTAAAGTCCCAGCCCACCATAGCTCCCGCTAATGCGGGGGTGAAGGGGGTTGGGGGCGGCGGGGTTTGCGTAGCCGGCCCACTCCCGAAAACAAGGATGCCATCACACTCCCGGTAGAAAACAGCTCAATTAGGGGTGGGCCCCTGAGTCGGGGCAGAGAGCATGCTACCAACAAACCAACCCGAGGTGTGCCGCCCACGTGCAACAGATACGCGGGGGCCGTTAATTCAAGCACGTTTTTGTCTGCCACAGAACCTTTCATCAGACAGATTGGGACATTCACTCAGAAGGCTGACAACAGCGCAGAACTCATTGGGGGGCTGGCCTTCTGACACCAGACGCCTAACCAAACCGAAGAGACCAGTTTTCGCCAGCTGAGCCAATGAGGGCCGACGCAACTTTGGACGCCACGGGGGCCCTACCGCTACCGACGTCATTGGGGGAGCCGACACCGGGGCTACATCGACGTCGAGCTGGACTGAGAGACGGGACCAGTGAAGGGTCGGCAACGGACTCTGATGAGGAGCCGTGTAGGCGTAGACTGCTGGGGCCTTCGCTGAGTAATTAGGATGCCAAGGTTGATGGGGGGCCTGCATGCACTATTACCATTTCTTGGGGGCATTGCTGTGTTTAGTCAGGGACTCCGAGTCGAAAAGCTGTAGGCCAGCGGCTCATAGGGACAGAACTGGGGCCTGTAGCACAGAGCAGGTTGGACACACGTGAGGGGGTGTAGTGTGTGGGGGTAGTACCTTTGTTTGGGGCCAAGAATGACAGTCCAACCTAGTGCGGGCGGGAAGAGCACAGTCTCACACTCGGAAGGCGAGATGTGAAGATGGGGATGATGGGGTGGTGGGGGTAGTGGTTAGAAGACACTTAGTGAGGGTTGGGGGCAGAGCATCACATCATTGTCTTCAACTGTACCCGAGTACCGCTCCGGAAACAGGGGCGGGCGATGACGCCCGGAGGTTTCGGCCTCCACGCCCTCCGAAAGAAATAAAGAAAGGGAGGGAGAGAGGGAGGGAGAGAGAGAAAGAAGAGGAAGAAGAGGAAGAAAAGGAAGATGAAGACAGGCGAGAAGATTTCCTTTAAGCAGAACTTGCCTGCTGAGGAACGGTCTGTTCTTCCTGGAAACTTCGGCCAAAACAGGCACATGCAAAGCCTGTCTGTGGCATTGTTTCCCGTCACAATTGCACAAGCGCGTTCAGATATCCTGGACGAAATTGATGTCGCGGAACTCAGCTTTGCAGTTTTTTTCGTACTGAAGAGGCCACAATGTGGGTTCCGCCTTCATGGATACAGCGACTCGGGCTGAGGGCAGGAATGTGTGTCAAGTTGTTCCAGCTGTCAGATCGTGGGGATCGGCAGCAAAGCCAGTTCGCCTGGCAGTTTCTCGGTGTGTGATCTGTTGTCTTCGGAAAGCTGAGAGCCTTACAGCTGGTAGCTAGCAGCATTCAAAACCCATCTCTTATCCTCTGGTCCTCTGAGGCGAACCAGATCTACGAGAACCTGCAAGCGGGGATGTTCGACCTGCAGCAGGAGCCAGACTCATCCCAAACACGAGCTGCCCAAAAAGAAGTGCCATTCTTTCAAGCGAGTCGGGTTTGCGGGAGTCCCTGGCACCCTTCAAAGAATTTAGACCCAGCCCGCCTAGCCCCAAAGCGAAGTACTGCAAGGGTCAAAAGATACTTGCGACTTCGAGTGTCTGGAAAAAGGACTCCCATGGAATCACGGATGCCGCCTCAGATTGTTACGATTTGAGCGCAGTCACTGAGTTTGTCAGTTGATCCTGAGGAACCCTATCCTAAGCAGCTGATCGTCAAGTCACATGCAGATTCGTGCCTCGAGGTCGGCGCGGCGCCGCGCATTCGGGCGCAGAGAGCAGAACCTCCCGGGTCCACTGTGCAGTACGCCTGTGCCTGGGCCAAACTAAGATTTGGAGCTTGGGATCAGAGAGCTCCGGCGGCCTCTCGGCGTTAGTTTCAAGGAGGGTTTCACACGTAATTGCTCGAGAGGTTATCGTAGCCATATCAGGCTGTGCAGTGTTCGAATGTAGGCTAGAAGCCCGTTGACAGTTGAGTTCCTCAGTATCCAGAAGCACCTTGTGCGTTGTAGACATGCCCCTCAAGAAGCAGTGTCAAACCATGACCCCTGGACCTCCGACTCTTTCCTGGCCGGAGATGCAAGGCTGCGGCCACAGCGGCTAGGTGCTCTGGCATGACGTGGCAGGAATGTCTTGCGGTTGGACGTTGTGCTTCGGATTGCGGACGCCAGTGTCACGATACCTTGTGGCCTAGTGACTACGTAGTGGGTGTTGGCATTCGGACAAGGATTTGACGGCACAGCAACAGCCATGTCAGCGTGCTGTGCAGGACCACTAGGCCGTTACTGCAGGGTACATCAGGAGCTTGCGTCCTTGAAGATACCCCCAACAAATCGGTTGAGGATTCGGCTGCCCACGAGGCCGGCAGAATACTTTAACTGCGGTCCAAATGTCATCGGATGGCAACCCGTTGGCCCAAGACTCGAAGCTCAGGCTCGCAGCGGAATGCTGTGAAGCCGCACCCTTGTGAGCCACAGAGATGGCGTCGGGTCGTATGTTACGAGTATCGTGTAAGCACGGTGCTTAGTAGCAGAGTTCGCCAAAGCTTCGCCATGGTCCAAACTATCCCCTAGATTGGAGGAACAAAGAGATGGGGACATGCCTCCTTAGGCAGGAGGCCTTTCAACTGCAGTTGTCCTGCGTGCCGAACTGCAGTTTGTCCGGTGGCAAGGCCTCACCTGGCGAGGGGGCGGAGTGCAGTTCTTCCGCTCTAGGCTGAGTTGCGGATGCAGTTAGAAAATAGGGCTCCAGAACTACAGCCTCCTCATCAAGGAGAGCTCTCACTCTCACGGAAGCACTTATTTTTGAGGGTGAACCCTGATAGGGTACGAATCGTTCTGGGGCGAAGAGCTGGAGATACAGGCCCAGTCCGAAGGTAAACCAAGTAATTAAGCCACATCTGCCTGAGAGCGTCCAACCCCAAAACCCGGCGGTACTGACATTTCGAGGGTCTATAGGAGTAGGCACAGCCCTCATCTGGCGAGGCCACGTGGTTTCACCACATGTTAGTTTAGGCTCAGCTGCACAGGACAGTGGGACGGCCGCCGGGGAGTGCGATCAAGCTTCAGAAGTCTTAAGACTCACGACTCTACAGTCCTACAGGCACAGATTTAGCCAAGCCCTCCAGACACTTTTCAGTTCACGGCTTTAGGGACCTAGCCGGACCTAGCCGCGGACCCAGCCGGACCTGCCCGCTCTAGCCTCCAAAATAAATCCTTGAAGCGCCACCCTCGAGCTGGCCAAATTCGTCTGCCTGGGATGCACCCTCCGGCAGAGCGGCAGAAAAAGCGCCCAGGTCGGAGCAACTTCAACTTTGGAACGCTTCTGGAACATCTAAAGCACCCTGAATCGCTGACTTCAGCCTTGGGGGATATGGAAGCTGAGCATAGCTGAGCATCTGGTAGGCCTTGGGAAGGTTTGTGGAACAACGACGCCATGCTTCAGGGTTCCTTTGAGGGGGCACCACCCATCCGCACAGTCGTTCGCAGCACATCTCGCACGCTGCGTGTTTGGTGACGTTTCCGGGATTTCGAGAGAAGCACAACATCCCCGGGTTGCAAACAGGTGGGCCTACGTGCACTACACAGGGCCCGAAGCTTATGAGGCGCCATCAGACTGAGACCCCACGAGAACGAGCCGGGAGCTTCTGATGTGAGATCTCAGAACTCTTGGAGGTCGAGGGCTGATTGAGATTCTCGGAAAAGCGCTCTCTCTCTCTCTCTCCCCCTCTCTCTCTCTCTCTCTCTCTCTCTCTCTCAGGCATACGCTTCCTTGCGCTAACCACACCCTCACCTTCCTGAGTAGATCCACAACTGCCTGAGAGGTAACTGCCATGGCTGCTGCCGAGGGCTTAGACTGGTTTCCAAAGGTTCAGTTTTGGGCGAGTTTGGGCTGTGAGGTCTCTGCAAGAGGACGTCTTGAATTCAGTTCACGTTCTGGCGGTTATGGGGCCCTTCAAGCTTCATCCATCTCGTTCGATTGCTGAACTGGCATTGTGCTTTGGGATAGTTGTTAGCTTCCCTTCTTCCCTTACTAGGGAACCAAATCACAAAATAGTTTTCAACGGCTTTTAAAGCACAACTCAGTGAAGCAGTTGCAAGGTGACGGGCGCGCTGGTGATCGTGGAGGAGCAGGAGCCCATCCAGCCTGCAAGGTGCGGGGAAGCGATGGAAACCCCGGCTGCAGGGAAAAGGTGTCGAAAGGGATTCTGAGATGGTAGTTGGTAGAGTCTCTTTGGCTTTGGCTTTGAGGGTTTATGCTGCTGCCTTTGGCCCCTTCCCATCTCCTTTCTTTTCGTGGGCCAGGCGTGGAGGCATTGTGACGCCAGCGTTCGCCTTCCACGGCACGAGCTACGTGCGCAGGGATGGCAGGGATTGGCAGGGATGAAGGACCTATAAGTCTATAAGCTTTGCCTCAACATCGCTGAAGCCGGAACTTCGACCTTTTGAGAACCCAAAGCTGTCCCCCCGAAAAAGCTCAGAGTCAGGTACGCCGCCTCGAGGCCCAGGCTTTCGCTGGGGCGAAAGGTGGTCGGCGGATGAGCTTCAGGCCCCCCACGATCCCCCCCCCCCTTCCCCCCCCAGGAATCTTCGCGTGCTCTCGCATGTTCTCATGCTCTGGAAACCCGGTTGAATCCAAGCTCCTCGCGAAGGCTTGAGGAGGGCAAGCCGACCGAGGACCATTTTGTGGCAATCCACATCCCACCATGTATGTTTCTGGGCAAGTGCCAGAAGGTCGCCAAGCGCCATTGCTTAGATCCGATCTGTACAGGGTTTTCTTCGACAGACGTTCCATGAATTGCCGGGGATCACTTTGGTGGACTGTGCACCAGGGACGTAAGAAGGAAGCCGCACCCATTGAGGTGCTGGATGGCCGTACTTCGTTACTTCTCCTCCCTGCAGATGCATGTCATAGAGCTGCGCGCAGGATGTTCTAAAGGATGCGATCACGCCCCGGGCCAAGCGTTCTTGAGTGCAGAGCTTCCACGAGGGGGTGTTCGCGGCGCCCCCCATGCCCGCCGGCATTTTCTTAGCCACATTCGGTGACGGCAGCACATCCCCACCCACATCTACCGGTGTGGCTCGAGAATCCAGGCTTCAGGGGCGAAAGCTTCTCAAAAGTGCCAGAAGCCCTCAAAGGAGAACACAATTCAGCACCCAAGGCGGAAGACCAAGAGCGCGGTGCAGGGTCAGGCCGGAGTTTGTATAAATCAAACAAAGACACCGTGAATCACTGGCTTGTGTTGTCCGTGCAGAAGTCTGTGCTGAAATCTTGCAACCTACGCCTGGAGAGAATCCAGCACTGCCCCTGCCTCCCCCTGAACTCTACGAGACATATGTCGCATGCGATATCAGAAGTCTAGCGGGAACTTTGGGTGATCGTCAGCTGGCATGAAAATCCAGCAATGCGATCCCCCACTGCCCACCCCCACCAGAACCACCACCACCGCCTCCACCCAGGTTTGGGCTTAGGTGACAGGATTTTGCGGAGTTTGGAGTGTAGCTTCCTGGCAGCCCTGGCATGGAGGGAAGTGAAGGCTATAGGCCCTATAGGCTAACACCAGCTGATACCCCGGAGGCCGAGATGAGTGCCGGAAAGCTGCGAGCATGGGCCACGCCCGCAGGGGAGGGCAGAGTTCCCAGCAGTTCGCTCGAAGCCTTAGGGAACAGTCGCAGAAAGTCCCGTAGCACGAAAGAAGCACGAAAGAAGCACGAAAGATGGAAGTGACTGAGAATTGCTTCCATGTTCTACTTCCACAAGCCTTGCAGATGTTGGACTGTCGGAACATTACAGCTTGATGAAATCAGTAGGCCATCGGTCCTTCAAAGATCGCAGTCTCAACAGCCCGCATGCTAGCCCCCAAACACCCATGGCAAGCAACCGCAACTCGCGGGCCATCTCGCGGACCACCCTAAAGCATAAACTCCGGAACCTGAAGCGGTTGCTTGCTGATATGGCTGACCGCCATGCGCGGTTCCTCCTGCCTTTCGGCGAGGAAGAGCAGGCACAGCTTGCTGAGGGTTCGGAGAATGAGGATGAGGGGTTAGTAGGGTTTAGGGGTGGTTTAAGCTTACAAGCTCGTTGGGCACAAGCGGGTCTGATGCTGATTGACGGTAAGAACTTGATATGGGTCAAGTTGGGGGTAGGAATGATGCTTCGATTTCAGGATGGCAGGTGCGAGATGCCTTTAGCAAACTTTGCACCGAAATTCTCGGATCGCCAGAAGGCTTTTTCTAGGAGAAATCTTGTTCAGCGTGGCATCATCACCACACATTTACTTCACAGAATTGCACAAGCTTGCCCTTGCATGATTGGGGGGATGAGGGAGCTCCCAGGAGCACATCGACTGGCATGGGGCGCAGCCCAGGCACGTGCCAGGATGACTGGGATTCTGATCTTGTTGAGCTGGGGCGTGCTGAAATTGCAGGCTCAGGCGCATGAGCCACATCTGAAGAATCATCCTGCCGCAACTGTGCAAGGCCTCACCACCGCCATGTGCCGGGGTTGCCGGAGGCAGCTCAGGCGGTGGAGCACCGCCGCCCAGGGAAGCAGCTTCTGAAGATGCTAGGTTGAAGGTTTGCGACTGGGATCGGGAGCATTGCTTCTTTGTATCCGGTGGATGGCCAGAACAAGAAGGCCTAGCCACGTGCACGAGGGATCGGGTTTTCTGCGAACAGGATGCCCACCTGCAGCATGTTTCGGGCAGAAGCTGCAAGTCAGGCTGCCAACAAAGTGTGTGTTTCGGGTTCCAGCACCACTGTTTGGGGTCACGCTCGCCGGGGCACACGAACGCCCGTACTCGCACCGTTCCATGACTGACAGCGGCCCCGGGTTAGACTTAAGTATAGATTCGAAAACTCGTATGCTGGCATGTGCTACGTGCAGATCCCTTGCGGGAACCCAGGAAGGGCAGCTTCCACGCGCCTTGCGCCCAAGACGAGCTGCAACTGTTTGTGGCCCTTGAGACGCCGGAGCAGGCCAGGATGGTCAGGCAGAAAACTGGGCAGAAGGAATCTTTGAGGCCTTTTTTTTTTGCTTGATTCCGATACGCACCTGGCCACACCTGGCCACCCAGGCCGCCCGGCTGCGGAAGCAGGCAGCGGAGTTAGACAGCGGCATGGGCGGCATGCAGGTGCGCTGTCACTGGAGGGAAGAGCGCTTCGTGGCTTGGGGGTCGAGTTCGGGCTGTCATCTGTCACGAGAGCCAAGCGTAGCATTCAGGACTAATCATTCAAGACATCCCGTGCATGTCTGTAACCGTGCTTGAAGCCAGGAGATCTTGTTGGACCAGTTCATTGCCTGACGCCAAGTACCATGTGTAGAATCAGTGTAGAAACAGGCCCCACTTCGACCTCGCAGACCTCGTCTTGAGAAAGGATTGGTCGAAGGGTTTGCATCACAACCATATGAGCGTTGATTAAGGAGAAAGACTACGGGGACGATTTGCTCTTGCTTACGGCGACAGAGCAGCCTGGCACCCCGGCAAAAGTGAACAAACGGGTTCCTGGTTAGCCAGGCTTGTCCGGGCTTCACAGCATTCTGGAAGATTTCCCTTGAACGATGCACGTGTCACTTGCCATGGTTCAAACATGCCAGAGAGTATCGGGGGGAAATTCAGCAAGCTCAGAAGCCTTCTTGCCCGAAGTGCCCTAAGTTCCTCGCCATCACTCAGGGGGACTCAAGCCTTGAACTCCTACTCCTTACGCCAGCTTACCCTGAGGGGGGCGCCTCGTGGGTCTGATCTTCTGGCGCTGCTTGGACCATTTGAGGGTTTAAGGTTTAGGGTTGAGGGTTTAGGGTTTAGGGTTTAGGGTTTAGGATCTGAGGCTTTATGTTTCAGGTTTCGTCGGGCGCCTGTGAGGGCAAATCGCACTGCAGTCCTTCCTCAAAAAAGGTTTAGGGTTGCGTCCTAGCTGGGTTAAAAAAACCGAGTAGCATAAACGAGTAGCAACATGCATGTTCGATTTCCTTCAAACCTATATGTTTATGAAGGAAAAGGAGAGATGGTGCAAGGCAGCATGTGGAGTGCATGTATCCTGCCGACTGTCAAGGCATTTCCTTCGCCCGAAGAAATCGGTATTCCAGCCTCATGTTCATGGTGTTAAGGTGAGACATCAGTCTCAACAAAGCGTTGCTTAGCTTTTATGGACCCGATCTCAAGTCTACCTTGACTAAGGATATCTCCACTCGGCTCACGACGACTTCTGGCGGCATGTGCTTGTCGACCTGGGCAGCATGGCAACAATTGGCAACCTGTACATGCTGTGCCTGCTTGAGTTGTGGGTGTTTAGACCCTTGAGTCCCGAACAACGGGACGAACCGCACCCGAAGAAGCCCTGTGGACCTGCCATGGACTGTGGACCTGCCATGGACCGCCATTTGCTTTTGCCCAGATTGAGCTTTCAAAACTTATAAGCGCTTGCCAAAAAGTTCGCAGAGTCGATTCCACTTTGAGGTGCTGAAAGTGCGTGGGGAGCTTAACCGACTAAGCTTAAGCCCCAGGTCCCCCCAGGTCCCCCCCCACAGTTTGGGTGCTGATGTGCTTGGTTCCATGGGCCTTGTCACACTACTCCAAAGGGGAATGAGAAGGAAGGTTGCGCACCCTCTCTTGGCCAGGCAAAGCAGAAGACCTGCACCCCATCGGCGAGCAAAGCAGAGGTCCATTCTTGGCAGATTTTGTGCTTTGCAGGCTTTGAGGTTTAGCATATCTTGCCCAACGCTTCTGAAAGCCATTTGTGGGCGGCACGTATCGCAACGGCCAGGTGCACCCCCGGACGCGTGGATTCTTGTGGAGCCGCTTGGCCTCCATGTGTTGGGGGAAGTGTTGGCTGCGCACTGAGAGGGGTTGGGTTTCAAGAGCGCTAGCGAGGCTGCTGTGTACCGACGACTCCTTCCGCAAGCGCGGCGTTGGCAAGCTGCTCCTGGTGAGCCCTGAACGAGGGATCTGGGGTTGGTGCAGTGCAGATATCTGCAGTGTAGCTGAACAATGTAGGGGCGGTGCGTCGAAACCAGCACACATGTTAGCATTTGTAACTATCTACAGCCCGCAAAATGCAGAGCCAGTTGCAAAACCGTGAAGTGTCCCGCAAACTGATGGCAGGTGGCTGCCTTGGCATACTCCACTGTGAAGGTGCGGGTGGCGATATGCGGTGGCCACTGCTGAGCCCCAGCAACAAGCTCATGGGCAATTTGTCTAGACGTGTAGCTCCGGTAGATGACAGATGCTGCGAGGCATCGAACTCTGTTCGACCTTTGTTTGAGTCGGTCTAAGCGCGTTTTGCCCTTGAACCCTGTTCAACCCCGGCCAGGATGGCAAGACGGCAGCGGTGCTTACGCTCGGCCGCGGCGAGGCAAATGAGCCCGCCGTTGAGCTTTATCGGCCCCGCGGTGTGAAGGCAGACTTGAAGGCAGTTTCTTCAGGGTGCTGAGGAGATAGCCGAGATAGCACATGCTGATCTCAACTTTTTGGTTGCAGAACTTTTTTTTAAAGGCATGTGGCATGCGAGCTTAGCCGTTCAGAGTCGGTGCGCTTATGGCCCCTTGTTGGGCCATCGGCTCAATTCCCCAAAGTCGGGACAGCCCCACAGGTCTTCCACTGAGAGTCCCAGATGAACAAGTCTTTAGGCCAAGCCTGACCCAGTTCTGCATGCATCCGCAAAGGAAGCTGGGTTTCCGCCCGATGCCTGCCGAGCTTTTCATGGACCCTTCCGACCAGGAGGGAACGGAATCTGGGGAGCGGCTTGCAGGTGTCAGTTCGTCAGCATCTGGTGTTCAATCTTCGGGCTGAAGCGAACAGAGCGCGCTCACTCATGTCACTCCCATCCCACTTGCGGAATCCCTCAGATCCTTGAAGGGAGAGGATGCTCTTCCCCGCCGGTGGGTCGATCCGCGCCACGTCCTTGCCACTCGCCTCGGTCATGAAAAGCTTCCCTGGGTTTAGTGGATGTTTCTCATTGGGCCGAGGTCCTTCGGGGGCCATTTCGGGATTGGAAACTGCCACTGGGATATTGGGAGCCGTGAACTTGAAGCCTGCGTTTCGGCGATCCCTGAAAGAATTTGGGGGAAGACCTGAAAAGTCTGTAAAGCGTAATGAGAGTTCTGTGCTGAGGTCCTTTGGGACATTCGGCGTGGCCTCTCCTCTTTGACTGTTGGCGAGGCAAGGTTCCTATTTCCGAACTGCTTCGTGCTCGTACATGAGATTTCCTCATATTTGCAATTCAGAAAAAGCACACAAGGAATGTACTTGCTGTCGCTGGTTCTCTGCCGCACCTGCTGTAAGTTCAGTTCATTCGGGGAGTCTTCCACTTGTCTGTTGCTGCAACATGCGAAAACGGCATGAACTGTGCACTAGTGGAGAAGGTCGGCTTATTCTACTGGGCCGGAAGGGGGGCGTTCCCTGACTGTTCATGCGCATGGCGCGCTCCCACAGGGGAAGCAAGGGCTGTGCAGAAGCCCAAACTGCCTGAAGCTGAAGGTGTCGGGAGCTTCAAAGGGAACCCGTGTGCCACAGCTCGAGGACGGAACCGAGGTGGCCGGGGTGGAGCTGCTTAGTGGGGTTCAGCGTTCTTTGGGGTTTTCGGCAAGGGCTGAGCTTGCAGAAGCGGGCCGCTTGCAAGCGCTTTTGTGTGATGTTTGCTGTTCTGTAAATGCCATCCTCAGAATCTCTCGACCTCAACATAATTTCGTTTGCACTGTCCAGTCAGGTACGTCAGATGCCTTGTGCAGATGCCAGTGGGCGTTATCAATCCTACAAGTCAAGGCTAGCAGCTAGAGTCTAGAATCCTCCGAATTTGGCGTTTCCACAGGCTGTCGCTGCGGCAGAACACTTGGCGCCAGTTACTTGCCAGGAGGCGGTGGTAGGAATTCCAACGTCTTTGGGCAAGATGTTCTGCGTTAATGTTGGTTGGAAGATCCAAGGTTTGTTGGTGAGGAAAGCTTTCAACGCCTAAGCTGAAATTTATGTACATTGTTTCGCTCGGTTCTTGTTCTATGTGCATCATGTTCTCACTTTGTCGCATGTCTCTCATGTTAAGAGACAGTTCACGCAGTTGTCTCTCCTTCTCGTTGTTTGTCGCTCATTGTTTGTCGATCATGCTTCGTGTTCTTGTCAGATTTTCCACTCTTTTGTTCAGAATTTCACAGTGCGCGCTGCGAGTCATGGTTTCAGGACATGTGCCGTCCAGGAGAGCAGAGCAGTCTTTGAATTCGAATACTGAGTACATTGGTACATTAGCAGGGACGAGGAAGTATTGGGATGGATCTTTCGCGGGCACATGCTGTCCCAGGCCCAGCCATAAACTACACTGCTACACCATCTATAATCTACTGGTGGCCGTTACCTATACTATTTTTCGCAGCTGCGGCTTGAGATTTCACGCGGGGATGCCTGGTCCAGAAGGGGCTTCTGAGTGCTACGCGTAACATGGAAAGTTGACCTTTTTTCTTGCGGTAAGGCAACTCACTGCGGGGAAGCTTTTTCGGAAGTCGACCGAAACTGCGTTTCCCTCGGGCGGAATTGTCCACAATTCCATGCATGCGTCCATAAGCCATGTTGGCTATACGATGCGATATAGGTTCAGAGAAATGCTGGCCTCTTCTTCCTAAGTTTTGGTAGGCTTGACTCCATGCTTTGCTTGGATGATGTTTTCAGGCATGTTGAGCCCCAGCGTCCCTTGGGGTTTTTTCGATACTTGCGTACTGATTTCCGCTGCTTTTCGTAGCTGCAAAATCCATGCGTTCATTGGGGGGAAAGGATCCCACAGTCGACTTCGTCAGCTTCCTGAACTCTCTGCGTTCATTGGGGTTTCACGTCTCCCCCAATAAAAGGGTCGACTTTCCCGAGCCCCTGTAAGATGCCACCTCAGCGACGGACGACATGATTAGAGGACGAGCTGAGATTTCACGTCCATCTTCGTGTTTGGGTATATGACTTGGACGGCTCTTTAGTGGAATAAGGCTGTTTTTTTAAAGCAGCTTTGTTAAAATCTGCATCTGGTGACAGGTGGTCAATCGGCTGATGTCAAGTGAGGCCGCAGAGGCTGACAGCTCCGCGTGGAGAAAAGCGGCACTCTTGAGAGTTCGTGTGCAACTTTTCCTAAGTCAAGTGGTGGTTTGGGTATATGGCACGCTGCGCCATGGGGCTGATGGGTCTGACGGCCGTGGTGCAGTTCTTGCGGAACGCGGAAAGTCCGGTAGCTGCAGTGGAACACCCCGCATGCGACAGTTTGCAGTGAGGGCCCAGCCATAGAATCAGTTCAGTCTTCAGGTGCTCTTCTTTTGGGGGACGGGGCAACCGAACGCAGCCTTTGCTTTTTCATAACCGAGTCAGCGCTTGGGCCTGTCACGTTGGCTGAGGCGTGACCCGTCGCACAGCGGCCCGGATCTCAGGGTTGCCCGAAAATGGTCCCTGGAGAAATCTGATGACCTGGAAGAATTGGGCAAAATAGGCACATATAGCCATCGGTAGCAAGTGTACCACGGAAGGGACATGTTACGGTAAATCTGGGGTCATCCAGGTTGTTTCGGGCTTGGGCCGCTTAGTTCCACTCGGGCGCTTCTTCCGCTTCTGCCAACGGCTCAGTCATGATTGGAAACTGCTGTCAACTGACTTAAGCGCAGGCGCCTAGGGCTTAGGCCTTCAACACTAACCTAACCTCTTCATTCAAGATGCAACAACATCCAGCTGGACGTCTCCCCCCGGACTAAGTCGAGGGGCGCGTTGAGACGAATGGTTGATGCCGGGGCGGCTTGCCTGTCATCACCACCACTCAGCCCAACAACCTCGGTGGGTGTGCAGCGGAGCCTGAGTGTGATTTCGGCAAAACAAGCAGCAGCTGCATAGGAAGAAGAGCAGCAAGAATGGTGTAGTAATCATGTCAGAAGTAACTTGAGGATTTCTTCCTTCTTTTCCGAGTTCCGTGCGATCCGGTCTCCCCCCCGCCCCCTCCCACTCCCACCCCCCCGCCCACCCCCCATGATGTCGAAAGCTTCTTTCTTCGCCAAATGCCAAGGAGCCTTTCCGAATTGCCACCGGCACAACTGCAAGGACGCCGGTGTGGAGGGATCAGGGGCCGTGAGGGAGGCATTCGGAATCGGCTATCCGCCTTCCGACCAGCAACCCATTTCCATCATGCATCTGACGTCTTTCACTCGACCTGGTTAGACCGTTGGAGATGACGTGGCTCCAACTTGACAGTACTATTCGCAGCCTATAGGAGAAAACAAGCCGAACTCCGAAGTTCTCAACTCCTCAAATGAAAGCACGATCAAACATGGCCCAAGGGGTGATGGATGTCAAGAGAAGAATAGCGACATGTCATCGCAAGCCACCTGCACAAGCACAAGGAGTTCCTCTACGCCTCCTGCTCAACCGTGGAGGCCACCATTTCGCCTCCTCAAATGCTTCAGCTGCTGGCAGCCTGCCTTGAAACGTGATGCACCTAGGAAGTCAGGATCTGATTCTGTGGGACCCAGTGCGACGGTAGAGTTTCTTCTTATTCGTGCTCGGGAATTGTACAATTCCCGCAATGTGTCTTTGTTCGATGCAGTTTGGACATGCTTCTGCTGTGTTCCTGTGTTGCCAGCCAATGTTTCGAGCGCCTGAGCGAGTAGTCGCCCTGCAGAGACAGCTAAGGAACATCCAGACATTGTTCAGAGTATGATGGCTTTGTCAGCCATGACTGGAGGACACCCGCCCGGTCGAATGTTCAGTGTAGGCTTCAAATTCAATGCTCAAAAGAGCCGCCGTGGATGAACATCCTGCAGTACTTGAGTTTAAGGTTCGGGCTGTATGGAAGCACATTATGACAGTTTTCAACCCAGACAGGAACAGCAGGATGTGAGCAGGGACGGCGGACAAGCGGTCACAGTACGGAGGGTACTCAGTCGCGTGCTCCGCTACGCGCCCTTTAGCTGGCCAAGTGCAGGACATCCCGGTGGCTCAAGTTTCTGTCCCTTCTGATCCTTTACAACTCGCAGGCACCTCTTGCACATGCGTTGAGCCTTTCGTCACATGGCTGCAGCAGAAAATGTTGAAGACATACGACATACACCTTTAGTGCCTGCGGCAGACCTAAATCATGTGTATTCCAGGTCTTGCTGCAGCTGTTTGTCGTGTGGTCTCAGTTTGCCCAATGAGGAAAGCCTTGTCAGAAGCGCAAAGTCGGAGTATTCAGAAGCTTTCCACGCATGCGTTCGTCAGTCGAGGTACGTCTGCGTGAAAGGTCGTCGGGCCAACAGTTCGGTGAAGAAACATTTTAGACAGCGTGGGATCTTACCCGAGAGAAAGAGAAAGAGCGAGAGAGAGAGAGAGGGGAAGAAGAAGAAGAAGGAGGAGGAGGAGGAGAAGAAGAAGAAGAAGAGCGCATGCCTTTTACGGCGGTCTCCCTTCGGGGGGATCACATGCGGAGGAAGGAAGGAAGGAAGGAAGGAAGGAAGAGAGAGAGCCCCTTGTGGCAGCCCTCTTCGGGGGGCTTTGCGTGAACCAGAATGAAGAAGAGAGCGAGACAGGCTCCGGAGGATAGGCCCCGTCCCTAAGACTCCTTCTGTGGAGGCAGCTGCCGTCACCACCTTCTTGGTGAGCTTGCTGGGCGGGATGTTGATCGCTTGCAGCTGGGGCTGCAGGTTAGCTTCTTTGTGGCTACAAATCTTCTGATTTGTTTGCGCCGCTTCTAAGTTACCCTTAAGAGCTTCCAAATTAGTATATGTCGGAATGTAGAACTAGTACGGGCTGCTATTTACGCCTGTGCCTGTGCTGAGCCTGCTGAGGTCAACTAGTGCCAAACAGCGACTTCGCCTTTTGCTTTGGATTCCTGAACTTCTTTGTGGTCCTTTGCTTCTGGCAGCATATTCGAGATACCTTTGTGCAGCCCCGACTGATGTTCCTGGACAAGCTCTGCATACCTCAGCGGGATGAGTTAGAGAAGGAGCAGTGCATACTGGGTCTGGCAGGGTACCTGAAAGCTTCTCGGAATCTCGTGATCCTCTGGTCGGAAAGATACTGCTCTCGCCTCTGGTGCATGAAAACTCGGTTGCCCATGGCAAGGCTTTCTCTCATCTGCCGGTTTCTTTCATCCGAAGGGCCTAAGGGTTTATAGTTGATATAGGACATGTGCTGAATCGAGGCAATAGCCAAGGTATGAGGTTGATGCCTTCTTGCGCAGCCATCCAGAACCGGGCGGAGTGCATGTGATGCCAGTCGCTCTGCCCTTGCTCATGTTGCTCCACTGCTCGTGGTGGGGCTTGTGCCGCATAGGAGTTTTTGTTGTCTATCACATGCAGTACGTTGCTGTCGATCAATGGGGCCAAGCTGGGCTAGTAATGGTCGTTGTGGCCACAGCCTTCCTCGTGACCTTCCCGTTGCAGTCCCGCATTGGAGCTCAGTTGGTGCATCAACTATGCCAGCTCCCTGCCCAGCTGAAGGTCTTTAGCATCAACGAGGCGGAGTGCTCCTGCTGTTCTCAGGGCCACCTGCATCCGGAGACAGGTGCAGCCGTACCCTGCGATCGTGAGCTGGTGTACCGTGCCCTGGAACAGACGCATGGACAGCCAGGGGATTCTCTCGAAGAATGCCTCAAAGCCTTCAGCACAGCGGTCAGGACGGAGCTCGGGCAACGCATCCTTCGTGCTTGGGGCAGCGGCGCCCTGCCCCTAAGATCCTTTGTCTTCATGACCTTCAGCATGAACTTCCCATTCTTGCTGAGCACACTTCCCCACATCGCATCCCAAGTATCTTCGCACTCCTCGATCGGCACCATCGTAGCAATCAGCTTGCAGAACCTGCTCGGCTGGGCAAGCAGCATGCCATGCATGCTGTTCTACCTCTGGTTCTGTAACTGGGCCTGGTCGCATGGGAGACACCCAACCTGGCCTGTTCTCTTTGAAGTGGCTTCCATGCTTTCCGTGATGGCCGGCATTACTCTGATATGGCTTGTGCTGGCAATTCCATTGCAGTTGCAGCTGCCGTTTTGCTTGCTCGGGAGCGTAGTCTTCCCCATTGTGATGGCTGCGGGGTTCTACCTTCTAAGACAAGCTTCGCTGGGCCCAGTTTGGGAGGCGGTGGAGGGCTCCAGAAAAGATGGGCAAGGCTGGGACGAAGCTTCTTGCTTCTCTATTTGAGGCGCCTAACCAAAATGGCATGTGAGCGGCTGCACAGGTTGCATCAATTCACCATGCTGTGCGTGGGTTGTTGGTCTTTAGTTGCGCCCGTGCAGAGCACCCCGACATCTTTTCAGACAATCTGTGCCGAGTCCTGCTATAATAATTAACAATAATCATAATTATTATGATTATTATTTCATTGCTATTCTATTATTATTCTTCTTCTTATTATTCTTACTCTTCTTCTACTTCTTCTTCTAATTATGGTTAGGAAGTGAGGGATTGTCAGAGTTGACCCATTGGGCCAGATGGAGCCCAAGTCCGGGGTGCATCTTTCGGCGATCCGTGTGCTTCCGCTCTGCCCTGGCTACTGCTCCAAGCGGGGGCCTGCAATGAATCTCCGTGCTCATACATTTTGTGTCATTTGTCTCTCCCTCTCTGCTGAGCAAAGAATGGTGCGCGCAGTCCTTATCTAGTAAGTGTGCTACTGAGTTGCTACTGGCCTGCTTTCAGACGAGTTTGGGAGCCGCCGCGTTCTGACCGGCTGGACATCGGTCGGACCGAATGTTGCGAGTTTCACTTTGAGCCTGTGGGCCCCCTTCGCCTCATTACAAAGAACCCATTTGCTTCCCTCTGGAAGCTTCTGGGATTTCCGAGCGGTGAGCGGCTCTTGCGATTCAACACGCCGGTGTATTCACGTTGCGCGCACAGGGGATGGCAGGTCTGATGGCTAAGCCTCTTCTCTCCATGTTGGCAGCCTGCCCAGCATCCAGCAAGCCTGGGACCAATCTGGGTCAGAGCCAAAAACGCTTGTGAAACGGCAGAGAGACTGTCTGAGGAATTACTCAGGCGCCAATCTGCAGTGTGCGCTTCTCAAGCTTCAAGCTGTGCGAACAAAAAGCAAAGGCGTGCCGCAAACCTGTCCCGACACAGAAGCCCAACGTACCCAAACCCTGAGCCGCCCTTGTCCCTTCGTTTCCAAGGGCCATCATCTTCCAGATTGACGCCTGACAGTCTGATAGCCTTGGGCAAGGCATGCCCGATTGAACACCTTGATTGAACACCTCTGCTCCAATTTCCGGCACATGGGCTAAAGACGACTGCCAGCAGCGAAGGTGAAAAACGATTGGCTGGACTGGAGCACCAAGTTGGAGGTATCTCAAGAGTGTCGCCTTTGTTAGTTACCGACAGCACGCTTTGCATTTTGATGCACGTCCTCATCGAAAGCTGCCGGCCAATGCGAGAAGTCATGGTGTTGCATCAAATCTTGTCGTACAGTGCGGCTGGTCATGACCTGATCGTACAGTTCTTTGAGATTCGGCAAAGTTTGTGCCGCACGTATCTAGAATAATCTTGTCTTCCTGTGGTCTCCACATTGCCCTCTGCATGGTTCTCTGCATCGTGCCTGCGTTGTGGTCGCCAAGCCTGCAGCCGAGATGTTGAGATGTTGATGATGCCATTTCGGCTGCGCATGCCACTCGTCAGCCCTTTATAGGTCCTTAACCCAAAGAGCCCATGGAGAGAGCTGCAAAGAAGTGCAAAGGTGGTGAGCAAACAGAGCTTCCCTAAGATCCATGAGCCGGTCCTACCCCTCAAAAGCCCTCAGCTGCCTCGGCTTCATACACACCACAAGAACCACAGAAGCTGTGATGTCAGGGTAGCTTCAGAGAACCGGCAAAGCATTCCACATGGCGCTGAGTCTCGGTTTCGCTGCCTTATGTGTGTCTTGTCGGCACTCTTGTGTTTCTGCACTAGGGGTCCAGCGCAGGCCTGGCGCTAGTGTTGCTTAGCTTGTAATTTCTTGGGCCCTGATTTGTCCAGGAACGCCGAGCATGTAGCCAGGGCGCTGTTTAAGGTTCCTGAGAGAGCGTGCAAGAAGTTGCTGCAACCACCAGATTCACCCTTTCATGTCGTTCGGAATTTAGGGTTTTTTTGGTTCAGCCGAAGGAGGATCTACGTTTCAAGTTGGTTTATGGGTGACCTCTGACACGGAAGCTGGCAGGGTCAAACCCGCCCGAGTGGGGCAAGTCTGGGAGGAACGACAGCTGAGCCTTCAGAGATTCAGTGGTGATGCAGCGATATGCAGAAGCAGACATGCCAGGACATGGAGCCCCAAACATCACAATCAGCCCCCAATCTGCACGTCAAGAGAGTCAAGATCCCACCGTGTATCACCCTGTGGGTGCAATGGCGCCATCCTGCCGAAACCGGAGGTGAAGGCTTCTGCCCTGAAAGTTTTCCTTATCGGCCTCAGAAGTTGTCTCTACAGTCTCTCCATCTTGTGGCGTCTTGTCTCACTTCCGATTTTGATTCCGCGGCTCGCAGGCTGGGGCATCGGCGGTCATGGGAGGCCATCTGGTCCCTTTGAAAGCCTCTTCTCATTGGCCCATCTTTGCCTTTGCAAAGACATCTTGTTTCTTTGCAAAGCAGCGACAGTTTTGCAGGAGTGGAGGAGGATGTCGAGAAGATCTGTGAAGAAGGGATCTTCCGGGCTGCTCCCGCCCCCATGGCTCTCTGGCTGGGGATCTATAGGGAATCTAGGGGAATCTAGGGCAGTGCCCTTGAGGCTTTTGGAGAGCAGGTGGTGTGCCGAGTGGCCTGGAGGGGTGCAGGGCAGTCCAGTCCGTGTTTCGGGTGGGGTTTACGCTGCCAGAATCTGCCAGAATCCTCTTGGCGCTGCTGCACATCGGGCTGGAATGAAGATACAGGGTCGGTAATCTAGCTGGACCCAGGAATGAATCAGCTCTACCCTGCATCCTGTATGACCGGCCACCAGGTTACAGCGGGATGGGGCGCGGTCTTTGGTCGTGGCCTGACTGGCACCATTGGAGTTGCCAGCTGCTTGGCACCTCCTAGTTTGTGTTGTTTTGCCATTGTTTCCGTATGCTGATGTTGTTGTTTTAGTCGTCGTAGGCTTTGATTAATTTACGGTTAAACTTGACTTACTTCCATATTCTGCCGAAAGAAGTTGGCACTGGGTCGAACGTCCGATCAGTCCGAATGGCCCCGTTGCATGACAGCCCCGTTGCATAGAGAGGCCGCATTATGGGCCCATATTCATAGAGGCCCCATAATGGCCCCCCTGCCAAAAGGCTGTTTCCACCCCAATACATATTTGGGAGAGATGCATTGAAATGCATAGACAGAGCTGTACCCTGGTCCGCACCCTGCCAGACAGCCCTGAGGCTTGGACGACCTGGAGACTGAGGCCGCGCGCATGCAGGCACATGAAGCGTACACTTCAGCATTCAGGAAATGCCAGGCGGTGGCTTTGCCTCAGCATTCAGCCTCTAGCACCTTTCTGTGCTATTCCCCGGGCGTGCTGGGAATATTCTTGAAGTTGTTGAAGCATATCATGCCTAGGTAACCAACGTCGACGTGTTCGTCAGCCACAACTGGGGAGCGCGGCGATGGGTGAAGTTTTTGGCGGTTTGCTACTTTTTAAACCTGAGCATGGCGATTAAGTGCACTTTGGCTTCTGCACTCTTTTGCGCAACTTGCAAAGTACTGAAAGCGGGCTCCTTAGCTGGCTTGGGTGGTGACCCATGGATCATGCCGTTCGTTGTCTACTTGCCCATGTCCATCTTTTTCATTATGTTCTTCTTCGGTCAGACGATCACACGCGGCCGCTGGTCTCCGAGTCTGTGGATCGACAAGCTCTGCGTTCTGCAGACGGACGAGTCCATGAAGGCCAAGGCCGTCTCTGCCTTCCCGGTATTTCTCGCTCGCTCCAGCCAGATGCTCGTCCTGTGGGACGACGACTACTTTGACCGCATGTGGTGTGACCTCGCTCACTTCGTAGTGTTCTCTCTTTGTGCGGGAAGGGGGACACCAAACAGGGCATGGGGCTAAACACGTCAGATAGACGCAGGTGATCAGGGCTTTACCGGAATTATGGTTAACTCTCTTGGAGCCTCTCAGGCAACTTAGAGTTGGCGACCTTCACGAGGTTTTCTTCTCAATGCACACAGAAGATCCATTTCGTGCCGATGTGGCTTGCACCCTGGTTGCTGGCTTTCATCCTCATGGACTTGCTCAGTGTCTCTATGCTTAGATTTATCTCCAATGTGATCTCGGATCCCTGTTACAATCATAAAAGAAGCTTTGCAACGCTTGCAGGCAAGGTCGAGTCTAGTGATGTCGGGTCTCGATATTTCTTTGTCTCCACACCTCACTGTATTGTTAAGGAGCCTGCAGTTTTCTCGATGATGATGGCCAGCTGCAACTACTTCCAGGCGGATGTCCTTGGAATTGACTCGCGTGACTTGAATTTGCTTCTGGTCTACGTGGCGACCTGTGTGGCGGGCTGCACTCCTTACTATATCACAGCTGTCCCCTCTGTACTTGCCTTCTTGAACAAGATGAGGAAGCATCACAGCATGTTACGGCAGATTGTTCGTTTCGACGTGCGTGCCGCCAAGTGCGCCTTGGAATCGGATCGCCAGCTGGTTGAGAAGCGGATCGGGGAGCTCCTGGGATCTCGGATCGGTTCAAGCTGCAATGGCAACACGCTGGACAATCGACAGAATCTACACAACCTAAGCAATCTCTACTCTCCCGCTTCAGGGCTTTGCTCTGGGGGCTTGAGGACTACCCTGATGATGGCACAGAATCTGGACCCACTCGATTGCTTCAACGCCTATGTGAGGGGCCCTCTCATGGAGGCCGTTCTCGAGAAGGTAGGCGATAGCACGCATGTACCCTACCGATTGTGCCTGGTGGCATCTTTGCCGATGACCCTTTTCTCGGTGGTGGATCTTCTGAGCTGCAGTAACGAACGATGCCAGCTAAGCGCGGGCGAGGTAAACCTGTCTCTTGAAGGATACATGGGAAGTCTCGCAAGCTTTTGGCTTCTAAACGACTTGATGATCTACCCTATTGCCCAGCCCCTCCTGTTCCGCATGTTGAGCCTCATCTGCTCTGCCATTCAGCACTCTGCTGCCCGGATCCTGCTCGGATTGCTTGGTGCCGTGGTCCTGTACACCTACATCTTCGTGTGCAGCGCGTTGCTTCTCTCCTTGATGCCTTGCTGGTTGGCAGATTGTCTTGCTTGTACGCCTGACACATATGGGGTGCTTTAGCCGCTCCGCGCGACTGGCTCGTTGTGCCAGAACCGGAACCCCTGAAAGCCGTGGAAAACCCAGACAAATCCACTCCACCCAGTAATTGTAAACGCTTGTGCGCAATGCCTCGGCAGCAGGGCCCAAGCCAAGGGACATGTCTGCTCGGGGCGTCAGATGGGTCAAGGAAAAAGAGGTCGGAGAGCGGCCTGTAAGAACGAAACCTTGACCCCGCAGCGTAAGTGATCTTGGGGACGTGTAGGTTTGCAGAGCCATGGAGTCAAGAAAGGCAGCAACGGTTAAGCTGTTCCGGCAGGTGTCAGAGAGCAAAGCGGCCTCAGGGGGTTCTCAAAGGTCCCAAGCGAATTCGGCAGCTCCGGGTTGGCGCAGTGATTGGGGTGCCGAAGAGAATGTGTTCCGGATGCCAGTGGCCGAGGCGATTTCTAAACCGAAACCGCAGACCTCTCCAGCGTTCCAGCGTCTGGCATTTCCTTGTTCCTACGGCATACATACTACGTCGAGTAAGAGACGTCGTGCGGCTTTTGTTTGTAGGGAGTAGGGAGTAGGGAAGAGGCTTCTCAAGTTTCAAGCTGTAAGCGGGACCCTCAGGATGATCATCTCTTTGCGGACGCTGCGAAGCGAGTGGCTGGCTGCGCTGCTGCTCTTGATCTCAGTCTTGGCAGGACAGATGTGGGCCGCTTGGGATGCAGACTCTGCACTCCCATGGGGGGGGGGGGGTGTTGCTAGAAGCGACTTGTGCAGAGAGCTGCTAAGAGCCGAACCCTGAGATGATTGCCAAGGTTGCCTTCCGAGTGCCGCCAGGGATGCATTAGTGACCCTCCACCCTCCAAGATCTTTTGCTTAGAGCTTGCGTTTAGCTGGCGGGCTTGAGCAGATGTTGCCGTGCATCCTTTCAAGTATGCAACTACGGCCAAGCTCGGCCATCCTAAAACACGAGAGGTTGCAGCAAGATGATCTACGGTAAGGTCAGGACACCTGGAGATGTCACCAGTAGCTCCCAAAGCCCATGTATGTACACATAGTATGTGCGTCTATGTGTATCTGCATATACTTGTATGTACACATGCAGGTGGCATGTGATGTGCTATTTATGTATATATATATATATATATATGAATGTTAATACCATTTTTAGTATTAATATTCACATTCATACTCATATTCATATGCGTGTTTTTCATATGAATATTCATATGTAAATTTGTGGTCGATCATATTCATGTTCATATTCAAATTCATACTAAAATGAATATGACTTTTAGTATCTATATCTATGTCTACGTCTATAGATATCTATATCTACATCTATATCTATATCGAAATCTATATCCATATCTATATCTATGTCTATATCTATATCTATATCTATCTCTACATACATACACACACATTTTTATATATGTATGAGCTCCATGCGGACCTGCGTTGAGCAGCAGGGGACCCATTTTTTTTGGGCCTTTTTTGCACATTTTTGTTGGCTCAGTTTTGTCCTAGAAACAGGGAAACTTGTGTTGTCCTTAGTTTTCTCTTCATTTTCGTATCACAACCTCTATTTTCCGCAACAGGAAGGAAGGAAGAAAGAAAGGAAGGAAGACAGGAAGAAAAGAAAGAAAGGAAGAAAGAAAGAAAGGACGGAAGCAAGAAAGAAATAAAGAAAGAAAGGACGGAAGCAAGAAAGAAATTAGGAAAGAAAGGAAGGAAGCAAGGAAGAAAGGAAAGAAGGAAGGAAGGAAGGAAGAAGCAAAGAAACAAAGGAAGCAAGACAGGAAGAAATCAAGAAAGAACAAAAGAAAGCAGGGAATCAACCCCAACCTTTCCTTTTTGGGATCCGAAGTATGGACCTTCTTATGCAAAAACCAGGTTTTGCTATGGAGGTTTCTTGTCCTGTTGATCCTACGTAAAAACCGTGAAAATAATGGTTTTGCCTAGCGGAATATTGAGAATATTTTGGTTTTGCTATCCCCGCTCCCCCCCCCCCCTCCCAGCCCCCTCCCCCACCCAAAAACAAAAAGGGGCAAAAAGTAAAAGGGCCAAAAAGAAAGAGTTCCACCCTGAGCAGCACGACCAATACAACAATCAAGCAGTACTGACAGCCTCTGAGTGCCGATCCCTAAACCCTAAGCCGTTAAATTGGATGAGTCCTTCTGCACTTCTGTGCCCCTCCCCTGACCTCGGCTCGTTTAAGGTCACCAGCACGTGCAGGGTCCCGCAAGATGGTCTCCGAGATCTCGTGAGATGGCTTGGGATTTCGATTCGTAGGGCTCCGAGATGCTCCGAGCACGATGAAGCTCTCTTTCAGTTTGGGGGTTTGCGTTTTGAAGCCCTGAGAATGAACAGGTCTTGGAGCTTTGGACTGGTGACCGGATGACATGGCTGTGGGTACCATTGCACTTGGTGCTACTTGTGTGGAGGCCCAAGCCTGGCCAAGAACTGGGAAGCTCCCGAAGTGCTTCCGAGTTCCGAACAGGCCCGCGCCTACCAGCAGGTCTTGATTGAAGCGTGGCTGGCATGCCGGAAGTGCAGCCCCTTCATGCCCCTTCACTCCCATTGTGTTTGCAAGTTACCACGTCGCGGTGTTTGATCGCGGCGGTCGGAGCGCAGTGTAAGTGTGAGCGATGCGGCGTGACTTGACTACACGTGCGGCATTTGTTGGTGGTTAGTACTATCTAGTACTCTCTGTCGCCTGTCATCCAGGCTTCGTCCAACATACCCCGCTCCTGTAGGCCGGCCAATATTTCTTGCCTCGTTTGGAAGTAGATTTAAGTAGATGGCCCCAGCATACAAGACCATCACAAGGATCAGGAAGCAATTTTCAAAGCCGTGGACAGGAATACCTACACAGGCTAGGTACCACAGAAGAAACTCCACTGACTTGGAGTCGTCTGAAAAATGCAGAAGCTTCGCCGAAAGACCGCATACAGAAGCCTAAAAGCAAGAACCTTCATCGTTTTGCGGCGCGCCCGGTGCACCACACAGCAGTAGAACATGCCAATCAAGACGCCGCATCAAAGCCAATGGAAGACTAAATGCTCCCTGGTCTTACATGCGCCTTTCGACCATTTTCGACCTGCGCTTTTGCTGAGCAAGGCGTTTAGGACCTGGGTGCGAAGTGCGAAGCATCCCTCCCTTTTTTCATCCTTGGACTCCGGCGCTTTGCGCGAGAGTCGGCCTCACAGCGCTGGAAAACACTTAGGTAATATCAGCTGGCTCTAGTTTCTGGGAGGGACATATGGCATATGGCATGTGGGTGAGACTATGCATTTTGCACGAAGCCGCCGGCTGTGGCCCATCTCGTGTAGCCGGTTTTTGAATCGAGTTTCTCAGCTGATCGGGCATGTCAACAATAGGTTGGAGCACTGCAAGGATAGAAGCGCATTACCACGTGGTTGCAATGCCCCCTCCGCAGAAGTTTTCTGCCAGCCATGCCATTGTGCATCGGGAGTTCCATCGACTTCATATGTGATTCGCCCAAATATCAGCACAAGCTGTCGCTTGAACGTCGGCATACTTCTCTGCAAAGCAGTCGGGGTGCATTCAGCTTTCTGTTCCGCTATCTGTACGCCCTCTCGGCTTGGCAGATGCACATAGCCAGTTTGTGAAGCAAAACAAAACGGTGTGGGGAGGTGTACGGGTAGCACGGTCAGCTTCTTTCTGCAGAGGCCTTCCAGTGTAGGAGCAGGAATTGTTTAAGAGTGGCCCCTGTAGGTGTTACGAGGCGGTGGCGCGAGCAAAAGTGAGCCTACAGCACTTCAGCACAAAGTCTGCCTAGAGCTGCGAAGTTAAGAAGGATCTACAGCCTAGCTCGAGAGCTACAAGCACCGCTCGTTGGCAATGCATGATTTCTGAAATCTCGCATGTCACGCACAGACCACCAATATCAGAAACACATCGTGCAGCCGATCTCGAAGAGGAGCCGCCAGGGTAGTGGTTGAGGGGCGCTGACTCTTCACTCGCAACTGCTCCCGCAGCGCACCCATGTCTGCCTTGAGATACCTTTCGGATGCCGGCACTTCGATCAAGCAATGCGGTCAGCTTCTGTCATCCGGCTTGCTGGGGTTCGGTCTTAACTAGTACAATTCAAGTTGCGTTCATCTTTCATGGCACACGATGCTGCCGGCACTGGCAGTTGCACCGGCCACTGCATATTGCGTGCAAACGCCTTGGAGGTGGTATTGCTGTGGGGTTTTGGTCGGTGCTCCGGCAAATTTTGAGCGCCACACTCCGTCCAATTCCACTGCTATACCCGAGCTTACTCCCATGGAGCAATGTGCCGTGTTCTACGAAGCCTTGACAGTCGATGGTGGAACGGTGACATCGAAGGTGTGTGAAAATGGCAGATTCAGGACTAGAAGTCAGAGCAGTCCCGCAAGGGGCGCCTTTGATATCATCGTGCAGCCACTTCCAGATCTTCATCTTGCCTGCCAGCAGCTTCAGAATACGGAGAATACAGGCGTGCCCAAGAACCCCTCAGTCTTCGATGTGCTCCTCTTTTTTCAGGACGGGCTCTTTGAGTGGTTGGCTCCATTCCGTTGGATTCTGGCCGAGTTCCTCACGGCCTTGGCTTCGCCACTGAGAATTCGCCAGTTCAAGGTGGCGAAGTCGCTGGAGATGTCCCTGTTGCCTGTGTGCGCGAAGTCCTTGATTGTAGTCGTAGCCTTCCACAAGGCGCATCATTTTGATTTTCGAGCCTATGCCACCTACGCACGCAGCCGCGGTGCGCGAACCTTGGCACTTCTGCACCTGGGACACGAGAATCAATGGGAAACAGAAGGTCCAGAAGGTGCCGTGGAGGACCTCTACTCATGGGGCATCTTGCATGCTAATGGCAGCCGTACTCGCACGAAGCGCGACCTGCTGCATTACTTTGAGGAGTACAAGCACTTCGACTTCGTTTTGCGACAACACTTCTCGCCTGCCTACGCACAGAGGAGCCTCTATTTACCGCTTGGTCCGGGTTTAGGTTGGCTTCATGGCAGGGGCCGAGCCTGGCGGCGAGCCTCCTCAAGACCACTTTTCTGCCGCGCTGCTTTTTCGAGACCCTTAGCCTATGAGTACCATTGGGACCGTGGAGTTCTTACGGAGCTATTGAGAAGCGATCCAAGCCTTTGCAATATGACTGGCACTTGGGTGGAGGCTCTTGATGAGCAGCTGATGAGCGCTGCCATTTCCCTGTGTCCGTTCGGGAGCTCGCCGGAAACGGCTCGGGTTTGGGAGTCGCTGCTAGCAGGAGCCGTCATTGTCATGACCAAAGCCTCCTTTGCATCCATGGGTTTGCAAGCGCCATTTGTATTGCTTGAGGATTGGTCCGCTTTGGGTGGCGTTCTTGCTCGCTTCAAGAACAATCCGGGCGATCTCGACAAGCTTCAGGCCGCGCAGTGTAGGTGGTTCAACGCCTACATGGCTGCTGTGCGGAGGCAGCTGCGCAGCATCGGGCAACGTTTGGGTTTCCCTCGAGTTCGAGAGGCCGCGTCCTACACCACCTTCACCACCTTTGGGGCAGCGAATTCATTCCTTGTCCAGATCGCAGGAGAAGGAGATCGATTCAACTCCGAGTTGTCCAAGTCCAACAGCACTGGAGGTCTTACAAAGCTCATCCTCGCTCGGAGCTGACGACACCTGGAGACAAGGCCCTGAAGCTGCCATCGACTCTGCAGACGAACATGACAAGCGAGAGGCTCGACAAGTTTCAGTTTCTAGATTGTTGTTTCGTTTCGACAGCTTCTGCAACTGCACAGTCGCCCAGCCCCAAGCCCCGTAGATCTTCGACGACAGAAGGCAGGTCACCGGGATGCAGAACACAGCAACCCATCTCGTCTGACAACGACGCTGGATTGGACTCTACCCTTTATTGAAGGGCATATCGCCCCAAGTACGTGCAAGGCTTGATCTCACTTGTCTGAGGTTGGCGGGAAAAAAGAGGACCGAGAGAGGGAGACGGGGAGACGCAGAGAAAGAGAGGGAGAGGGGCACTGAAATCCGCTCAGTTCGGCTTCCATTCATTCCAGCTCGGGGCACAATGTGCAGTTTCCGGCTAGGAATGTGGCTCGCAGTTGTAATTGTGCGAAAGGTTGCCGGACTCCAAAAAACAAAAGCTACCTGTAGCCCGTAAGAAAAGCAACTCAGGAAAACGAAGGCTCGGCACTGAAAGAAGAGAAGCAGGGAGAGCAGAGAGATTGGGTTTAAGGCTCAAGGCTTTCGGGGCCTTATGGGCTTAGTTAGGGTTTAAGAAATTCAGCGCCCAACAACCCTGACAAACCACCCCTTCCCAAACTTGATTCAGGGAGGTCCAAAACGCTACCCGACTGTTCCGTTTGAAGGTTGTTTGTGGCCTGGGGGTGGGGGAAGTACTGAGACCCCAAGGTTACGGGTCCGCGGCTTGCGGGGGACCCCTCAACCCTCATATTAAGAAGACGAAGGACGAAGGATGAGGAGGAAGAGGTGAGAGAGAGAGAGAGAGAACAAAAAAAGAAAACAACGACCGAGTCGCAACCATTCGTCTCAGGCGCAGAGGGTTCTCTAAGCCAGACATCCCGAGCTCCTGGCAAAGGTGGCCATCGTTGCGCTTGCCTCGGCGCTACTTGTCGCCGCTTTCCGATGGGCGTTCCCCTCGGCTGTTCCCATCATTCCCACAAGGCTTTGGACTTCAAAAGGCTTTTGGACTTCAGGGAGGGAGATGGTTGTGATAGTGTGCCAACGCCCAAGTCTCGCGCATTTCGGCACTCCGGGGGGGGGGGCGCATTTCGGCTCAGGATCTCTACAGCGCTGAGGTGCTCAGGAAGGGGTTTCAAAGGCTCATCATGGGCTCATCATGGGCTCATCATATCCTCATGCCAGGCCTTCGAAAAAAAGGTCTTGAGACTACGAACCCTACATGAGCGATGGCGGGGAGCTCCAAACACCTCCAATATTCCGACTCTTCGGGAGATCATCCAGATTATTTTAGAAGCACAAAGTGGAGCCCCCACGAAGCAAAACAGCAACTCCGCGGAATGCTGGCCCCCAAGGCTTCTGCGCACCCGAAGCACCAAGAAGCCGAGAGCCGTGAGCTGAGTTTGTCGGAAGAGCTTTGAGGCTCCTTGAGGTTTTTTGAGGTTCTTGGAGGTTCTTTGAGGTTTTTGAGGTTCTTGGAGGTTCTTTGAGGTTCTTTGAAGTTCTTGGAGGTTCTTGGAGGTTCTTTGAGGTTCTTTGAGGTTCTTTGAGGTTCTTGAGGTTTTGGGGTGCTTCAACCAAAGGGGCCAGCAAAAGCAATCAGGACCAAGCACATAAACAGGCATGGCGTTGTTGCCGTGGGAAGGGGGAGACAGCGGGGTCTGAAGCACTCGCCTTGTTTCCTTCAGCCTTGACCTGAATCTTAGCAGAGAGTGTGTCGTGGAGGGGAAACTTCGCCTTTAGGGAGCTCAGGTAGGAGGGGGGGCAAAATCTAGTCGGGTTGTCAGTCATCATTATGTTGTGAACTTCCTTGAACACCGTACTTGCTTGACGGGGTGAAGACAAATCAGGGTTTGACATCTCAGCTTTCACGCCCAGCGCGAGTTATTCCAGCAGGTCGTCCCACGTCTATAGACATATGGCAAAAAAGCCCCCGAGTGCTACGCTTGTTTCTGCCTGCCTCAACTCCGGGGCCTGGAAATGCAACGCCGGGCGAGTTCGGCTCATACCCTCCCAATTCTCCAGCATTCTGCAGCCTTCGTTCTCCACCCTCGGTGTGGGGTTGTTAGTTCTCTTGGCCTGGACCTCTTCTCCTCGCCCGGTCTACTCCTCGCTCATCCCTGGAGTGCCAAAAACCCAAAGTGTCCCTGGAGTGCCTAGAGTGTCATGGAGTGGCCAATTTCAGAGTGCCAAACCTTAGAGTGTCCCTGGAGGGCCCAGCCTTTGCAGCCCCACAGTCCCTGACTTGCAGCGCTGCAGGTCCAAGCCGAGCTGCGCACGCCGCAAAGCCAGTGAGCGCGCGGCGTCCCAGACCATGAGACCAATGCCAGCGCACCTGCGTCGCCAGGAGCTTGTGGAGCCTAAGACAAGGGATGCTCACATCAGCAGTCTTTCCGAGCTCTCGATTCTTTGAGTGATGGAACATCCGGCTTGGTGCTTTGTTGCCGCACCTCCCAGGCCACACGCAAGTCCAATAGGGGGGCAGAGTTCTATAAGAACCCGAGAACTGTGCAGACGGGTGCTTCGATGCCAAGGGAGAGCGTGGACAAAAAGGTTAGGATTTCATCTCGTCATCGGGCCGGAGGCTGACGTAGGGGACACTTCCCTCGTGCGCACTCCGGCTTGCGCGGCTCTTCAACCCAAACCCAGGTGTTAGGCTGCCAGGCTGCTAGGAGTCCTTGAGTAGTGTATTGCTTGTCAAATCATACGAATCCTTGTCCTGTGGTCTCGAAGCTCTGGGAAGTTTCAGTCGCTCAACCCGAGCTTGCTAGGAAGGTCTCCGGAAGAGGGCAGTGCCAGAGAGGAGCCCAGGGCAAGGCGTGGCTTGATGTTTCGGGTTCTCAGTCGCTTTTGAGACGAGACTTGGGACTGTATGACTCGTTCTTTGGCTTGGGTGTTGAGGATTTAGGACTTTTGGTGTTGGTTCAGGAGTCGGCGCTTTTGGTAGTACAACAGGAGTTGGTATTTCTGGTGTCGATTGGAGTTGTTACTGAAGGTGCTGGTGCAGGAGTTGGCGCCGAGGTGTTGCAGGAACGTCCCAGGCATTCCATCTGGCCGCAGCAACCTAGCGACACTTTCTGGCCTGAACCAGAAGACGCTTCAAGAAAAAGAGTAAGAAGCCCCGTGCAAGGTCCTGACATGCCCCCCCCAGATGGTTGGCAACGGGCAACAGATTCTGTGGATATGAAACCCTATCCAGCCATCAAGACCCCACGAGCCCCTAGCCCGTAGCCGGGCTTATCCCTCCGGAAGGCACCGTGGTCGGAAGTGGGGCTGCATCTCGCTTGCGATCTGGTTGGCTTTTGGTTTTGATGGGTCTTAGGTCTGTGTGTTTTTCTGCCAAGATCGAACATGTAAAGATCCTTGCTCTTGGATGAGCCTGGCCTGTCAAGCTAACGAGAGGCAGAAGCTACAGCCAGATCTGATAATTGAGGGCAGTGATGCTGAAACTTGGATGAAGAGTCTTCTGGGGGCCGGGCCAAGCAAGCCCTAGAAGACGCGAAGCCGAGTACCCTTGAAGGGGCACCCTCGGCAAACCAGATTCCAACATTCACCTCTGCAAACTGGGAGCTGCACCAGACGCCTCTCAAAATTGCTCTCAAGCTTCACCACTCGGCCCCCGAACTTTCTGGAAGACTGAGGAGACAGTCCAGCCGAGTCCTCCAGCGACAGGCCTCCAGCTGATTCGTTGTGTGAAGGCTGAAAGACTGATGTTTTGTGACCTTCGCCGGCAAAAATGGGGGTGCCTTGTCCCACTTGTCCCCAGGCGTGCACATACGGGTGGGGGTTCTTTTTGGGTATGTTTTTTGGTTCTTTTTGGGTTTTCTAAACCCTAAACCCTAAACCCTAAACCCTAAACCCTAAACATCGCCGTGGCTAGTCGGGTGGCAAAAAAAACCCTAAGCCCTTAAACCCTAAAACCCTAAAACCCTAAAACCCTTAAACCCTTAAACCCTTAAACCCTTAAACCCTTAAACCCTTAAACCCTTAAACCCTTAAACCCTTAAACCCTTAAACCCTTAAACCCTTAAACCCTTAAACCCTAAACCCTAACCCCTAAACCTAAACCCAAAACCATACCCTAAACCCTAAAACATACCCAAAAAAAACAAAAAAAAACCCAAAAAACCTGGCTCCTGCACATACTATGTGGGCCCAGTGGCTGGTTGATGAATTTGTGTGACTTCGCCAGAGGTCCGGGTGCGCTCTCGCCAGGTTGGATCGACATCATGCGCTCGCATTCTTTTGGCATAGCATGGCGGGGATGTGGCAGGGATGTGCGGCATTCAGCAGTGGGTCGCTTCGCGCTCTCATTCTACGCGGGCTTGCAGCTCGTGCGCACGCTGCCTGCGACAAACTTGCAGTCCAAACAGGAGCAAATGAATGCGTCCTAGGCTGGTGCTTGTGTTTTGAACAAATCAGCGCAGCTGTGCTTCTCATGGCTTGAAGTGGGGCTTCCTGGGCCTCTTCCGGTCATTTTTGAGGTCGAGTCTGACAAATTCCCAACTCAGCACAGTTAAAGGTTGGATTTGACAGTCGGTAGACAGCAAGAGCATTGAGCAGGCTCTGCAAGTCCCAGCGCCCTCCTGCAGTGGCTTGGACGCATTCGGGAACTTCTATGCCATTTAAGGGAGGGGACGCGATACTTGAGGTTCCTGGGTCTTTCCTCTCCATTGATGGGGAGAGAAAGAGATGTCTGTAGATGCTGTCAGTGAGCTCCCATCTCAGGAAACCTTCCCCTCCCTCATCGTACGTTCCATGCCCTGCCCCGAGGCCCCCAGCACCCCACGGGCGTGGCGACTCGGAGGCCTACAAAAGTTGGAGATTTTTCCGAAGCAAAGACATACCCAAAGACATACCCATGGTACTCCATGTGAGTTGATTCACTGCGTATCTTGAGCCTGAGAGCCTGAGCTTCAACTGTCGTTTTTGGCAGCAACCTTATCTAAGCAGACTTGGAATGGAACGGAATGGTCCTGAACCCTCAGCAGCCTTCAGCAGAAGCTGTTGCTTTGCCGTCCTTGTAAAGCCACGCATATACCTTCACCCGGGCCTGGACCGCAGCAAGGCTTTTTGGCATCAGGCTCAATCATCTACTTATCGGCACATGGCGGTGGTTTTTGTTTCTGGTTTTGTGAGCAAGGGACTCCTGGGTTTTGCGCTTGGCCCCGTTGGTGTGTTGTTTTTTTGACAGGGATTTTTTTCATCGAAGCCATGGCGCAGAGTGCTTGGGAGCAGAGCAGTCTCGAGCCATCCTCCCCAGGCCAGGGAGTTTTTGGATTGAGCCATGTGAATCTGGGGATATCCGGGGTGGTGCGGGCTCCCAGCATCGTGATAACCACCGCACGTCTGTCAGACGGCGCCGCTAGATTCTGAATGTTGCTAGCGTCATTGCTGAGATAGACTCGGGGCCCGGGGCCAGAAACGGCCCGCTTCTCCGTACTAGCTCTAAGCTGAGCAAGGCCGGACCCCAAAACGTCCTCGGAATCGCACGACGCCAACTCCTCCTTGCTGTCGGGGAAAACCAAGTCCAGGATTGAAAAGCATGCTAAGGCCGTACAGCATTCCAGGGCGCACGGCCCATTTTGGGATTGAACATGTGTTTGGGCCTAGGCTTCAAGACTACTCCCGAACCGATGCCCAAGGGCCAAGCAAGCAAGCAAGCAAAACCCTAATCTGGAATGCTGACCACAGCCCAACCGTGCTTTCAAGGCGACATGTTCCCTGTCATGTCCATCTTCACTGCAGACAGCGCAGACGCTTCGAACAAAGGCGGCATGGAGACGGTAGTAGGGTTTAAAAAGTCCCACAACCCCAATCCCAGCTTGACGAGGCAAAAGGCTACCGTCCTAGACATTCGATTCAACCGGCTTCGCGGTTCGGGGTTGATCTCAAACGAGCTTTAGTTGGTACGCTGCAAAAGTATGTTCTGGATCAAAGGCCACAAGGGTAGCTCAGCTCAACCCCCACAGTTCGTGTTTACGGGGGCCTTGGCTGACACTGGCTGCTGTTGCTGCTGGTGTTGGTGTTGCCACTACTGGCGCTGCTGCTGGTGCTTGTGTTGCTGCTGCAGATGTTGCTGCGCTGGTGGTGCGACAGGTGCTCCTAGATCTACAGTATTGACTTCTTCATGTACTGTAAGGCCCACACGGAAGACACCATCTTGAGGAATGATGTGGAGGTGAAAGCACAGGACAACAGTGTCTACAGGGTTTCAGGATTGCTCATCAAAACGTCCGTTTGGGCCCCAGATCCACCGGGGCGCTGCCCAGCACGAAGCAACGAAGCGCGCCTGGCGGACTTGTCGACGACCTCGAGTTGGAGAAGAGGGTGGAAGGGTTATGAGAAGAGTCCTGTCGGGATGCCCTGCGGAAGAAAAGGTGAAACCGAGCGAGCTGATCAGGGTCCTCTGGCACTTTGTCTGGTGTTATAACACACTGTAACACCACCCATGTCTAACTTGGGGAGCAAATGCCGAAACGGACGTCTCCGAGCACCTGTTTAATTGGGGGGCCCCCCTCCCCCCCCCCCTCCCCCACCGCAATAAGGAAGGCAGGTTCCGCAATAATTGGACCAGCCCTGCATTGATTCTCTATGAAAGACAATAGGCTGCAGATCCCTGAGGTGCTGTAGCTTCGCATCTCCGCAAGCAAAACAAGAAGCCTGCCGACAGATTTTTCGACCCACCCGAAAAATTTTCTTTAAATGTGGGGGGTTATCCCCATACGAGTGGGTGTTTGGCTGCCTCACGCAGTGGGACCTTTGGGATGCAGCGGCAGAGAGATCCCCATACGAAATTTACCCTAATGGAAAGTAGTCTTCCGGCAGGCTTCCGAACGAAAAACATTTCTTTAAATGTGGGGGTATTGATTAAACAGGTGCCCGGATTATAGGCCCAGGCAATCTTCAATTTTTCGGCGAGGCCACGGCACTTTTCTTCCTTTTTTGTGTCGACTTGATCGACCGCAGAGGCCCTCGGAGTCCCCACGGACTGATCCTCTGATACCAACTGCCCTCGGATCTGTCGTGGGCGGACAGAGGTGAGGGAGATGGCCTTCTTGTGTGCTGAGTCCAGTGACCTCAAGTTTTTCATGTTGCGATGAATGCTGTGCATGCTGCTGCTGCCGCCGCTGCCGCTGCCGCCGCTGCCGCTGCCGCCGCTGCCGCTGCCGCTGCGGCTGCCGCTGCCGCTGCCGCTGCTGCTGCCGCTGCTGCTGCCGCTGCTGCTGCTGCTGCTAGTTGTGGTTGTGTATGCTCTTCTGCTGTCGTTCAACATGCAAACTCAAAGCACGGGGCTGCAGCTGCCGAGCTCATTCAAGCACGCATTTCGAGGTTCCAGCAGGCTTGTGTGCGCCTGGAATTTTGGGGCTTGCTCTTACAGGCTTTGAAGTACAAGTGTTTTTTTTAAACTGGATGGATAAACCGAAGGCCAGAAAGGCCGAAGCTCGACTTGCATGAGTGTCTCTGGCTGGCAAGGTGGCGTGGATCATGTTACGTCAGTTGCGTCGCTGCGATCTTTGTCAGACAAGCTGCCCACCTTCCTGCGAGGCAGGGTGTGCGCTCGTTAGAAAGCCGTTCTTCCTATCCGAGTGCTGCAGCACGCTACAGTCGACACTGAGAGGATCAGTTGATTCTGCAGTCAACAGGTCTCACGTCTCAAACTATGTTCATTCGCCTTTCTTCCTTGCAAACCAAGCGCTACAAGATGATAGGTGCAAACCCGGGCATTGCTAAAAAGGAGATCATAAGAAAGTAATGCTTAGATTTTAGAAGTTCTGGTTTTCTGGAGAGAAGATCCTCTTTCCTCATGAATATAACACAATTCTTATATGGATTGAAAAACAGATGAACCCAGATAAAGTACTGAAACCTAAGCCTTCATGATTGCAACTTTTAACTTGTGATAGAAAAGAGAGGGGCCACTGAACAAAAGACTTTATAATTGGCCTGTCATAATTCCAATAAAAGCATAGTACAAATACAACATCCTAATGAACAATAAAGGGGATTACGTTCACACCTAAATATCATTTCGTGCCTCCGTGCGTTCACTTACTCCCTTACAAATAAAATTCGTCTCTATTCACAATGATTTTATGAATGGGGCGTGAGAATATTAATGGAGTGAGTTCACGCCCGGAAGGAGCTTAGTGACTCAGTGCTAGTTTGCGTCACTTCTGAGCTGCACGCTCGACTGGCAGAGCGCAAACGAAAACCTCGCAACCCAAGACCTGCTAGTTCCAATCGCTGCCCAAATCCTGCTTGACATCTGAACCTCTGCCACTGATTCCAGGAGTTCCAATCCGATATCTCCTTACCGGTGCTGGACAGTATTTGACCTCTTCCGAGGCACCCTGACGTGTTTTTGAGGCTTTTTGAAATCAGGGTCCGAATTGAGGGTCTCAGGCGGCCTCGATTTTTGATTTCTGAGGCGCCGGGCTTTGTTCGAAGAGTTGAGGCTCAGGACCCACGAAACCTGAGCGAGACTTGCAGCTCCAGAAGCCCTACGGCCTACGGGGTGACCACAGAGGTTCAACGTGTAGATTTGTTAGCAGGCAAGACGGCGGTTGTAAGACTGTAAGACCCAGAGTAAGGGCTAGGCTGTTGAAAAGCCTAGCTACGGCTGAGCCCCCGGCCCCAACTTCCTCAACCCCACCCAAATCTCCCTCAAGCCTATCCAAGCCTGAAGCGTAAGGCCGCGGGCAGCCAAGAGATGTGTAAAAAGTAAGTGTAGAACGCTCTTTTGCAGAAGACGGGCCGAGGTGTCTGAAGCAGACGGAGATGTACGAAGACACTCGCCAGGATTTCAGGGTCTTGAGCGGTCGAAAAGAAGTTGAACAGCGAAGTTCGAGCTAGGCATCTGGCGCTTCGGCGAAACTTCTGGGTTGCAGTCGGTTGAAAGCCCCTGCCCGAAACCCCAACCTCATTCAAGAATCCTCATTCCACGCATTCCGTGCACCTGCAAAGGATTGGCCAGGCATTGTGATGGATACAGCGGCTTTGTCAGCCATGACTGGAAGACCTCCCGCTGGCTGAAGTTCTTTTCCCTGTTGGTCCTCTACAACTCCAAGGTCTCAAGTAGCAGCAGACGAAAAGCCCTGAACATCTTTGAAACAGATCGTCAAAAGTAGAGGTGGATGGAACGCTCGGGTATGAAGGCTGTAATGCTGGGCTTCAGGCTTTGTTGCAGTTTCTGGCTCAGACACGCAGGCGGCGGCGGTGTCCACGTTCGTTGTGAGCCTGCTTGGTGGCATCTTGATTCTCGGTCCTTGTTGAGTAAAGAGGTACTCGCATCACGTGGAAGCTCGAAATCACGAAAGCGAGTGTAGCAAGTTTTCACTCCCTATCTGTGCAAGCAGCAGAGGCTCCCCAGAACCCCAACTGTTTTGTATACTCGTAGCAACACACTCCCTCTGCCCTTTCCTTGCCCTCCTCCCCGCTTAAGAAGAATTGGGCCTTTGAGGATGTTCAGGGTCTGGAGGAGGGGGAAAGGGGGGGGGGGGAGCGGGTCACCCCAGGATCGCATGCGGCGCCCTTCCGGACAGCGATTTCGCCTGTTGCATCGGGTTTCTGAACTTTGTTCTGGTGTTCTTATTCTGGCAACACCTTCGAGATCTCTTCTTGCAGCCGCAGCTTGTGTTTCTGGACAAGCTGTGCATACCGCAGGATGACGAGCAAGTCAAGGAAGAGTGCATTCTAGGTCTGGCTGGCTACCTCAAAGCCTCTGAGAAACTGGTCATTCTGTGGTCGGAGCGGTACTTCCAGCGCCGCTTGGCATTTTTACAGAAACTCGTGTGCATCCGCTTGCGTGGGGCACCGGTAGAAGGTCCCGTCTCGGGAAGCCTGCGCCTTCCCCCTTTCGGTTGAGGCCCGAACTTGTAAGGTACTCGTGTTTAAGGTGCCCGAGTTTGTCACTCTGTAAGTGCCATGCCTCGCAAAAAAAGCCTGCAGCAACAACAGCAACAGCAGTGTTGCGACAAGCGGCCCGAACCATGCAGCAAGCCGCCGGGGGGGCCAAGGCTACTGCAGACAAAGCACACACACTGGTAGAAGAAGAGCCGAGGTTTGTGGTGCATGTACGAAGTGGCTGCTTTTCTGCGAACCAATCCAAAGCCCAACGCTGTGCAAATCGTTCCGGTCACACTGCCCCTGCTCCTTCTGATCCATTATGCTTGGTGGTGCCTACACAGCATGGCCTTGCATGCCTCTTGGCCCTTCGGGTTTAGGGCAAAAAGAAGGTGTAGGGCCCGAAGACGTTGAGACCCTGCCGCAAAACTAGGCAGGCTTTTGGGACACGTAGCATTTTTTTCCCTTAGTTGGGTTAAGATGTCATAGTTTTTTGGGAGTTGTTTTTTTCAGAGGTTGTTCTTCAGGGCCATCCCAGATAGCGGGAGGTTGGGAGGATGGGCGGCGTTGAGTTGCGCTCTTAGGTGATGTGGCACTCCGTGCTGGGCACTGAGGGTTCCCGAGCAATGTTCGCCGGAGTGGTCCTGACGGCTGCATTCGTCATCTCTTTCCCCCTGCAGTCGCGGGCCGGAATCCACTTGCACCAGAACCTGAGCATGCTCAAGGTGGGACTGCAAGTGCTGGGACTTCTTAGGGACAGCTTCTCCAGCTTCTCCAAGTAACAGGGCTTGCGAGCTTTAGACATATAAATATATCAGCTCCAGGAACAGCTCGGGCAGTTCAACATTCACCGCACCGAGTGCTCGTGCTGTAGCTTGGGTCACAAGCATCCGCACACTGGAGCGGCGCTGCCCTGCGACCGGAAGCTCGTGTACCGCACACTGCTGCACTGGCATGGCAAGCATGGCTTCTCCACCGACCAATGCTTGGACCGGCGCCCTGGCCGCTCTGGGCCGCTCTGGCCTCTGCGGAACACGGCACAACTCACCCCTTGTTTTGTTCTTTGACGCCGCAGAACACAAGGCTCTTTGGCACCCCCCAAGCTCTTTGAAAAAGCAAAGCCGAGGTTCAGCCAGACTGTAAGGAGCCAGCTTGGAGACAGCATCCTGCGCGCCTGGGGAAGCTGTGCCGTGCCATTGGATTTCTTCGCGTCCCTGGCCCCGATCTGGTTTAGACACGTTTGTTGACATGTGTGAATTGGAGGACGGGTGGAGGGGGGCGGGGTTGATTATGCCATCTTGCCATCTGGGTTGCAAGGCCGCATCCAAGCACACACACATGCGTGCCAAACGACGATGTTAACTGAGACTGCTATTTCGGAAAACGCGCACGCGCTGTGGCGAGAGCACGATTTCAAGCAACAAATGTGGGTTTCGCGCAACCTGCCCAAAGTAACCCAAGACATGTTTCAAGCGCACAGCCTCTTCTTCTTGCAGGCGCCGGCACGCTGTTCAAGCCTACTCCTTTGGGTTTGTTGGGGGGCAGTGATCCAGGTATACCGTCTTGAGCGTGCGATCGCCTTTCCTGCACCCTGGATTTTGCAAAGCAAGCTTGCAGTTTGACAGGTTTGAGCGGAACCTCGGGATACTGTTCAGCCTCTTCAAGTCAAAGACCTGAATGTGGCAAATGTCGGAGTCTGTCGGCCCTGTGTTTGGGACTCACTTATGCAGACGGAGCTGAGGTTCGAGACCATTCCTGACCTCACGCAGCTTGGAATCCCAAAGCTGGTGGGCCCGAAACTGCACAAAGGATCGCTAAACCTTACCGAATGCACCGTAGACAAGTCCAACGCCTCCTCAGTGTAAGTTTGACGTGAGCTCAAGTAGGCACAAGCGCACCATTCATCAAACCCATGATCAGTTACGAACAAAACCTAAGCAAACAGAAGCGAGAAAGCCCAAATCTGGTACTCGACTCCTTACGTCGCCACATTGCACGGTGTCTTGGGCAGGTTCCCAGCATTACAGGGCTGTTTGCAGTTTCGGACGGCTGGCAGGATAGTCATGTATACTGTAATTGGAAACAAGCCGTGCCTTCGGCTCAGGAAGGAGCTGTCGCAGAACAACATGGATGGCCTGCAAGCGCTCATCTGTGGTGCCTTGCTTCCTAAACGGCCTCACGTCCCTCCTCGCTCCCTCCCTCCCTCCCTCCCTCCCTCGCTCTTGATGCAGCTTGGGCAGCTCCTAGACGCTATGTCCGTGTGAGTTGAACGTGACACGAAGAAATAGCATTGTCCGAACTCCGAACGAACGATCACAATCAGCTACGCTAACTACCATTTTCTTTGCTTGTAGGCTCGTTCCCGCTTGGCCCTCAGAAGCAGGGATTCGTCGGGTTTTCGCCGCCCTCACAAGTAGCGGTAGGCATTGTTCGTCAGAGTGAGTTGCAGCCTTTTGCCCTGAGCCTTGGGCGAGATGTGTCCAACGAACTGAGAGACTGAAGTGAGGTTGAGATGACTACCATTTTTGTAGATCAATGTTTGACCCTCCTCTAGCCCCCGGCAGAAGGGTCTCCCAACATGCCACTGGACTTTCTCCAGTGCCGCCCCATGCCACTGGAGAGGGGCCAGCAGTACACAACCTGCCGCTTTGTGACCATCTTCTGTGTAAAGAACTGTCACTGCTTTCCTCAAGTCAAGACTTTGCGAAGAGATTATTAGACACCTATTTGATGTAAACGCCGGCTTCACGAACGAACCTTCGGTGGCGGATGCCAAGATTGACATTCCCCCCCCCCCCCCCTCCCAACATGTTAGAAGCATCTTCCTTGTTGAAGTCAGGTATGAATGAAGCATGAGAAAACGGTGCGCTGCGATGAAGAGCCAACATTTCGAGTGAAAGTTCAGTACAGCCACATGCTCCAGCACGAATACCAGCACGGCGGCGATTGTTATGGCGCAGTTGCAAGAAGCGAGGGCTAACATTGCTATCGTCCTCTCTTGATGACGTAGCGAGGCATTCGACATCTTCTTGGCTGGGCAAGCGCGGTTCCTGTAATGATGCTCGGCAAGAAAGCCGTACAGTGTTGCAATGGCTACATCGGTTGGGCATTGTCAGCTTCAATATAGCGGGAAGTTGGATATTTGGGTGCTTGTGGGTGGTTGTTTTTCTGGCTTCGATGTAGGTTCTGGCCCGGCACAAGCCTTGACTTCGATTGTCGATGTTCTTCGCCTGTTCCTGCTGAGTTGGAGTACCAGAGTGCTGTACGTGTGTATGTCACAGCCATAGTATGAGTGTTCGAACCTCGTTGTTCTTCATGTCCGTGCACATCCTTTCCGCAAGCTTTGGAAATCGAAGGCCCCCAGAACAAGCATAGACCGAGGTTATTCTACCTTTGGATGTGCATGCAGCTCTGGGGGCGTGGTGCACATCCACGCTGGCCGGCTGTTGCAGAAGCATTCTGGATGACCCTCTGCAAAGAAGTTTTGTGCTGTTCGCAACCCCGCAATCCCACAACCCTACAAGAGCACAATCCCAAAATCCCACGCTGGCGGGATTGTGGCTTTGTAGGAATTGTGTGGGCTTGATCGATTGTGGAATTGCGGGATTTATGAATACGAGCCTGCCGTAGAATCGGACAGGGTTGGTCCTGGGCGGCCTCATTTTCATGCGAAAGGTGCGGTCTTGGCGGGGGGTGAGCATTCTATCATAATTATATATATGTATATATTTATATATACAAAAAGCATACAAGATTTTAAAGTATTTGTGGATACATGAAGAAATGAAAATTAGCTTCTTTATATGCACCCCCCCCCCCTCCCCCGCTTTATTTTAAACATGCGAATCCTTTCCAAACCGATCTTGCCTGTCTGTGTTTACAAATGGGCTGTCATATGCTTGCAAATGGGGGGGGGGGGGGCGGGGGCCTGCCTGTGTGTTTGCAAATAGAGGGAATCTTGTAGGTGTTCCTAGGAAAAGCCAAGCAAAGCCAGCGGGCTCGTCTTTTTTTCATCCCCCCCACCGTTTGTTAACTCCCCACTCTTTTTGTTGACCCCCCGCTTTCTTTGAACCCCCCCCAAGAGGGAGACGCAGACATCTCCTTACTCACCACTTCCACCATTGCCTGCGCACCATTCCCACGACCACCAGTACCCACCCTTATCCACCACTACCCGTCAGTACCCGCCGGTACCCACCATCACCCGCCATGTCCACCATTAGTGTTTTTTCAGCTAATGCCTTCGCTACCACTACCTGCGTAGGTATGGAGGGTCTGGGGTTGCATGGGCGTCCTACGGTGCCGGGGTGGGACCAAGAGAGGTCCTTCCGGTCACCTCGACCTCGTAACCGAGGTCTAAGATTTTAAGCCAAACCTAGACAAGACTCGCAGTTTGCAGAAGCTGCATGGAAAACCTGCATAAACCTGCATCGGAAGTCCGTCTTAGCACAAGGAGCGTCACCACAATAGCCCTGGCCGTGCTTTCGGGCGTTGTGGGGCTGCCTCTTCTCTGGCAGGCAGGGCGACTTGTGTTTTTTTGGGCCTTCGGGGGCTTTAGGCTTTGAAGACGTTGAGTCTCTGAGAGTCTGAGAGACTGGGGTTTAGCAGCTTAGTGAGCCATGTGGGCCTTGCTAAGCCCGAGAAGTGCTTCGAATTTGCCCCAGTCCACGAAATCCGATTGCCAACTTGAAGGCTTTTGTGAGGGCCATCCCAGAATTAGAATGAATTCGGTGCCCCTTGAGGTGCGCCTTAGGTGCCCCTTGAGAACTGAAGGCTTTTAGAGGAACCAAGACAAAGCGACTTTCCATGCGCCAAGGCTTGCGAACTGGAGTCCTGAGGAAAAAATGCCCCCAGAAGCAAATCTGCCTCAGAATGAACATCTCCCCTGATTGGTGCATTGGTGCGAGTGAGATCGCCCAAAGTGTTCCAGACGAAGTCCAGAGGCCAGATCGTAAGTGATGTTCGTCGCACGCAGTGCGGGCTTGGCCTTGGGTTTTCCTTGGGATTTGTGTTGGCATTCGCTGGGTCGAGCTGTGGGCTTGCTGAGCGGAGGCAAAACCAATGCCGCCAGGCACCTGTCTTCATCCCAAAACCCCATGAGAAAGCCCCCGTCTTCGCGTGGCGGACGCGCGCTTAAAATGCTCTCTTGTGTGTCAGGGCCTTCGTGACCCTAGGGCCCCGGCCTCCGTGCGTTGTGGCTGCCAGGATCCCTACAGCTTGTTTGCCGCGATCCCCTTTGTCTTGCTCACGGGGATCAGTCTTTGGCTCATCGTCAAGATGGAGCAGATCCCGACTCGGGCCAGCTAAAGCGGCTAAATGGGTTTTTTGAAGAAGTGTAGGAGAGCAGGCAAGCCTATGATTGCAATCGAGGAAGCGTGCCAAGTTGAAACTTGCACCCTCCCTGGTCGCTTCTTGACCAGGCGCTCTCTCAGGAAGTGGCGCCGGCAAAGACCTACGACGCTTCGGACGTGGACCGGTTTAGGGGCTACGTCCAAAAAAGGTTCAGGGAGCAGATTCTAGCAGGTTCCAGCATGAACGCCGCAGTTACGTGACTGTTCTTTGACCGTCTTGCTGTGTGAATCAATGTGCGGGTGGCAAGATGTTAGAGTTCTGTGCCAGCCCGCGCTTGTTGATGAGATGACCCAGCCCGGATTCTTACTCAGAGATTCCTTGCAAGGATTTCGAAATGAGGACTCACAAGCCTCCCCCCCAAAGTCGCCTTAGGGAGGGCCACCCGAGCCGCCTCGAACATGAGTAGCCCGAGGCTGTGTTGCCAAATCGTCTTGCAATGCTGCGCAGGATGTGGCCATTGAAGAAGACGTGGTTTCGGTCTAACCCAGGACTTTTAGCAAGGATCGCCAACGAGATGAGCCGCTCATAAGTGAAGGCAACTCTAATTTGTGCACCACGAAGAAGTCCGTGTCAGTCATGTCAGCCCTTGTTTTGCAATGGGCTGCCAGCTGCGGCCTAAAGTGCCTTGGGCTCCTGTAAGGTGATGCCCCTTCCTGTAATCAAGGGGGGGGTTTCTTCGCTGGAACCGCTAGCCGCAGATGGCGCTGCAGCAGATGGCGCTGATGAGCGTGTTCCAGTGCACGCATTGACTCACCCCGCAGATATTGTAGCATGTCAGCTGCATGTGCATAGATATTTTTTTAACGTGTGGCGATCAAATAGTCTCCGTATTGCTCCTTGATGTTGTGCTGAGCTGCAGGTCACATATCTCAAACCGCTCTTCGAATGTTTAGAGCTTTAGCTTCAGGAGTGAAGCAGTGAAGGTGAGGCTGTTGAAGCGTTTCTGACGTGGCCAGCAGCAGCCAGCTGCAACTTTGCACAGCTTTGGATTTAAGAAACGTGGGGCCAGATCGAGTTTGAAGAGCAAGTCCACGTAGTGACAAGGGGGGGCAGCCCAAGCAACTAAGAGAATTGGAAGCTGCTTGGGGGGTTTTTTGCGTGGCCATGGAGAGTCTTGTGGGACCTTAGCCCCCATAACATATTACCAGATCCATTCTCATGAGCCGCAGTGACTTGTGTGTTTGTGTGTGTGTGTGCGTCTGACACTTGGAGGCCCTTTAGCCCCTGTGGCAAATGCCACTTGGAGAGCTCATATGTCAAAGATTGTCAGACCATTCGACGCGAATGCTCTCGGGAAGCGTGATTGTTCCAAGGGTTTATGAAGAGGGTGGGCCCCTTAAGACAGGACCAGGAAGACAGCTGGGTTAGCAGTTAGCATATCACAGGTCCGCTGAGAACCCGTAAGATCACGCCCTGAGCATTTGAAGTTGAAGGTGCCTTATGTTTCAGTGAGTATTGTCGAGCCGTGGAAAACGCCATCAGTGATACAGCCTGCTTGAGGGTGCGCTTGCCACTACTTCTGCAGGACTTCTGTCGGGCAGACGGTCGCACTACAGTGCCTGCAGGGGCTGCACAGGTATCATATCCGTAGGTGGGGCATGGGATGGGCAGGGCAGCAGCGAGATGAGTGTTGCTGCTTTGTCATCGTGGGGCAGTATTGTACGACATGGGATGTAGGCAACATCGAAGAGCAAAAACTCTGCGGTGGCTTCGGGCTGCGGCCAACTCGGGTGTGCCAAAATGTTGTTTTGCTTTGTTGTTGTTGAGGCTCCAACGACTCGTGTTCTAGCCTGAAAGCCTGCCTCCAAAACTGTTGGAGAGAGGCTTAGCGGGGTACGTTTTCCGCATGACTTTTCCTCGAACTAGCACGTCTTCTATGTGCCGAATGACCCGGTCCCTGGCTCTCTGCGTCGTGGTGTGGTTGGCCAGTGCTGCCCAGAGCATGTGCAACTTATCTTGCCGCGTCTGGTCCCGATCCTTCCTGAAGGAAGGGGGTTCAGTTGTTGCACATCGCGGGTTGTGCGTGGTGACGATGGCGCGTGGCGGGCTGCAATGGCGCTCGTCCATCAGTTTTCACAGGTTTCTTGCGGACAGCTTGTATCGACAGTGGTGCGCAGAGCTTGCCACGCCTTGCCAGGTTGCATGTTCCCATGAGTACGACAGAACCGAAATGGCGCATCACGTGGCGTTTGCGCCTCCGTTGCAGGCTTATTCCTTTGAGCATGTGCCATCGCTTGTCCCGCGGGCTTCCTAAACAGCGCGACAAACCGGCGGAAAGGTTTGGGCCAAACACGGTCGCTCTCGGATCTGCGCATTTGGGCTTTCGGCATCAGCGTACTCAATAGCTTGGGACAGAAGACAAGGTAAGCTTTGGAGTAGGGTCAGTGACCCACAAGAATGACCAATTAGTGCTTGAGAACCGTTTCTGTGTGTCTGTGAGGCCGGCATCACGGAGTACCAGGCGCAGACCGCCAAGGGTGAGGAAGGACCCGACATCCAAGGAGATCCAACCTCTTCCACCTTGGCGTGGTTGTTCCGATCGTTTGGGAGGGAAGAAGTCTTGACAGTGATTGGCGTGGGAGATCCTGGGCAGGCCACCCTCGCGCGGAGCTCCCCGAGCGAACCCTGGGGATTCGCCTGGAATGCAGGGCAGCCAGAACCAGTCAACCAGAGTCGGGGTTGAGAGGTTTCAAATTTCAGATTCAGGACCGTCAGGCCTTGTTGTTGGGTCATTACAGGGCTTCTTGCATGGGGTTGCAAGTCGCTGGCTTGGATCTGAGAAGGCTCGGGCTCAAGGGGCTTGACATTTAGGGTACCAGTTGTGGTGCGAGAGCCGGACAGAAAGCCAAGAAGACATGTAATTGTTTGTGGTGATTTGCGGCAGGCAGGAGGGGGAAACATAGTAGCAACACAGAGAGGCGACAGGGCATAACCACAACGCTTTGTTCTTTGCGCAAGGCCACCAGGTGATCGCTAGGTCTTGTGGAGTCGAGATTTGGTCATGCTGGAGAGCATGGCAGAATCCGTTGGGCATGTCTGAGCGCAGCTTCTCTCAGCCCCAAGCGCAGCAGGAGGATCGGATAGCCACGGCTACCCAACCCAAACCCAAAGTTTAATGGTCTAGGTAAAAGGTGGTTTGTTGTCATTCTGTTTGAGCATGATTAACTTATGGGACCCGATGTGCGGAGTAGAGTAGGAGTCACCGGGTCACCGGGCCACTGTCCAACGTGTCTACTGCAGCATGCCCGGCGATGGCCGATCGCAGAGGAATGGAGGGGACATGAAGGGAATGAGGAATGGACTACACCTCCACTCCCGCAAATTGAGTGTCATTGTGAGTGTGCAAGGCCAAGGCATCTTTCTTGCCCAAAGGGTCTGCTTCGAAGAGGTGCGAAGAGCCCTGCTAGCCGCATGAGGCGTAGGGTGACCCTATCTATCGCTCACAAAACGGATGGGACAGAGCTGCAGCTACGAAATTTGCTTGGTAGAACGCAACGATCACGTTCAGAGCAGTCTCCGTGCTCGATTAAGATGACAGGTGAAGGAAACATCGATAAAGCAATTCAGGGACATGCGCTTGGACACAGGGGTTTCTCAAACTCGTTGCCAGATGGGGTTTTCCGAGACTTCGGGCATATTTTTGGGGGGTTTTAGAACATGGGCAACAGTGTTGTGGGGCATGTGAGGATGCTGTTTTCAGGGGCAACAGGCCCAGATGCTGCCCGGTTCAGGAACCAGCGAGACTACCGCAAGGCCCTGGCAGAGGAGACAGTCGAAGTGCTCGCGCGAGGCTCCCCCACCTGCACCCGTCTCTGTCTTGCTCGGGGAAATTTCTGTTGGGGTTTACGAAAATGAGGGGACCCCCAATATAGTTCCCGAAATAGTAGGATTCCCTTATAATAAGGGGACCCCAAAAATGTGCCCCTAACTTCAAGAACCTCCATTGGAGGGCTTGTGGATCCGTGGCGTCCTCAAACCCTTAGAGTGGCGATCCACTAAAGGGGCTTCCCCAAGCCCTGCCTTGCCCCAAGAACGCTGATCAGAACCGAAGAACTCAGATCCATGTGGCATGCTGCGGATGGGTGTGCAAGGTTGGTATGTGATCGACTCTTCAGACGAGCCTGTCGACGTCTCTGTGGCGCTTGAGCGGGCAAAGCAGGCGCACCACTGCTGGGTCTCTCGGGAGCTGTTGCAAGAGCCAGTGTCAGAAGGTCTGAATTCGCCAATTCCGAGTCCGCCTTCTGAAGTTCAAGACCTGAACAACGTGGCATCCCCACAACAAACCAAGGCGAGTCCTGGTGTTCCCCCCCCTGCATGAATGTGGATTGGCGTGGTTGCAGTCTGTGGGGTTCCAGCCCCTGAAAATCCCCTAATTAATGCAAAGCCCACACCCAACGTGGTATTCAAGGAGCACGGCACATCATGAGTGTATGGGAGGGAGACGAGAGGGAAGAGATCGCTTGGGAGGGAGGCAGGGAGGAAAGCCACAAGCAATGGTCAATAGCAGTTGCCCGGCTACATGGACATGGCTCGATACCTGCCGTGTCAGCTGCCCACTCAAGAAGAAGAGCTAGCAGCTAGAAGTCGCGCGAGCAGACTGCGCAGAAGGACATGAGTCCAGCACTTGCCTGTTAGTTCTGTCAGTGGGAGAAGTATGGGTATAGGTGAAGGAAAAGAAAGGGCGGACGGGGAGTGAAAGAGGATGGCGAAGAAGAAGACCAAGCACAGAAGAGAACAAGCCGGGATGGGAAAGAGCAGGGGCGGGGGGGGGGGAGGGGGGTTCTAGATATAGCCGATACAAGATATAGTACAGTATGAAAGGTACACAAATAACTGACATACGTGTGTATAGGTATATACAATCCTTCTATTTCTTATATCATTTTGATGATCATCGGTATCATCCTTCTTATGACGTGCTTTTTGGGGGACGACAGGCCTCGCAGGAGCTCCTCGGGACCACGCCGCTTGGGAGGCCCCCCCGGGCTGCGCACCTTCACGTGGCAAAAAGAAGCCAGCAGGTGACTTTTAGGGCTTATCAGGCATGGAGCTCTTTAATAAAGGGCGTCGCGAGCGACGTGATCCGAAGTTGAGACTTTGAGTGTTCGAAGACTTCGGAGCTCTAAGGTTCGAGAAGACTTCAGAGTTAAGAAGTTTGAAAGTTCGACGACTTCAAGCTTTGAATTTGAAACTACGCGAAGGGAAGTCCCTGTCAAACTTTCAGTTTCGGAAGTTAAAAACATCGAGCTCGAGTGTCAGATCCGGGCCAGTTGGGACTCTCGGATTTAACATCAGCTGCGCAGGGGGGATGGAAGCAAGCGCGACTCTGCAACACTACGCATCCAAGCACCTCGGTATCAGGGAAGGGGGACGGCTTGAGGTAGACCTCAGTCCGATGGCTTTTGCACTGCGCTACAGCTCCCCTGCCCAGGATCTCTGCAATAGACCCATGCGCGTGCAGCCGCCCAGTCCTCACAAGTCCC